TCAGCTCGAGCGTCTTGCGATGCATCTTCTCTGCCTCAACGTACTCTCCCTGATTGCTGAGTGCTAGCGCTACGTTGTTCATGCTTGTCAGCGTGTGTGGGTGCTCCTCTCCTAACACCTTCTTTCCCAGCTCGAGCGTCTCGCGATGCATCTTCTTTGCCTCAGCATACTTTCCCTGGTCGCTGAGTGCTACTGCTATCTCATTCATGCTTATGAGCGTGTCTGGGTGCTCAGGTCCAATCGTTTTCTCTCTGATTGACAGCACTTGTCGGTGCGCTGTTTCTGCTGCCAAATATTGCCCGAGGCTTGCTTGGCATCGTCCTACACGATCTAGAAGCGAAGCGCTATCGGCTTTGCCCACTACATTGTGGCCTCCAGCCACATGGATCGCGTGCGACAAGTACTTTGTCCATATCTCCGTGTTCTCATGCCCGCCATACGGCACTAGCTGTTTAAGTTGCGCCACCGCTGCATCCACCCAGGTTGCACGCTCATTGTGTCTGTCAAGCCACCAGACAGACGCCATGTGCACCAGTCGGTGCATGTCGAAGAACCTGTCTCCATCTGGCTCTTGTACCACTTGTAGGCGCTCTGTTATAAATGCGTACCCTGTTAGTGTTCCTAGCGCTTTCGTTTGCTGTACCATAGAGGCCCCAGGAGGTAGCAGCGACTGGGGAATGTTAACGCGGTCGATGCACGCCATGAACGAGAGGTAGTCTGCAGCAAGCTGGTCCTGCTTGCGTATCTGATCGAAGGAGATATGCCACGTCTTCGCGATCGTGCTGTCCAGTTCTTCGTATCTGCTGGGATCATGGAAAGTCTGACTAAAGAGCTCGGGCTCTGCACCGGCGTGTCGGAACAGCGATGTGTAGCCGGATACTGACACTCCATTGTTGTTGATAAAAGCGGCTGCCTGCACGATAGCAAGCGGTAGACATGTGAGTGCATGCAGTAGTTCATCGACAGCAGTCTCATCATCCAGCAGTGTCTGTTGTGTTGTCCACAGCTCTAGCAGCTGCCTAGCTTCCGGTTTACTCATATCACTCAGCCCCAAGACACTGCTCTGCGTCAGAGCACCCGCCATTTTCCTGCTCCGAGCGGTGAAAAGAATCGCGCCTCTGTTGCTGCGTGGAAGATAGTCACGCAGTCGGGCTGGCTTCGAGTTACTGTTCGTGTTACCTAGTAGCACCTCATGGTCATCAGCATTGTCGACGATCATCAGCCAATTCTCCACGCTCTCTGAGCTGAGTGTCTCCCGAACAAGCTTCTTGACGTCCGCATTATCGTCATTGATCCCTGGTATGCGGAGGCGAATCCCGATGTCGTGGTACGCAAGCTCGAAACTTTCCTGACTGATAGCAGGCACCCAGAACACCAGTCTAGCATGCGTTGCCAGTGCGCGATATGCAAACTCAATGGCGAGCGCTGACTTCCCGCACCCTCCTAGCCCATATATTGTCATCCGTCGGTGCGTGTCGGAGACGAGAAGGTACTGTTCGAGAGATCGAAGCTCGACTGTTCGTCCAACAAAATGTTCGTTCCTTGGGAAAGGCAACAACGAGAAAACTGGACACAATTAGCTGTGTACAATTCACACATAAGTATGCACTATGTTGGGTCAGGAAGTACCGGGCAGATTCCGCGAGCTGCCAGTTCCGCGACCCTCTTGTCGCTTCTGTATCTCCTCTCTCAGGCGTAGGGTGGCGTATGCTTCTCCTTCTCCGTATATGAGCGACAGGAACACACCAAAGACACCCAAAAGACAGTACACTTTGTCCTCCTCACGCGTTGTCGAACGTGTAGCTACCCAGCTCATCCGATCCTCGACGCTGAACTTGTTGAGGCTTTGTCTGCGCAGGGCCGTGACAGGGATCTTGGTGATCTCGTGGATTTCCTGCTCTAAAGACACCCTACTCCCCAACCGCTTGCCCTGTTTGCAGAAGAATTCGACGCTGGGCGGCGCGAGGAGCTCTTGCAACGTCCAGCCTCGCGTGAACCATCGGCTCCGTCGAAAGGCTTCGTGCCACGCTCCCGGAGAGGCTTCAGCGTCGCTGATCTCGTCCGGCATCAAGACGTCCGACAGATATACGTAACACTTGGATGCATGCTGATACCAGCGGAACATCGAGTTGATTGCCGTGCTGAGCTCATCGCTGGTAGACTTGTCGATGCAGCAGGTATCGACCCAAAAGTACTCGAGGCCATCTGCTGCAGCTCGCTCTCCGCAGAAGTGGATCTTGTCGTAGCCAGTCTTGTGTTTGCCTGTACCAGCTACCAACTCATTGTACGTAACTTCCTGACCCTCAGTCCAGGTGTGCGATAGGGTAGCGTACGGTGGAGGGTTGTCGCTGCTGAAAGACACTAGCTCGAAGCCGCCGCCTGGCGAGCGCTTCAGAAGACGCATCATTGCGCGAACATGTTCTTCCCGAGCGATGAACGTTAGTCCGGGGTGATCGATCGCAATGTGAACGCAAGACTGAAGAGAGTCAAGAAGCGCAAAGCAAAAATGATGACTCTCGCTCAGCGCAAATGCTTTGCATTGATCCGTCCTGCATCGAGCAGGCTGGCGCTCGCTGGGGCTGTGTAGTCAGCAGTGCATGGTCACCAACTCCCCGTGCGGGGTTAAGCGGTAAAGTGTAGACTCGAGCTCTCACGGGCACGACTGGGATGGCCAGATAGCGAGCTAAGCGAGGCTCTGCGTCAGCAGAAGTCAGGTTTCTGCACAGTCTGCGGTGGGCATAGCCGTAGATTCATTACGATAGCTTAGTTAGTCCCTATCAGTAACCTCCATCTTCGACACTCCAACCTATTTCACTTTGTGACGGCAGCCTTAGGCGATTCGAAACCTTGCCCAGCAAACTCCAGCGACTGCCTACGTGTGATAGCACTGGCCTTACCGGATGTGCTTGCGGTCTGCCTAGAAACTCCCATGGTCTCGGTTGTCGAGCGCATAGTCAGCCAATTCGTGACCAGCATGCCCAATAAGACTTAGATGTCGGTCAGTACGATGCTTCTTCCGAATACGGTGCACTTACTGTCTGTCAAGCACATCAGCTGGCAAGCGTGGCTATGTGTTGCAAATGGCCAAGTGAGAAAGATAGCGTTGTTCGTAATTGTTGCACATAGCAACAAACTCGAACCAACAACATTGCGAAAGAGCATGACCTTCAAGTTACGCTGTGAAGTGGCTCGAGCCGAAGACCGTTCCTGATCGTCGCTTTGACGTCTGAACAGATCCAAGAACGACCTTTTCGTTGATTCCGTAGAAGAATTCGATGCGCGACTGGACGGCCAAGGTACGATCCAGCCTAGAGTTGGTCGTAGCTGCCAGATGAAGATGCCAGTCAATGCTACATTAATAGTTGTGTCCAATGCAATGACCGCAATGCCAGAATCTGGATGGATGCCAATGCGGCATATACCATCCACACGCGATAAGTCAGCTCTCGGTGCGACGAACTCGTAGCCCATGATTGCGGCAAACCCTCCAACAGTCAGGATAGCGCCAATGACCCAGACGGGATCTCGAACTCGGTCGATGAAAGGAGCTCGAACGATATGAACTCGCTCAAGAAGGAACAGATATCTGTGCGAGAGGTGAGCCATTCAAAGTTCAATCATATCTGCCGTGTACTTACAAAGCTATCTTTGCAGCTCCATACATGGCAATGCACATTCGTATTGCTGCATAACATTGCGCATCTGTTGAGAGTCCAAGTCCTGCCGAGTTGATGCCTACACCAAAGATGAAAGCGGTACTGACGAAGCCTTGTGCAAACACAAGGATATCAGAGAATCTGGCGCTTGTCTTTCGACTAGTCATTCGGCCTGCTCGATAGCCTTCCTGATGTTAGCTATTGTTCCAGTCGGAAGGAGCAGCGGTCAGAGTCTTCTCACCTTGTACCAGAGCAAGTAGAAACACATAGCTCATACAAAAGACGACGACAATTGTACGGTGATTCGCATGTTCACCGAGTACTAGGGGAGGTGTGTCGTCCCGGGCTATGTGGACAATCTCTTGGATTGGGTACGTGGCCACGAACAAGTTGCTGAACTGCAGGAATGCCATAGCTGTCGTGTGTGCAGGTGTGCGTAACATCGTTGGTCATCTCCGCAAGGAAGACAGGCTGAGATTAAGACGTGAGGAAGCAGATCAACGCTGGAACATCAGATCCATGGTTTCAATGGAGATCCGGGTTCCGCCCGTAGTTGAGTGGTCATGAAACTGGCGGCATGGCGCAAGCGTGCATTGCACGTGGTGTTGTGTGTTGCGGTCTGAACCTTATGGTCGTCTTGTCGAATACCTTAACCTGGAGTTGGCTCCGATGTTTGTAACCCGTGATTCGGATCGAGGATAGACCATGTGGTTCGGTGATTTTCTGCGCTATATTAGAACGCTTGGAGGTGGTCAGCGTCGTTCTCAAGCCCTACCTGCTCGAGACTCCGGTTTCCATGAATTCATCTCGAAGGTGAAACAAATGTTGACAGTGTTCTAGACCCAATTATTGACTTGGATGTACAGATGTCGCAAATGCCTTCGGAGCGCTCGAAGTTCAACGCGGTGCTGAGTGGCTCAAATTGTAAGCCTCGCTATACCTGTCATATTGGTTTATATCCTCACCGAGTTCACCGAGGGAGCACCCTTCCGCCTCGTTTACGATTGCGCATCACAGCGTGATTGAGGCACATATCGAAGAATGCACGGGTGCATCCAGCTGTCAGTCTGTGAGTACGTTTCAGATATTGCAGAAACGTTAGCTCATCTCCACCAAGCTCTCTGTTTGTACCTCAAATGGAGACTTGCAGAAGCGGGCGGTGGAGTGTTTGCTACGTCGTTAACAGCCTATCTGGATGTAACCTGTCCGCTGAGTGTTTTTTGTCTTATAGCCTCAGAGGGAGCAGCGCATTTGCAAAGACTGGCGGCCTTGAGCTGAAGAGTGAAGATTTCGAGATCTGCGCCAGAACTGATCCTATTGCCAACCTGATGGTCACTCTCGAAGCGAAAGACTGCATACTAACCGTTAAGATTGCCCATATTGACGCTGCTTCCAAACACTCTGCGGAATGGAAGGTCGATGGTGAATGTTTGAGGATGCGCCCTGCGCCCAAAAAGAGGAAGGCGCTGGCCGCTGAACCCGAATCCAAATCGGGCCGTCAAGCATATTCGATTTCACTTTCCCAAGATCATCGACAACTCTTCGACTTCGTCGGACGCTCGAACACAACATCATTTCTGCACTCAAAAGTCTCACTAAATCAAATCAGAGAGCGATGCCAAGTGTCAGCATGCGCGAGGGGGCTTTTTCCGTATTGGACCCATGTCTCCGCGGGTGCCTGCACGTCGCTTGGAAGAGTGCACAAATCAGTCAGTCTCAGGAACGATAATGATTCCCTGTTTGACTCCCACACAACTTTCCGCAAAGTATCAATTCCACGACTTCGACTGAAGAGAAGATGATGCCAGGGGTAATTCTAGCCTCCCTTGTGCTGGCCGTTACAGCTCAGGCAACCTCTGAACTAGGACGGTACGCCACGATCATTGAAGCCCGGGATGTGAAGAATAACAATTCCTACGATTTCGTGATTGCCGGTGGTGGTATTGCAGGACTGACGGTGGCCGACCGACTGACTGAGAATCCTAGAGGTAGGCATGCATACCGAATTGCCATATATGCAACTGCTCAGATCCAATTACAGTCAAAGTACTCGTCATTGAGTATGGCCCTCTTGACCAGCGCGAAGATGGGGTCATGGTACCGGGTGCTTATTTTCCTGTGCCATACCTGTGGCTTCCCCTTATGAGCACGCCACAAGCTGCATTGAACGGCACATCGTACAGCGTGCCATGCGGGCGCGCCGTTGGTGGAGGCTCTGTCGTCAACGCTATGTTCTTCCATAGATCTGATGCAAGCTTTTACGACACCTGCGATGCGCTAGGTGCCCGTGGATGGTCTTGGACGAGCATGTTGCCATACTTCAAGAAGAGCGAGACTTTCAGTCGACCAGACCAGAACTACGCCGCAGAGCACAACATCACCTGGGATGACACCGTACATGGCTTCGATGGGCCTGTGCAAGCGAGCTATGCACCGTATGACTACCCAGGAAGTGGTAAGTACTTCCACGATTATGCGAATTCACAAAACTGAATATGGAACAAGTGAACTTTTACAATGGAGCGGTCAGCATGGGCATCAAGCCAGCGGAAGATCCAAACAACGGCAACGCGCAAGGCATCTTCCGTCTGCAGCGTTCAATCGACGCGAAGACTCAAACGAGATCTTCTGCGCGAGTCAATCGCTACGATGGAGACATTGCAAGGCCCAACTATCATATCCTGACTAACACAGCTGTAGCACGAGTTCTGTTCCAAGGTAGTACTGCTATAGGAGTGGATTTCGTTGGCGTAGCAGGTTCTATCAATGGCACTGTCAAAGCGGACAAAGAGGTCATCGTAGCGGCCGGAGCTGTTCACACGCCACAGCTTCTACAACTGTCTGGTGTCGGCGATACAGCTTATCTAAAGAAGTTTGGCATCAAGTCTGTCGTAGACCTTCCCGGTGTCGGCCAGAATCTGCAGGATCACCTGGTCCTAAAAGTCAATTACAACTGTAGGCAACATCTTTGTTGTATTGTCTGCTCGGGATGCTGATGATACTACAGATACCTCCAACCATTTTCCGAACGGTGGCTCCTTGCAGTCCAATGCTACGTACGCAGCCGAACAGCGAGCACTGTACAACACCGGTACACCTAGCGCGTACGACCTTACTGCTACGACAGGTAACCTTATGATCCAACTACCGCTGTCAAATTGGACGGATGATGGCTTTTTAATCACCGAAACAGCCAAAGCTCAGAGTCCTGCTACGTTGTTAGGCGGCAATCCCGACCCCAGAGTTCTTCGAGGGTTCAAGAAGCAGCGGAAAGCTATACTCGAGAACATCAATACGGCAGTCGTCGGTGGTGTATCTTGGAACACGGGTCCTGAGACCAGCATCTACATGACTCGTCCTTTCAGTCGAGGGTCTATCAAGATCAACTCGACATCTATTCTGAATGCGCCGCTTATTGATTACGGTGCTCTCACGGACTCGACAGACCTTGAGATTTTGCATGCGGTGTACATGAAAAACCACGAGCTCATGTCTACGCCAGATGTTTCTGTACTCGGTCCTATCGAGACGGCGCCAGCGCCTGGCATCAACAGCGCAAAGGCAATCAAGGACGCCATCAAGAAGGCTCTTGCGCCGAGTAATGCGCATCAGTGTTGCACGGCTGCCATGATGAGTCGTGAAGACGGCGGCGTTGTTGATCCGCAAAACAGGGTGTACGGTACAAAGAGACTGAGCGTCGTGGACGCGAGCATCTGGCCGCTTGTTGTAGGCGGTGGGCCACAAGCTAGTGTTTATGCTGGTGCTGAGAAAGCTGCGGACCTGATCCAGAGGCGCCACGGCTTGGTGTGATAAGGATGTCTGATTTGAGGGCCCGCGAGATGCTGTGAAGTCCAAGGTCTTTCAATGAATATCGGGTGCAGTCTTGCGAACTCGTGACTTGGGTATTGTCAAGCTCGTTCCGAGGGTACTTCCATTCACATGATTTTGACCGGAATACTCTTTTATGGTTCCGAACTCAATCTCCGCAGTTTACCCAGTCAATACCGGCAGTTCTTTCGGCAAACCGGTACGTACCTTTAGTCTCCGACTACGTGCAACTTCAAGTATCTCTCACCGACACCTATGGCTAAATGCATAACCTAACCCCTTTGGTTGGAAAATATCAAGATACGCAACCCACTAATGCAACTTTGGCAGGTACGAAGGAACCGGTTTCTAGCCACCTTTGAGGATAGCACGGCGGCAGGTCGTGGCGGCAGGTCGTAACGGCAGGGTTATTGTTGCGTTTGCGCTCAAGAGAGGTTTTTAGACCGAGTACCCCAGACGATGATGTACGAAACAACTGTGGGGCCCCAAATTTTGGGATGCCACCGCCGTTAAACAGTCTTGCGAATGCAGATAGGACCGACGATTTCGATCTTTGGTGGACCATCGTTATGACCTTAAGTACAAGAGCCATCCCCCCATCTCCTATAGATTGACGAAGTCTCAACTTATTCTCCATCGTACAAGATGAAGTTCGACCAACCGGTGTGGGCGGCGCTGCTGAGCGTGTCCCTAGCGTCCGCTTCGCCCGCAGAACTACAGCCTTCATCATGCTCCACGAACACAACACCAAACGACTTCAACTCCGCATGCGATTCCATTGCATCGAGACTCGAGATTGAGAATGGAGTTGTTTACTTCTCTGAATTTGTCGCTGCCGGCACGAACCTGAGTCTTCCAGACAACAACGCAACATGTGCGCAAGCATTCCAGCTTGTCACAGCAGACATCTGCCGAATTGCACTTTACGTCTCGACTTCTGATCACTCTGGGTTCAACATGGAAGCGTGGCTTCCTTCGAACTGGACTGGACGGTATTTGAGCGCAGGTAAAATCACGCTTGGGAATACTACGATTTCCATCTATTAACGACTGACCAGGCAACGGTGGACTGAACGGTTGCATCAAGTACCAGGACCTGGCATATACTTCTGGCGCAGGATTTGCTGTTGCTGGAACCAACAATGGTTCGCATCACAGTGAATTTCAACTCAGATGTACACTAACCATTCGTTAGGTCACAACGGAACAAGCGGACAGCCGTTCTACAAGAATGCAGACATTGTCGAAGATTTCGCTTATCGCGCGTGAGTATCAGTGTGCCTAACGGAAGCTCGGAAACGCTAATCTTGCCAGGCTATACACCGGCACAGTGGTTGGCAAGCAAATCACCAAAGACTTCTACGGCAAGGCTCACGACAAGTCGTACTACTTTGGCTGCTCGACTGGCGGCCGACAAGGTTTCAAAGCGGCCCAGGACTTCTCTGAAGAATTTGACGGCATTGTTGCAGGTGCCCCTGCCTTTGCATTCAACAACTTGACCTCCTGGAGCGGCGCGTTCTTCCGCGCTACCGGAACTAACACCTCGGATACTTTCGTCACTCGTGCTCAGTGGGAGATTGTTCATGCCGATGTACTGAAGCAGTGCGACAAGCTCGACGGCTACGCTGACGGTATCCTTGAGTACCCTCCACTTTGCAACTACGATCCCTCTGGGCTGCTCTGCACTGGAAGCAGCAACGCCACCACTTGCTTGACTGCTAAGCAAGTCCAGACCGTTAAGACCGCGCTTTCACCCGCCTACAACGATAATGGAGACCTTGTTTACCCGCGTCTGCAGCCTGGTGCGGAGATTGCTGCTTCTGGTGTTCTCTTGGGCGGAACACCCTTCCCTTACACCACGGACTGGTTTAGGTATGCTGTCTACAATGACACTACATGGAGCCCTACAACTTTGAACGGAACCGACTACGACAACGCCGCGCGCATTGATCCGGGTGGTATTCAAACCTGGAAGGGTGATCTGAGCGAAGCTAAGAAGAACACAAAGATCCTGCACTGGCACGGTGCGATGGACCCTGTCATCTCGAGCGCCAACTCACCCAGGTATTACGACTATGTTAGCAAAACGATGGGCCTGTCATCCGAGGAGCTCGACGCATTCTACCGCTTCTTCACGGTTAGCGGCACCGGTCACTGCGGTGGAGGAGACGGTGCACATGTCATTGGACAGGCTATCGACGAGGTCACTACCTACGACCCTAAGAAGAATGTCTTGATGGCCATTGTCGACTGGGTCGAGAACGACAACGCCCCTGAGACTCTCATTGGCACCAAGTATGTCAACGACACACAGAGTCTTGGTGTCAAGTTCCAGCGTGCGCACTGCAAGTACCCCAAGCGCAACCAGTATAAGGGTGAGGGTGATCCGAATGTGATTGAAAGCTGGGAGTGCATTGATGCATAAGTCCAGGTATGGTTGTCTTAGGGTTGGGATTGTCTTGGACAAAGCCACATTCACCTCCATACAACGCGATTGTCAATTGATCGTTACCCATAAAGCACGTCCTCAAACCTTTGTTCAAATTTTCTCCAAGGCTCTACTGGTCTCTCAAAGTGTACAGTGTCACATTCATATTAGATGCGCTTCTGTTTGCTACGAGCTGCACAAGATCTCTATACACTGGTCCTTCTTCTTCACGATCTCTTGATTACTTGCATCTATCGGTGCTTGCCAAAATGTATGGACCTCCCTAAATCTGCCATAACTAGTTCATGTTCCCTACGTCATACAGAAGCGAGAGCTTCCGAGTGGCTGTATGTCTTTGGTTCGACAAATGTGACACCATGGTAGACCTGCTGCAGGACATACACGTGGATAATGACCACTTACAAACTTGTCCGCACAGCAAAAATACGGTGCAAATGTACTGTCTGTATCACGGTCCCAAATTCAGGGGAGTCCATACAATTTGGCAATCATTATTACGCCATGGCACAACGACGAGCGTCGACGAGTCGCATCACTCGCTCGCAAGCCGGGCCTTTCACTCCATAGCAACCACATCTACCCTAACCCTCGTGCATTCCTCGCCGTTAGGCACCTACCACGCGAGCTAAGACAAAGCTAACAACACTCCATCGCCTGGTCCAAGGCATCTTGCTCAACGACAAAGAATCATCCAGCTCCACTCTTGGTGCATCGGACATCGCAACTGCGCCTACGTCGTCGCCTGCAAGCTTTCCTTCTCCTTCCGGCCAGCATGTGGAAGGTGCATGGGATATTTCCGCCCTGATTCCCCTTTGTCAGAAACCTCTACAGTCCTTGACGAGAGCTGCACCCACTCGATTCATCCAGCTTACTCTGTCACCTATCAATCCTTGATGTATCCGTCGTGCCGAATGAACACTGCCATCCAGGCTGCAGAGGTAACGAAATCTGTTTTCATGAGCCATAGTGGGATCCAACAATGGCACGAGCATATCTACTAAGACTTTAAGGGCGATGAGCAGAGGACAGAACTGGAGCAATACCACTTCTAGAAAAGAAGGTCTAAGTCACGTAGTTGGAAAGGCGAGGACCCCCACAAAAGTGGTGAGTCGCTGAGTTATCTACGCGCCAAAGGCAGATTGTTGAACCTTGTCGCCGAATAGAAGAAGTTGCGCGAGCGAGAGCGGGCGTGGGAGAAACGAAACCCCTTGCAACTCCTGGATGCAGAGATGCGACAACGGTTAGTCGATTCTAGCGAAGCCTCTGCAGCAATTGCACTGGATTATTATCGGTCAACTGTCAGATACCACAACATCGACAAAGTCGAAAAGAGTGCTTCGAGGTTTAGTGGAAAGCGCGGCAGAGAAATGGAGATTCACACCCGACCAGATTCTGCCGATTCTCAGGATGCATTCGCGTTGGGCGTCTCACTGACGGAAGATCAAGAGATCTTCATCGATGCAGATTTCGTATTCGACGGGATCCCCGAGTATGACTCGGACTCGGCACCACCCAAGCGTAAACGCCGCCGTCTCGATACAAGCGTGGAATTCGATCCACTGATAATCGTAGGGAGGCAGATATCGACCTTGTCGAGTCACCTGGCGACAATGAGTACAAGTCCCTACCCACCCCTGATACAAGAGGTATCCTACCGCACCATTACACTGCACATAAATCCACAGCCCAAGCAGTTCAACGAGGTCAGAGCTGTGAATGCATTGAGCCTGAAGCAGCAGCTTCTAAAGAAGATAATTGGCAAATACTGAACAACGATGGACTTGATGAAGACGAGTTCCCGACGGAACAGGAACACGCAGAAGTCGAGAGGCGGATTCAGGTGAGCATTCTGAAAGATGGAGCCCCCGATCTGTTGCTGAAAGGCCTCGCATACCGGAGGTGGAAGTGTCCGCGGCACCAGTTGGGTTGAGGCCTCGCGGCCGAAGGCATGAAGTCCTGGGCAGCAGATACGGGCAGAGCTTGAAGAGCAGATGAGGAGAGAAGGTGAGCCGGTGTTAAATGAACCAGCTCGGGCGAAGTTTCGACCCCACGGCGGTATGGCGAGCGCTTTCGTCTTCAGCGGGATGGTGGGTGCAGGCGTAGTAGAGCCGGCTCACAGGTAGGTATATTGTAGCAACTCCGGATTATGCATTTTACTGTTCTAACACCTTCCTCTCGCATTCCACTCTCACCCTCAACACCCATGACCCTCTCCAGTCAATCTTCACACCCCTCAATCAACCTTCTTCCACCAAAGTACCCCCCTATACCCACCCCCCCTCTCACTCCCAATCCTAAGCAACGTCTTCCCACCCTCCCTCATAATCGTATAATTCCTCCTCTGCTCCTTGCCCACCCATGTCGGCACATTTGCCGCCACCAGCGGGCCATGAAACACCTGTCCACTCGTCTTGTTTGCGGGAATCGCCTCATTCACGCGGAACGGCCCTGCATACCCAATGCTATGCTTGCCGACGAGCGCCCAGTCCGAATCTAGATCGGACGCTTGGAAGGGGAAAGTCAGGTTAGGACGTAACGCGGGCTCGGTTGCTGTGATGGTTGCGCTCATGTAGCCTGAGCGCGAGTAGGTCAGGATGCCGACTGGGGCTTCACCGTACGCGAGGTCGGGGATTGGTACATTGTTGAGAGTGCTAATTTTGTCAGGAGAGGGCAGTGGTGGGGAAAGGGAAGTGACAGACCTGCTGGTGTTGATGAGGGTGTATGTACCAGCTAGTGCGTTGATGATGTCTTGAGTTTTTACTGGTTTGTTCTTCGGTGGTGAATTCGGGTTTGGGAGCGCTGTGGTGAGCGAGGTGGTCGCTAGGAGCGCGAAGAGAGGGTTGGTGATATACATGTTGTATGCGAGTTGTATGTGCTTAGATGCTTCTCCTCGTTTACTGAACCCAGATATTTGGCCCAGTTCCACAGCTGTTTACCAGCTTAGCAGATGTACCTGACTACTTATACCAGGTCCCTGCCTCCACGCCCATCAACTGCTCGCATCCAGACAACGCCTCTGACCAAACCTGGGTCTTGGAAACAAAGCATTGGAACACGCCCGTGGCCAATCCGTGTTGTTTCTGTCCCGGCATCCGTCCGCATCCGTGAGGTCCCAAGAGGTTTCATGCAAAGTAGACATATTTCCGAGATGGCGCCATGGACATGGGCTCGCGGGGTAATTCGAAGAAACGCCGTGTACGAGCAGCCACAGCGCATCAGGGGCAAAAGTGTTACATCTTGTTGGCAAGTAGTTGCTAGTGGTTGTGATGTCGTGCACACGAGGATTGCAAATGCTTTGAAGAAAGGTTGCAGTGGCATTGAGGTGTGACGGAAGGCGCAAGGGCACCAAGGTTGTACCCCTTCACTAAGATTTAGCTCCAACGGCCGAGGGCTCCGCGGCCTTGGTACTCAAGAACTAACGACTTTTACTCGAGCATCAAGCACCTCCGTACTCTTGCGTGAAGTCCTCGAACATCATCAACTCTTCGAACCTCGAGCGAGCTCGTGCATCGTAGCTCCATTCTCCTTCCCGATCGCCTTCTGGAAATCCACATAGGAATCCGTCAGCACCTCGTTCGCAACTCTGTGATGCCTACCCACCGTCATGAAGTCTTGGTTCATGAATCTCGCCTCCTTCGCAGTGATGGCGCCTGCTTGTAGCGCAAGCGGCAGATACGTAGCTACTTTACCCGCGAAGACACGGTAACAAACGTAGACATCCTTCCAATAGTCGAAGCAGAGATGAAAGAAGAACCTCCAAGACGGGTCGATGGCAGCTTGATGAACAATGATACTGCTCAGGTGGAGAACAGCTGCGTTGCAGATGCAGCTTTGTGCGAGCTGTCGAGGCAGATAGGTACGGTAGTTGTATACAAGATGCTTCAGTTGATTGATTGAAGCCGAGAAGATGCTGCGAGATGTACTATCGACCGAGGAGAACGAGCGCAAGCGAACGATCTTCGGAGGGTCGAGGAAAGGTCGAAAGAAGTTGAGTATGGTCGTACGGTATAGCGCGCTTGGAAAGAGGTTAGAGATGTCTAACTAACCAAGGGGCATATAGGTAAATGTACTGGACTAGGTATACGTGAGCAGCGCTGTTTGTATTGTTGCTGAGCTCTGTAGGGAGTGTATCTGCCCAAGCCAGCAATTTCTAGTACTTTGCTTCAGCAAACGATGGTATTACCCTTTCGACCAAAGGTGCGTCGTCCTGCATGTTGTAGACAGCCAAGACTTCTTGTACAATGATCCGAACTTGCTCATGGCAGTAAATGTGTGCCCAACGGAGTCCGGTGGTGAATGGGCAGGGCCGAACGTGTCGAGCGTGGCGAAGATATCGATATCGTCGCCAGCAATGAGGAGGTTGGGAAGATACTTAATCGACGGCTTCGCGAAGAAGCTGGCGCGGAACCTGCACGAGTGAGCGTACTGTCTAGTGATGTTGGGTTGTTGCTCGCCTACGATTGCCAGCCATAGCTACCCCAAGCTACATGTGCCTGATCTGGTATCTCGTCTTCGTTCAGATGTTGGAACTGTACGATCGCTGCATCTGTAGGTGGGGCATCGAGCAGATGCATTCTGGTAGCCAACGTGCGGGCGTCTGTAACCAGCTGGTGGTTCCCAAGCTCGTTCCTACCATTCCAGCCGGTGGCTACAGAAAGGCAATTGAGCGCTGCAAGAGTCGTGGTCGAATCGGTCGAACGTTCGGCCTGCCATTATTTGAGTGCTTCTTCAGTGAAAGCGATGGAGAACAGCGTTATTCGTATGTCTATCGTGCTGTAGGATTGCTACACTCATCAAAAAGCGTTTTTGAGATTGCAATGTGTGGACATAGACAGGCGAGCGACATGATAGAGTGGAATAAGAAGGACGAGCAAAAGTCCAGGCATTGCTCGACTGAATTGCGAAGGAAGAGGTCAGCATAGAAAAATCCAAGTACTGGGTGGTCGCTTTCAAGAACTGTGATAGTGCACGAGCTGCAAGCCCGTCACCGATTGGTATTCGCATCCAGTATCTTACTGTAAGATACTCTAGATGAGGGTCGCAGTACGCGTATGGTTCAGATGGTGACAGTGGAGTACTGCTGGAAGATGTGGTCTGAGTAGATCCTCCTATAAGGCTTGCTGATACTATCGATGATGGACTCGGTGGTATAAGGATGGGATAAGCTGTTGGATAGAACATCACTAGCTCAAACTCGACGCCCGACTCTGTCGATGGCATGACCGCTCGAGCCGAAGCATGCTCGGATATCTGACTTGAACCACCGGCCCGGCCCTGGTACGGTGACAGTACAGCAGCGGCGTTCTCGGTCGATCGCTGCTTTCGAACAATGCTCAAACCCTCGTCTTCTGGCGCGTTGCGAATGCTCTCCAGGAACTCGGTATGCTCTTGCAATCGCTGCTGGAGGGTCTCAACCTCACTCTTGAGTGCCATCGTAGGTGTAGCTTCTGCATCGTCTGACAAGTAGATGCAGGGCACGCGACCCTTCAGACAGCGAGGGCATTCTGGTGGGATGCCATCACACTATAACAAGCTGTTAATTCTTGGAGTGATCTCCAGGCAACGGGCACCATGCGGGTGCTAAGGTATGTTGATGCTAGCACCAGGCACTGCTCGCACCGACTTACACCCACTTGTTTCAGACGACAGTAGTTGCAGGCTAATCGTGCCTTCTTCTTTCTCTTTCGCGGTTCGCTGCCGCCAGGCTCTGGGTTTTTGCACGGTGGCGCAAGGGCTAAGGGTCGGAATACAGGTTGCATATTTGCTGTGACATTTGGGTTATCCGATCAGATTGTTCACAGAATATGTAGTCGGCTCTCCTGAGCCTGAAGCCGATGTCGTCACATTGGACGTTGTCCTAGCAGAGGAAGAGGATACTGTCTGTACGATGTGAGCTTCTTAATGGGTTCCGTACACGTAGACCAAAGGTAATCGGCGCCGAAGGCCGGGCAAATCGTCTATGATCGCTTGCCGGATCGTTGCTGCCGAAAGCGCTAATATTCGATGAATACGAAGTATACGATCTCTGAGATTTCTGTCGCTTGTGGGGTCTGTAAGCGGCGGAGCCAGTCGTGCCAGCAACCGTTCATAACCGGATACAGGGGAGAAAAATATGGGTCAAAGTGACGAGCAGGATGTAAATCGCTGCCGGCTGCTGAGACGCTAGCCTTACATTGATGTTCATTCTAGAAGGTACAGGTGGACGATTGTACACGCTGCACAACATACTTTCGTCCCGAGGCTCATCGAAGCTCCTTTCCGTAGCAAACAATCAAAGTACGACGGCATCAGTGGGGCAGGAGGCTGAGTATCGTGTGCAAAAGCTCTCAATCCCTTTGTGGAAAGGAGATGTGCCTGATGTCCCGGAGGGTTCATGATCCTCGCTGACCTACATATCCAGACAGACCCTGCTTGAGTCGTGACCACTGGCCGATGTCGATGTCATTTTGCATCTGAACAACGCAGTAGGCGGGTACGCCCACGCGATTCCCCAGACACGGGTGCAGGGCCCTTCTCAGGCTTCGTAATTTCGGAACACATGAGGTCAGCTGAAGGAGTGGTGGAGGTGTAGGAATTCCACGAGGAGCAAAAGCAGAAGTCGAGATTGAGTGTTGAGTGATGGAAGCGATTCCTGATGTCTGTGCGTCGCGGATTCCGCGCGCATATAGCGTTTGAAGGATGAAATGGTGCCGTAGCTACAGGAGCGCTCTGGTCCGAATGCAAAGGTAGAGCTTCTTGATGAGTGTTCGATGTTCACTTTGGTGAGTGATCGTTGTCTACGACTGCCAAGTTGTCTGGGTGTCACTCCTGCCTCACCGTGAACCTGCCTCGAACGTCGACCGATGTCACCGACTATCTATGTGCGCAAACTCATGCAAATCCCTACATGCCTCCACGCCGAGGAGTATCCTCTCTTTGTACATATCGCAGCGCTGAACTCCGAGCGTACCGCTGGCGGAGCTCGTAGGATTCTGTACGGTGAATGTGATTTATGTAGTCGCTCATTCTCTATGAGAGCTGCCATCACTGTGCACTAGTTCTCTGACTTCATCTCTACATCCTTGGCCTCACTTTCCTTTTCTTGCTCGGCCACCTCACCCTTGAGCTGCTCCTCAGCTGCTCGATCATCCTCGTTCTTCTCTTCGGCATCTTCCATCTTCTCGTCCTTTGTTTCTGTACCAGGGGCTGCTGCCGGTCCTGGGCTTCTGCTAGAGCGCTCAAGGCTAGGGCGTCCAATTGCTCCTTCAATGTCGAGTGGGGCGCCTTGCTTTTGCGGCCCCGTGTCTTCCATGCCGATAATCTCAGGTCCTCTGGCATGTGGGGCCTCCTCTTCCGCTTCGACTGTTTCAACAACGGTACCCCCGCCCTCGATTTGGCCGAACGTTGTCCGGGTGGGGCTCGTGGTCAGTGAATGAGGGTTGTTGAGTACGATGCCAGCTTGTTGTTCCTGGCGCAGGAGTTCTCCTTGAGTGACAGGACCGGTTGACGGCAGTGTTTCACCATCAGGGTGTGAGGACGCGATCTGTGACACTTGAGACGAGGCGGCTGTCTCCTGCCGTGGAACTTGCCCGCTGAGCATCCCAACGGTGACAGTCTCGATGCGACCTGCGCCGTTCGGCCCGTCTACCATCTCCGTGCTCTCTGATATAAGCTCATTCTGTCCACGACTTTGTAGCCATGGAATAGGTGTGAGCAAGGCGCCGCCCAGGGACTCATCTGAGCCAAGTGTTGAAGTCTGCGGGTTTGGCATTGATGTCGTCCCGTTGAGCAAGCCGCCAGCGCTGGGAAGGACGGCTTGAGGCAGCGGGAAGATAGTGAGGGGCGAAGATACGGATACAACGCGGTCGAGGGCGCGCAGGTATGGTGATAAGTACTTGTACCGCCTCCTGGGCTCGAGGATAAGCTCAGCCAGACGCTGGATCGTATGCGGAGGGTGCTTTGCGAAGTTCTTCGACAGTGTGTTCCGTATCGACGAGTAGAAGGTCGTCGTGGCTGGAGGGATGACATTGGATTCTGACGCAGTGAAGACAGGCACTGGCGGCGTCGGCCGTGGGGGCGTTGCAGGCGGCGCATTTTCTTTGTTGGTCGCAGAAACTTGGCTTGATGTCGCAGCAGTTTCTGGCTTTGGCGCTGTGTCTGTGTTTGAGGCTGCGCTGGCGTCTGCAGGCGGCTTGGGAAACTCGTGGATTATCTGCGCATGTCAGATATGTGGATACCTCCAGGCTGAGAAGTATGTATCACCTCATCCAGGCGATCCAGAATATACTGTAATGTCTCAGGCCACTCGGCGCTGCAACAGGAGGTTAGCCAGGCTCGTTGCGGTCATTGCTGGAGGCGCTCACGAGTCCAGCGAGCCATCGTCGGCGGCCTTTTGCAGTACTGTCTGCGCTACAAGCAGTCAGCATGTGACTTGTATAATACGCGCACAGCGCCAAAGAGAGGGTCACGTACCGGAGGTCATGTCTGCCGGCGCGGGTCGGTCTCTGTTGTTTGTGTGCGCAGAGGCGCGTTGATGACGATGATCGAATGCAAAGGGTAGCTCCACTCTGCACGAAACGCGCGACGAACGCCTGCGCCACAGCACGAAACGGCACCCTGGAAGCCCCTCGCGAGTCTGATTGGCGCGCGTGCCGTAAATTTAGCCAGACACACCCTGGCCCAGCTGAGCGATTCCCTGGAAAGAGGCTGAGCTTATGCGGCTGTGCGGCTGTCTGATGGTCGGAGATGCTTGCCAGGCCCGCTGGAGGCTTGCAAGGTGCTGCTGGCTTGCTGGCCTTGAATTTCGCAACTCGCATGCTGCAGTTGAAAAGGACTGAGGAGCTGCATGCACATTTGTACGCTGCTTTGCTCTCAGTCTGCTCCAACATACCATTATTGTTCTTCTCGAGTCTGGATGGGCTTCTCCTGCATGATCCCACAGTAGCGTTCCCCAGTGTCTGCCCAACAGCATAGCGCAGCGGCCGTCGACGGGCACCAGCAGCAGTCCCCTTCTTCCTTCCGATCAGCCCTTTTCTCCACATATCCACGAGTCTAGCGGCTCTGTTGACAGTCGCAAGCCACCCAAGGCTGCGGCCGGACTGCATCCATCCCAAGGACCTCGTGTTCACTGCGTACTCTTCAACGCTTTCCTTCCCCACCCCTCTGTCGCTCGTTCTGCCAGACATCTGCTGCTCGCCTGCGTGTCTCCTGTTCGCGCCCCCATTGCTACCAAAATACCCCGTCGCTGCACCCGCCCGCTCCACTGCGTTCCGCTGTCACCTGCTGCTGTTGGCATTGCTCGGTCTCTCCGCACAGCCAAGCACCAGGTCGGTTTCAGTAGCGCTGCGCCAGACAGCCCAAACAGCACGCGCCCTGCTCCCCGGTCAGCTCCATTTGCTTGGTCCTCGCTGTCTCAGCTGTCCCACGAGCGCAAAACCGCGCCCAGCCAGCCAGCAGCTGCACCACCCTCGTCTCAGCCGTGCACTCAGCCCTGCGACTCTGTGAACCAGACACACGACACACCGCTGCACGTCGCGCACTCTGCCAGGAAGGCGCCGTGACCACGTCCCTCACCACGCCTCACCCAAGATACTCTTTATCTCCCCTTGTCCCAGCCGCTGCCCGCGGCTGACCCCTTCGCCAAAATTACTCACCACGAGGCGCGCTCATCCCTTCTGGGAGGTCAACCGCTCGACGGCGACTACGCTCCCTACACCAACAACTACGCACCCCGCCAGCCGACCTTCAACGCTCAGCCGGGCGGCTACCACGAACGCGAAGGCTTCCCCACAACCCTCCCACCACCCGTCCGCCGCGCGCCCAGGATGTACGTTCCCAACACCAAGTGGACATGGGCGTTCATGGTCATCGCCATCGTGCAGGCAGTGGTCGCCCTCACGCTGGAGTCGTATGTTGTGCCTGCGCCCTGAACCTCGACGACTGTACTAACAACGTCCGCCAGATATGTCTTCGGCCGCTTCCAGAATGAATTGCACTTCGAAGCCTCCAATGTCAACAGCGATGCCCGCACCGTCCCCACATATCTCGCCGTCTTCATGTTCGGCTACCTCTACCAGCTTTTCCTCGTCTGGGATGCGCTGCGCCTAAAGAACACCATTCAGGTTATCGGACTCGTTATCTACAACGTCGGCATCATGGTGTATGCGGCCATCCAGTACGACCAGATCAGGGACGCTGCCTACGCCCTTGACGAGCAAAACTTCATCCCTTCCGATTTCTGGATCGATGTTAAGCCCATGCTGATTGCAGTGCCTGTTCTCATGGCGGTTGCGACCATTGCTTTTGCCTTCGTTGCCTGGAAGCTATACGACGAGTTTGCCTGGACCATCTACAAGCACATTAGCGCTGACCTGCGACTGAAGAGGCGCTATCTGACATACCAGGTACGACGAGCTCCGTCCTGGGCAAAACCCCCCCACACTAACATCAGCTAGATTTACATTGCCCTGCTCAAGTTCGACTTTTTCTTCTTCCTCGCCTTCACAGTCCAGTTCCTAGTCGTCGTCGAGAAAACCTCAACCGTCGAAGTCGTCCTCACAGCGGCGGCACTAGTCATCACCTTCTTCCTACTCTTCGCTGCCGCCTTCTGGGTCCGCCGCGAATCCATTGCAGGCATGATCGCTTGTATCATTGTCTACTTCATTGCGCTGGCGTACTTCCTTTTCAAACTTATCCGCATGTACGTTGCGGACTACCAGCGCCAGGAGGACTACAAGCCTGCCCGGAAGTCGTTGACCGCGTTCGCCATTCTGACGATCATCTTGCTTCTCATGACAATCGCCATTGCGTGCATCTGCACACACAACTTCAACAAGGGGCTGAAGCCTCATGTCAACAAGAAGTCGGTGGCGAGCGACAAAGCATATGGCACCGAGATGCCATCTGTTGCCGGACCGCAGCCGAACCAGCGGATGGAGATCGACTAGCTGAACGATTGCGTTTATGCTTGACTAGTTTTACAAGTTCTATCAAAACCATATACCAAAATTCACGACACGACCTCTTGAATACCCTGCTTTGCGGTTTGCGAGCACATCTTTGATACATATCCGGCCGAGAGAGGACACGGACTGGCGTTATGGCATATGTAGGATACCTTGGGCTTGGAACGGACTGGGAGAAAAAGTGACTCCATCAGAGTCGTGGTCTCAGGGGAAGCCGAGAGGATTGTAGCGCATTACTTCAGGCCAATGCCGGCACTCACGAAGAACGATTGTACAGCATACGCCAGTCTTTTCGTATGTAGGGCTTCTGGCCATTTTATACCCACCACGCAACGCCGGGACTAGATTGATCAGGCTGTGGAATGTATTGTTTTCGTATTACCATGTATTTATCCACCCAAACTGATGAACATGCCTTCATCGTGCATGCATAAAGTGACGGACAAGCTCAACCTAGACCCCGAGCAATCTCAAGTTCAAAAAAGTGTAAACACGTGCAGCTCTCCTGAGTTCTACATAGGGCATCCCGCTTCCCCAGCGATCACGAGGATAGCGCCAAAAGCCCAAGCTCCCCCACGCAGGGTCCACTATTTGGTGCGGTACGACATCATCGGCGTGGGACGCCCCTAAGCTGTCGAAAGTTTCGAGCCGCGACATTTGAGTTAAGACAACACGTCGCCCTTTCCACGCTTCCTCCGTACCGTCGTCGCTCCTTTGATTTCCTTGACCTCGTTTCTACGATTTTCATAGCGGTGGAATCTTGACACAATGGCGTTCCGTTGGTGAGTGGAAATCATCTGGGCGGATAGCGAAGGGATTGGAGTGCGAAGGGAAAGTGCTGATTGTGAGAACAGGTATCAGGCAAAGCTCAAGACGGCGCCGCTGGCGACGCAGGCTATTACCACTGCGGTAGGCGATCCTCTTCCTCCCTATATCTTCCATTGAGCATTCCCCTCCATGCGAAACTCTACGCACGACGATACCGTCAACATCAACATGCACAATCGCAGCAACACAACCACAAACCAACCCTCGACCTCGCTGCCACACACCACACCTACACCACGAATGAAAATTGCAAGGACGGGAACTGACGAACGACAGATCCTCTTCGGCACCGGCGACTGCATGGCGCAACAACTCGTCGAGAAGCGCGGCCTCGATAAGCACGATCCCCTGCGCACGCTGCGCATGGCAGGCTACGGCGGCATCATCTTCGGTCCCGCTGCGACAACGTGGTACGGCATTCTGACCAAGCACGTCAACCTGTCGTCGAAGAACGGTACTATTGCTGCGAGAGTAGCGTGCGACCAGTTTATTTTTGCGCCGGTGAATATGGGTATGTCTCCCTCTCCCCACCCTCCTTAGCTCTCATGGGCTGTTTTGGGTTGGATTAGGTGTTTGGCTGGGCATGTGCTGATAAGTGTTATCACAGGCCTTTTTCTCTCCTCAATGGCATATCTCGAAGGCTCCTCCGTTTCCGACCGCCTGTCACAGGCCTACGTCCCCGGGCTGACCAAGAACTTCATGATCTGGCCGTGGGTGCAGTTCGTCAACTTCAAATACGTGCCCGCGGACCTGCGTGTGCTTGTCGTCAACGTCATTTCCTTAGGGTGGAACTGCTACTTGTCGTACCTGAACAGCGGGGGTGGTAGCAAGGTCGAGAGCGTCACAGAGAAGGTTAAAGAGGCGACGCAGAAGGGTGGAAGTAGGGAGGGGGGCGAGCTGCCGCCGCAGTAAATGGAGTGATTGAAGCTCTGGGCGGTGCTGGAGCGGAGCAGAGCTGTGGAAAGGGGGGCTTTCAGCTGTGTGAGATAGATGGGTTGGATGGTGATATGCCTAGCTAGACCTATGTCTGGTCCATGTACTACACATAATTTTCATTTGCGACTGTTGAAAATCTCAATTACTACAATCTCTGTTGGCACGCCATCATCATCCTTCTTTCTCGGTGATCGAAGATCGACGTTATCAGCTTGGAGAGGTTGGATCGGTTTCGCATCACACAAACGCAGCACGCTGGTGTCAATATGCAGCTTTTTGGAAGTTAGTATCCAACTGCGAGGCGCAAGAGTCCAGACCGACAAAGGTCCGCACCTGTTTCTACCCTCTGTACGCACGAAACGAGACATTCCAGAACTTCAACCCGACCTGTGTGATGAACACCATGCGAAGATCGGACCTTGGAGAGAGCAGTGGACGGTAGACCGCTGGTGGAGTCAGTCCCAACGAAGCAAGGTGCGTCTTGCTGGGTATCAAAGTGCCACATTTCATCACATCTCAACACTACCCATTGTTGAACAGGGGACGAGTTGCTCGTTGAACGTCATAATCAGTGCATCACTGGTTTGTCACCACAGTCACATAGGAGGTTAGGATATCCAGCGGCTAGATGTCAGTTGGCGACCACTAAATCGACAGTATTCTGCGCGTAGCCGTCTGAAAAGCAGAGAATCTCTCAGCTCTGGAGAGGAGCGAGAGCTATTCTTTGGCTTGGCGAGTCCGATCCGTTCTTGCCCGCCGCGCTTGTTCATCCATTTGGAAGCATCTGATCGACCGATCTTCGTGTTGGACTTGAAGAAGGCCTTACCGAAGCGCCGCTTCTGCTCAGCCTCAACAAGTCGTGGGTTCTAAGGCCCGGACACGACAGCCTCCTGAACATTCGAGGCTATCTTTTTGGAGTTTCCAATAACACGCGACTTTGTGACGGTTTATGGAGTGAAGCGGTCATGTCTGCCACGTGTGCTGGTGCAGTGCTCTTGCCTGTTCCAATAGCACTTTCTTTCTGAACGACAGATACGTCATGTAAACAGACCCCGCTGGGGGTCGAGTGAGAGACAGAACACTGAACAACGGAACAACAGAATATACTGATTTTACTGCTTCGTGCGGTTACCCCTGACTTACTGCCCTGCGCGGTTACACCTTCACTTATTGCATTTACTGCAACAGACTTCCTCTCGGCTGCCTGGAGCTTGCGCTGCTCTTGCTCTGCGCGATCTTCTGGACCCTGTTCTCGTTGAACGCGATGTGGACGCTGTACGTAGTATGGCTCTCCACAGATAGCGCCCTGAAAGTATCCATTGCTTCAAGCTGCTCATTGTGCTGAGTCAGGATCGCTTGAATGGTCTCGTCCACTGAGTTGGTCTGAGAAACAGCAGTCTCTATAACCCTTTCTGAATCGTTCAGCAGGCCCCGGCTTATGGAATCGTGTTTGCTAGCCACCAGGTTCTCGACCTGCAAATTGTTGCTGTTCTCCACGAATTCGCAGGATGCGTGCCACAACCGCCGGACTCAGCCTTATAACGCATACCGCAGCGGACACGACGACCACCCTCAGTTATCCACTCGAGACAGTATGACTGATGGCCTTCAGTAACGCACCTGCGGGTCATTTTATGGCCCCTAGTGTCGTTGTGTTTGCAGTGATGAGGCTTCGACATCAAGGCACCTGTCCGAATGTTATTGAACAGCGGTGTGGACTTTGCGTTCTCAAGGTTGGGGCCGTACAAAGCAGGCATAGCCTTGGTCAAACCGTTGATGCCAATGATCTCCTGATTGGGGTCCACGCGCGGGTGCTCCCATGTATTAGTGAGGTCTGTCGCCATAGCTAGAATCGGGATGTCAGGGGTAGTTAAAGAGTGTAGATCGGCTGTGTAGGGTCAGTTTCTTCGTAAACAATGCCATGAGTAAATTTTTAGGCACTCAGCAATGTTGAGGTTGGATGGTGAAAGCCTGCTTTCCCTCTGAGGCCTCGAGAGGTTGAATATCTGCTGTACTCGTGGTATATCAGATAAGCTGATATGGCGTGCAGTGCGGATCCCATTTATGTGGAGGAGGCTTCGAGAATGGAACAGCACTGCAGACGTTGTAGCCTCATGATGAAAGTTACCAGACATGCTTACAAAAGATTGCACCTGGAATTTCGTGGGTACTGTTGACCAACATTGTCTACGATACACACCCAGAAGCGTGTTTTTGTCCACTTGCATCCGTTGTCTCGAAGGCTAGGTGCAACATGGTAGAAGATCATGTCGCGAAGTTCAGGAGGAGAAGCTGATGTTACTTGATCTTGCAGGATTGCACTTCAGAGCGGGCCACTCGACCTATGGGTCCATCCTTGATATACGCTCAGATCGCTATAAGGATTTGTCTGACATAGCAGACTTAAAAAACAAAGTCTAGATTGGGGATGGTTTAGGCTATCCTATAGCGACTCATTCAGCAACACATCGCACTTGTGAGACTTGCGTGTCTCAAGACTATCTGTCACGGTTCAGGGCGCTCTTGCCTGTCGAACCTCACCTGCCATGAGAGTGACTGCCACGTCACTCTAGCGTTGTTTACAGCTACTCACCTATACATACTGTCCGTAGCTTCACCCAATACAACCTCAGTTCAATCCTACAATACTTCCGCACATGCGTACTGATCACCCACAATCCCCGACACTATCTGAGCCAAGCTCTATTACAACATCACAGTATCACCAGATCGCGCCGACATTTCCAAGGCCTCCGCGCCGGTTGTAGAGCCTCCCGGCTTTGCTGCCACCCTACCCTGTTCTGACTCCGAGTCTACTGGATCAGTTTCAACCGACAACGACGGGGTTGAGGAGGGTTCTTCAACAAGTAGCGTATCTTCGATCGATACAGCGCTCACAATACACTCAGCCACTGCGGCGCCGTCTCAAACTCTTGCAAAACCCACAACTCTAGAAGCGAAATTTGTCACTCAGGAAGTACCTGAGCGAGCATTCGAGCAAGCCGCACAGCTAGAATCACCTCCAGTTTCTCCATTGGGTCACAGTGAAACGGTTTCTGAGCCAGTCAATTGTACAATGACAGTGGCAGACGAAGAGAAGAAGGCTCCACGGCGAAAGATCGCTAAGGTTTTGCACAAACTCAAGGCTCGGCTCTAGCTCTAGAACACAGCAGTAGGCTCTGGCGTCAAGCTTGAGGAGAACGAAGACTGCTCAGATCGTTACCAATGGGACGTTATCACAGAGATCGAGCCCGCAACTATCATCGAAATCCTGCGCTCTGCTCTACCCAAGCGCCACAAGTCATATCGCGAGGTTCCCATTGAAGGTCATCTCCATTGCTCAGGGCTCATACCATTTGGTCTTTCTATTCAAGATGTTCAATCCAATCTCGAACAAGCTCGAAGGCTGGATTGTGAATATCCCCGGTCACGGCACACTGAATCGTTGGACCACAGATGATGAGTACATGCTCACCCAAGAAGTCGAAACCGTGCGTCTTATCACCACGTACACAGACGTGCCTGTCCCATTGGTTGTTGACTACTCCGCCACACTAGAAAACGAGTTTGGCTTCCGTACATCGTCATAAACGAGCTCTCCGGCGAGTTAGCTTTCGAAAACCGCGACGGTCTCGACGATGAAGAGCTGCCTACCCCAACCAAGGACATCAAGCTGACCGAAGACCAAGTGGAAACCCTCGGCACATCCACATTCCTCGATATCGTCTTCTCCCACCCCGTTTTCCACACAACGCCTGAGGACACCTTCGCACTGCGCCACTCGGACCTAGACTGGCAGAACATCCTGATCGACAACTCTGGCAATGTAACAGGCGTACTTGATTGGGATGCCTCCCTCGCCATGCCCTGCTGCGTCGGCCACGCCGCCGTCCCGGCATTCTTCGACTGCGACTTCTATCCCAAATCCATCGTCAACACTCCCTTCGTCTGCTGGCGCGCCGGTCACTACCGTAGCATCCACGCCGCTGCCCTCGTGGAAACCCTAACGCCAAATTCACATCGAAGAGCTATATCTACCAAGCAGCGTTTGCGGCGCTGTATGAGGGAGGTGACAAGGAGGATTTTATGACTCGGGCTTCGAAAGAGATCCCAGGTTTGCAGATTGATGTTTGGACTGTAAAGTTTTTGTTAGCGAAGGGGTGTAAGAAGACGGAGGAGGTGCTGAAGACTGAGCTCTGGAAGGGGTTGGATCCTGAGATGCCGCCAGACGGACTGTTAGGAGAGGTCGAGAAGCAGCATGCGGAGGCAGCTGTGCAAATTTGGATGGATGATTTTGCGATGTTTCCCTTGAATGGCGATGATGAGGCGTAAGAGGTTCACAATATTTATAGTATCGTGTGGTGTCTCGACGCTAGAGATATACAGGGCTGGAATAGATTGGGCGTAGAAAAGATTCGTGATAGAATGCATCGCTATATGCAGGAATTTGATAGACGTAATCGCTTAGACAAAATGATCTTCGAGGCGCTATTATGCTGCTGCTGCTGCTGCCTCCTGCTTGCTTCGTACTTCAATCTTTCTGGGCTTCTTCTTCTCTGTCTTTTGTTCTTCCAGATGCCCCTGCTCTTGCCCGCTCTCCTGCCCGCTCTCCTGCCTGTTCAGCTTCCTCGGCTTCCTCCGCTCTTTCTTCTCCTCCGCACCTTCCTCTGATTCCAGGCTTCCTCTCTCCCTCTCCCTCTTGATATCCGCAGCAGCCTGCCTCAACAGCTCAGGATTCGGCACCGCATCCTCAACATCCACCTCTTCTCCCTGTTGTCCCTCTTGATCCTCCTCACCACGTTCATTCTCCTTGTTCTCATTGCTACTCTCTGCTTCCTTTCCTTCACCCTTTCCCTTCTTATTTTTCCCGTCCTTATCCTTCCCCTCCCCCACCTTCCCCAACTTAATCCAACTCCCATGTCCCAACCCCACGCCCGCCCCAACCAAACCCCCGACAGCCGTAGCCGGCACCGCCGTCACAGTCCCCACTACCGTGCCAACCACCGTCCCCAAGCCCCCCGCAACAACAGCACCGATCCCCGCACCGCCAACAGTCCCCTGAAACGCGCCCGACTGCAGCATGCGCGCCTTCTTGCTGTTGCCGTGGGCCTCGACCTCCTTGTTGTACGCATCGCGCAGGTATTTCTCGCGCTTGGCCGGGTTGCGGATGGCGTTTGCGGCTTCGCGCAGAGACGAGGCGGTTTTGTAGGAAGACAAGGCGGCTTCAGCTTGGGCGGCGGCTGCTTGGAGTTTGTCTTCGGGCGCGTCGGCGTTGGAGGCTATCTCCTTCAGTTCGCTGACCGAGGGCTCTTTCTTTTCGTCGTCGGCCATTGTGGGTGGTTTGTAGCGATTGATGGATTACGTGTGAATGGCTTGGTGTAATCACTGGTGTCTAGAGACAAGCCAGGGCCAATGTGGGTTTATGCCATGTTGGTGGTTTGAGGTGCAGCAGTTTTGATGCGGAGCATTGAGATGGAGCACGCTGACGTCACCCGTTCGCGTGATGGTAACTACTACGCGGGCAAAACTTGAATCGTGGTGGGACAGGCGCGTTGCTGCATCATGCATACATCAATTGTTGATGTTTGCAAACATTTGTTTTGAAGTTGCCATTGCGTTGTATACGAGTAGACATCCATCCAACGTCGTATTATATTAACGCTACCCAGCTACCTGGTCTTAATCTACATTACCAATCTAAGCCCAGGACAAGGTCCAGCTACCCTGCCACGCGCCACCGCTTGTCAGGTCGTTTAGACCAGATAGCTTCAATGTGCTTGCAGTCGCGTTGTACGCAACCTTCGACAAATCAACAACCACGTCGTTCAGCTTGACCTGTGTAGGGGTGCTGTGGACACCAAGAATCGTAACGTTACCTAGGGCATTGGTGTCCTTGAAGTCACCCTGGACATCAGCCTTCAGCTGTTCGCCCTGAGCAGTGAATGCAATCTCGAGTGTGCTCTCCTGCTCGATTGACTCGCCATCGTCGACGTAGAGAGAGCCAGTCGCACTGCCGTCCTTGGAAAGTGCAACGATAAGCCCCCATGGGTTCTTGCGCGACTCGGTTGTGGTGTAGCCAGGCTCCTGAGTTGGGAGCACGGCACCGCCACGGATGTAGACAGGAATGTGGCCCAAAGGAGCAGAGATCGTGGTGTTGACACCAGCCTCAGCCTGGACCTTCTCACCGGTGTACCAGTCGTACCAGGACTCTCCATCGACAAGACCAGGGAAGACACCCCTGACAGTGCTGACCTGAGGCTCAAGAACTGGTGTAACAAGAATGTTAGGGCCGAGCAGGAACTGAGTGTCGACGCCTGCAAGCTGGGGCTCGTTAGGGAACTCCCAAGCCAGGGCGCGCATAACAGTGGAACCGGTTGTGTGAGCCTGGTGGAAGAGTGTGTACATATACGGCAGGAGCGAATAGCGGATATGCATGGCCGTTCGGGATGCAGATGCTACGCTGTCCCAACGATAAGGCTCCTGCGACAACGCAGACAAGGTGTTGTGGTTGCGGTAGAACGGAAAGAAGGCCGACAGTTGCATCCAGCGTGCGCAAAGCTCTGAATCGGTGTTGCCGTTGAAACCACTGCGACTTGATTAGCAGGCGTTATGATCGAAGCAATGCATTGTACTTACCAGGTGTCGACACCAAACATAGGAATACCAAATAGCGAGAAGGAGAGCGCTTGTGGGATCGAGAAGTACATGTAGTACCACTTTGATGCATTGTCACCACCCCAGTGACCAGCCCACTTACCGCTACCAGCGAACGTGGATCGGCCGATGATGAAGGGACGCTTGCCAGGGAAAACGGAGAGAAGACCTTGGTATGTGGCATTAATGATCTGGTGGCCCCAAACGTTGTGGACGTCGTACTCTGCAACCCCGTTCTGGTGAGTTGCATTAGGGCTGACAGCGTGTACAGCAAGGTCGCCCTGAACGTGGTCGATGACATAAGGTGGGTGGTTGATGTTCCTGACCCCTGGTGTGGGCGTGGTGCGTAGGTACTCAGCAGAGACACTGCTAACCGCGGTGGCGGATGCAGCAGCTGCCTGACTAGATGAGCCAGCAGAAGCAGAAGCGGCTTCGGTTGCGTTGGTGATGTTGAAACCCTCGGGGAAGTCGTAGACAACATTGCCAACCTCACCTGGCAGCGAGAAAGGTGGGTGGACAGGGTTGAGAGTGACATTGCCAGTACCGCAGGAGCCAACACAGAAGGATGATACCTCGGTCATGTCGATCCAGAAGCCACTGAAGGGAACCTCCTTGTACCACTCAACCATCTCCTTGACCCACCAAGAAACACCATTTTCGGACAGCCAGTCAGGGAAGACAGTGTAACCGGGCCACACAGCACCAATGTACTGACTGCCATCAGGGTTTTTCAGGAAGACATCAGACTCATTACCGCGAGTGTAGGTGTCGTACGCGTCACTGGCGTTGGTAGGATTGGGAATGTAGATGGCAGCATCGACGATGGGAACGAAATGCTGGTTGTTGCCGTGCAGCCAGCCGAAGAAGTCTGCCACTCCGGAAGGCGAGAAGGTGACGGGGTCCAGTGTGAAGTCGCGATACTGGTCCATGTAATCGATATCAAGCCAAATGGTTTCCATGGGAATGCTGAAGTTGCGCAAAGTCTCGACGATCTCCCTGAGCTCAGTCCAGTTGCGGTATCCCCATCGACATTGGTGGTAGCCAAAAGCCCAGTACTGTTGCATAGCGGGCAGACCGATAGCAGAAGTCTGATACTGCTTAGTGACTTCGGGCTGAGTTGGTCCATCGAAGAAGAACAGGTCGATGCTGCCTCCAAGGCTCCTCCAGGTCAAATTGGTAGGCTTGAGAACAACATCCATACCGTGCAGGTTACGTAGGTATACACCATGAGAGTAGGACTCAAAGCCAGAGCCTTTGCCGTTAGTGGGGTAGCCGCCGTCGTCGCCGTAGCCGTAGCTCCACTCCTGAAGTTCAGATTGCTTGAGTGGCTTCTTGGTGCCGTTGCCACCTGTTGGGAAATAGCGAGTCTCCAGGTAGAACGGGTGACTGCCGTAGAGGTTGCGATCAATTGGATCACCCACGTCAGCAGCGTAGATGGTGGCAGTAAAGTTGTTGTTGAGGCGAAGGCCGTGAATACGTTCACCGAGACCATAAAGGTTGTAGTCTTCGGACAGAGTGTTGACAAACTCAATGAACTGGTCCTCGTAAACAAGGTGGGTGCCTTTGGTGGTGAAGATGACATCTCCGGTGGACTGGCGGGTTACGGTGAACCAGAAAGATGGTTCGTCGCCCCAATCAAATGCAAGATCGAGGTCCTCATGTGAATCTTCGGCCTGAGGTCTGGGAATGAGACTCTCAGGAACAACATAGTGTGAAGAGTTCGAGGTATCCTGATCATGTTAGCTTTCGAGTGCTTTCAAGCTCTGGTGATAGACGTACAAGGTATGCTGGGCTGATGTTGACAGCCAATCGGTCCTTGGACTGATATTCAACCTTCAAGTTGAGCACATCGACATCATTGCCGTAGACATTGCACGGTGCGCCCGCTAATGTTAACACAGCACTGATACCGCCATCGGTCTCTTGCAGCTGCGAGGCCTTGTAGCCCGGGCAGACATCCTGAGCATTGACAGCCTCAGGATCTTGGATGTTGGGGATGAGCTCTGCCCCTTGGTCTGCAGATGCAGGAATTGTGAAGACAGATCGGAAGGATGTAGGAGTGCCAGCAAGCGTTGTGCTCCAGCCTTCGGCTGAGGTAAGCGTTGCCGTCTGATTCTGGGCAGCCGTCAACGCCACAAGCAACGTCACTAGAGCTGAAGCTTGAAGAAAGCTTGAGGGGGCCATGTTTGCGTCTTGCTGAAGTTCAGTTGTAGGCAATGACTTCAGGAAGGTGCAACTGAGATAGTAAAGAGAGAAGAGACTCAGGCTCGTAGCTACAAGTGCCTTCTTCCATGACGGCGCGGGACGACGCAAGTTATACCTGTGTCTCATCTCAACGGTTGCGCGCTGTTTGTTGGCCATTGTGCAGTTCCCCGCAGTTTACAGCGAGAGAATGACGATGCTCGCAGGGAAGAGCTGCACTGGTGCACAAGTGCATGCGGGAGTGATGTCCAGTTCACATAATCGCACTTCCAAGCATCGCATTCGCACCGACATTCAACCAATCGGAGACGGACCTGAGTCGGACCTGACAACATCCCTCCGGCAACTCTGGGCGCTAGACCTTTAGAGTAGGACGGTTTGATAGCTTGACCATACAAGACTCGTACCATGGGAGCTTGCTTTCCACGATGTTGCTGTTGCATCTCAACGTTTTGAGCCGCAAGTGGTACATGTGGGATAACAGAGCAGATCTCCATGTTTCTCCACATCGCCATGTCAACAAGCTCTGCATGTCTGCCTTGCTTCCAAGAAAGCTTGCGAAGTTCGTATTTTGCCTAAATGGGACGACGGTACATCGTAGAGCATTGTACACGCTACCGGGAAATCCATACCGCAGGAGAATCGTTGTAATGATTGTGTTGTTTTTGTTTATTATCATCACTATGCTCGGTAATCCTACAATTACATAAGGCATGAGGCTCGATCGCAAAATCCACCACCATCATCGATCACCAGCAGCCTCCGGGACCGGACAAGCTTTGCGGTCTCCAACCTCCCGCTTTCTCTACACCTGCATCTCCACACCTGCACAGCGGCACGGCTCCACACCTCCAAAAGCCCCCAAGGAAATTTAACGAACGATTGGCTGAAAGTCGGAACGCCTGGTATCTGATTAAACAAAGGCAAGCGCGTTCAAAGACGTCGCATATAGTACAACAAGAAAGGAAAAGTGATAGTCGTATCAGTATACGCGTTTAAGTGGGACTAGGCGAGAGGCGAGTAGCTCGTCGGTCTACTCGCCAATCTCTCGCGCTTGAAGACTTCAAAACAGTCCTCTGTGCCCTCTTCAGGGAGGTACAATCCATCGTCCGGCAGCCAACTCCTCGAGTAGTGGCTCTTTTGGGTCGTTGTGCTCTGCGGTCGCGGCGCACTTTGACTTCTCGAATCACGGGCGGAATTGCGTGCAGAGGTTCGCGCGGTTTGCGTGGCTTCGCTGCCTTGCACTATGCTTGCTACCATGGAGTTGTATCTTGGGAATCGTGGAGGGGCCAGGTCGTCTTCGGGAACGTTGAGGCCGTCTTCGGGAATCCAGCTGGCGTACCGCGAGTAACGATATGAATAGCGCGGTATTGTCGATGCCTCGCTCACAGGACGGGTGCTGGGTAGACTCGGTACTGATTTCGATACTCGGTTGGGGTTTGGCATCTGGTATACGGTCGGTGATAAGCGAAAGTTTGGGTTGGTGGGACTTGGTAAGTAAGATAGTCTGGCTGAACTCGGGTGTAGGTGTGAGCTTGCCACAGGTGAAGGAAATGCTGGTGATAGTGGTTCTGGCATCAAGCTGGAATCGATGTCTGGAGGATTCGAAAAGAGTGGGTTTACGCCTCTTGCTGGGTTCCGGGTTGGTAGTTCTGGAGTTATTGGCAATTCAGCTGGCTGTTCAACAGCAGACTGGTCACCGCCAATGATATCCTGGTACCAGTCGTAAGAGCGGAAGCTAAGGCTAGGACTTGGTGGTGCGAGCTCAGGTAACGAGAGGCCGCCTTCGAGCTTTGATAGAGCATTACCCCTGGGATCAGAACCTTGCGACTCGCTATATTCGCTGCCAGCGTCCGACTTGGAGTTTCTGTTTGACTCAGTGTAGCCGCTGCCGTGTGGGTAGTTCTCGAGCTCATACTCCGAGCTGATCGTACTTGATGGCCTGTCCTGTGTCCTCGTGATGGAGATCCGAGGATTACTTGGTGGGACTGGTGGAAGGTACTCCTCGAAGCGATATCTTGGGACACGCTCATGTGGTGTTGAGACAGGGCTTGCAGCGTAACTGGCAGCGTTGAACATGACATCATCGAATATCATGCTCTTGTTTATGTTGACGTTGATCGCATAACGCCTCTCCTCAGTAGGTGGGACCGGAAGAACCTTGTCGACTGGGCTTCTTGGTGTCTGGTCGTTCTGGTTCCTAACATCCCGTTGCCTGTTTTCCGCAATCTCCTTCTCCCCTTCTACCTTCTCCTCGTCCTCCATAACTTTCCCCGGTGTGGTGTAGAACTCTGAAGGCAGTCCCGGCGTTTGCGCAGCGAATATTGCATGCTGCGGGCTGTTGGGCATGGAAGCAACAAGAGTCCGCTGATCATTGTCTATCGTCCATTTGGTCGCAGTCGATGCGGACCGATCGCGGGTAGTAGGAGGTGCTTCGGGCGATGTAATGGGCTGTTGTCCTTTTCTTATTCTGAAAAACCAAAAGCCAACGCCTATCATCAAGACGACGAGTACTGCGACACCCACTCCGATACCAATGGCTGTACCTGTGTCTAAATGCGTGGTTGATTCTGCGCCTAAGCTACCAGCAGGTGCAAATGGCGCAGCTTGATTGACACTGGTACATATCCGATTGGAGCATACTCCATCGTCGGCACAGTCACTGCTCGAAGAGCAGGTGTTGTTAAGGGCTGTAGGTGTAGGTGTAGTAAAGGTACTCGAGGCGGTTGCACTTGGCGTAGGAGTCGCGGTATCGAGCTGGAGGGAGAATTCGCGTCGCGGAATGGTAGACATTATAATTAGAGAACGTAGAGAAAATAATGGTATGTTTGAGGGTACTACTTGTCGCGAATGTTAGCTAAATATCACTCTAGTGAATATGCGTTCATACATGAATGTAAAAGATCGTGTCGAACGCGTGTGAGTGTGCTAACGAATGTATGGGATGTCCAAAGGCATCAGATTATGGGGTCGACGAAGGTCCTCACCGCAAACACTGCCTTGCCACAACATCGCGGCTGTAACGAGGGTCTCCCACGTTATTGTACAGTCGGCTAAAGAACGGATACTTTATTGGGAGTAGCCGTAAGTAGATCCGACTGAAGTTGGTGGTTTGACGATACCTAGCGCGCAAGCCATCGTCGCACCGCCTCAAACTTTCTACCAAAAACGACAATTCAAGGCAAGTGACAGCGGCCTCACGTCGAAAAAAGCACGAGGGAAATGAGGTGGAGACAACCATTGGCAGCGCAAACGCGCTTTGACCCGAAAATACAAATGCACAACAGACGATTCATGTTAATCGTATCTTCACCCGGGTGCAGTCAAGCGACCGCGTAGAATTGTCGCGTCGTCCCACAGAGGCCGAGTCATAGGAGCTAAAGTTTGTGCCTGATACCTCGAAGCGGTTTCAGGAGGTGAGTTCGGTAGCTGCCGCTAGTTCTTCGTTGCTAGCCACGCGACCACCTCCTTTGCATTCGCATTTGGAGGGAAGACCGGATACCAGACCTTGGTAATCTGGCCGTCCTCAACAGCAAGTGCAAGCCTTTTGATAAGCTTCTTGCCTTGCCACTCGAAGGTTGACAGTTTCAGTGCTTTCGTGAATTTCAGATCTGCGTCCGATAATAGCTCGTACGGGAGATGCACGCGGGACTTAACCGCTTTGTTGGTATGGTATATCCTGGGTTGAAACGCCAAAAATGGTGCTCACGCCTCATTTGCGCAGCTCGCCCATCTCATCGCGAAAGCTGCAAGCTTGAGGTGTACAGCTTCGTGCTCCCGGGATAATGTTTCATTCATCTGGGATGGTCTCGCCAGGTGCGCCAGTACGTGGGTAACAGAAAATGACGGCGAGTCCTGAGAGCTTCGACACGTCCACTTGGTCGCCTGACGTGGACGACAAGGAGACAGACGGGATCTTGAAACCGGTCAGGTGTGAGTGCACCATCATCCTGAGGAACAGGCAGATCGCTCGGGAAAGATGTATCTGATCATGTCAGTTACCAATTGCGCACCGCTACAGCATGAAACAACTGACGAGCCATGGTATACTCAGGACCCCGCCGACTGTCACCTGCATGTCACCGCTGTTACCGCGGCAGTAGACTGCAGATACCTGGACGAACGGAATTGCGTCGCTACTGCCAATGGAGAGGAAGCAGATAAGCTGGAGTACTTCCGACACCTGATGATGACATGATGTTTGAGGACCTCGATGTTCGATGTTGCAGGGATCGTAAACGTCGCTCGGCTGCGACGCGTTCCTACCTTATCGATTGCCGGAGACGCGGTCGTGTCTACCCTTCATGATGTCACATCAGCAAATCAAGTCGCAATAGAATAAGCAGCCCCGCCATTTGCCAGTAAGCTCCTGCATAGCTCATATAACGACGACACCCTACGACGCTCGTCATACGCCCTTTAATGCAGTCACTACGTCTTCTACGGCCCCTTCGAACTTCATTACAGCTTCATTGCATAGCACAACTCATTAAATCTAATATTCAGAGAGCTGCGTTCAGCACAACGTTCAGAACTATGGCGCAAGAGTTCAAGCTCAAGGACATCACGTCCTTGCAATTAAAGAACGGGGAGAAGAAAGAAGTCGAAGTCGAGGGTATTGAGGGTGGCAAGGTACTGCTGCTGAAGGTACAGGACAGGGTCCACGCTACCTCGCCCAACTGCACACATTACGGCGCACCGCTTGCTAAGGGTGTACTTACACCCGAGGGTCGATTGACATGTCCATGGCACGGAGGTACGTAATGCAAGAGCTATTGACGTGTCAGACACTGACTTCATGTAGCTTGCTTCAACGTATCCACTGGTGATGTCGAAGATGCTCCGGCGTTGGATCCTATTTCAAAGTACGAAGTTTTTGAGCGAGACGGAGCCGTTTACATCAAGACAGACGAGGAAACATTGAAGGCCGGCAGAAGGAACTTGAACCTCAAGTGCTCGTCAGTGAGCGATGAGAAGGTCCTTGTCATTGGAGGGTACGTGGTACTGCTGTGGCTCAACAACAACCGCTTACATATACAGTGGCTCCGGAACACTCGGTGCTGTTGAAGGTCTTCGCGGCGGAGGCTTCAAGGGCAACATCACAGTCATCTCGAAGGAAGGCTACCAACCAATCGACCGAACCAAGCTGTCCAAGGCCCTTCTCGCTGATTTGAGCAAGGCTGCATGGAGGTCGAAGGATTTCTACAAGGACGCATCGATCGATTTCATCGAAGATGAGGCCAAGAGCGTTGACTTCTCCGGCAAGAAGGTCGAGACAAAGTCTGGCAAGACATACGAGTACTCGAAGCTGGTGCTGGCCACTGGCGGTACACCCAACTTCCTACCCCTTGAAGGTCTGAAGGGTGACTTGGGCAACACCTTCCTGCTGAGGACACTTCCAGATGCACAAAATATCCTGAAGGCTGTCGGTGACAATGGAAAGAGAGTTGTCGTTGTCGGTAGCTCTTTCATCGGCATGGAGGTTGGCAACTGCCTCGCTGGCATGAAGAACGACGTGACCATCGTCGGTATGGAGGAGGAACCCATGGAGCGAGTAATGGGCAAGAAGGTTGGAAAGATCTTCCGCGGCCTGCTCGAGAAGAACGGCGTCAAGTTCAAGATGGGTGCCAGCGTCGAGAAGGCAACACCATCGAAGAGCGACCCATCCAAGGTTGGGGCCGTACACCTGAAGGATGGCACCACTCTCGAAGCAGACCTTGTCATCGAGGGTGTGGGTGTCAAGCCCGCAACAGAGTACCTCAAGGATAACTCCAGCGTCCAGTTGGAGAAAGACGGCTCACTGAAGACTAACGAGGCCTTCGAGGTTCAGGGTCTGAAGGATGTCTTCGCCATCGGCGACATTGCAACCTACCCTTACCACGGACCCGGAGGCAACGGCACACCCGTTCGCATCGAGCACTGGAACGTTGCACAAAACGCAGGTCGCTCAGTGGCCAGGACGATCAACGAGCCCGGCTCCAAGCCTAAGGCGTTCATACCTGTGTTCTGGTCAGCTCTCGGCTCGCAATTGCGATACTGCGGTAACACACTCAACGGCTACGACGACGTAGTGCTGCAAGGAGACACAGAGAAGCCATCATTCGTGGCTTACTACACGAACGGAGATGAGGTCGTTGCGGTGGCCTCGATGATGAAGGATCCCTACATGACGCAGGTATGTCAAGTCCACCTAACCCCGGGCGGCTGCATTGTCCCTTCGATGAGATGCGTCCTTTGTTGAGGATGTCCAAAGCTAACGTATGACAGAGCGCGGAGCTGATGCGGAGAGGGAAGATGCCAGGCAAGAAGGACCTTCAGAATGGCAAGGACATCTTGGACATTGGTCTCCCAAGCGAAATCAAGATCTAAGAGGCGTACCATGGAACTTCGGCGATAGAAGTGCCGCATACGGCAGGATAATAAATGACCGTCAAGGCGAGAGAGATAATATGACTACCAAGCCCAATATTTACACTGCGTGACGTCGACACGAACTCGCCCTTTCCATCTTAACCACGTATCCCAGTGATATAAGACATTGTACGGTGCACAGAAGACGACCGTAAGCCCAAAGACTCGAGTCGGCCGGAAAGGCTAAGCGGGAAGGAGTGGGCCAGGTGACACACGGCAAGGGCGATCAAAGCGTCTTTCAATTTCCGAGGATGACCCAAAGAAGCAGATTGTAGAGATCGTGCAGCTCCAAGCGGAGGCGCGTCATCGTAGTTGAGACCGTGTCGAATGTCAAAGAAGAAAGCTGAAGTCTGACCAACGTTCAAGCTCTGGAGAGATGCGGGCTTCGAGTCATGGTGTAGTCAGGTTAGTGATTGGGTGTGCAGGAGCCGTGCAGGGCGCTTTCCTTGCAGCATCGCGGCTGAGACACGGTGACAGACAACGTCGTGACTTGCTGACTTGTGCCTGGCTAAAGTGCGCTGAGCTGGTCCACAGATGGCGGTTCCTTGCGGGCAGTGAGGGAGTGCGCAGTGGGCTCAGGGGCAACAGCAGAGGTGTCCGCGTCTCGGATTCAGGTGTCACGTCATGAATGCAGCAAAAGCCGCTGGCAAAGCGTTCCTGGTAGGCAGAGAGGTGGTCGAGCAGCTGCCGTGGACGCAGGTCGAGGGTGTCATGGTGGTCTTCACAGCACGAGGTGCCGCATGAATGGTAATTTGCGCACCGACAGGCTGTCGCTGTTTCAAAGTGCATGCAGCCCGGTCGTGATCCTGGCTCGCCGTCGAACGGAGATGCAGCTGGTGTGGCTAGCAGCGCGGGCAGGCGCGGGCAGGCGCGTCGAAGCCAACGGTCAAGCAGCGTCCAACGCGTGCCTGAGGAAGGGTCATGTTAGGTGCTTCTAGTGCGCTCATGCTCCCAAGGTCAGACCCGGCGGTGGAGATGATGGACGCGGTGCACGCGTTGGGTCTGCTGGGACTTGTGATTGTTTATGTACGTGCTGGGCGGGCTGCTGTTAGGCCGAGCTGTGGTTGATGCTCTCCTTTCTCCCAAGCCGCAACCTTAAACGAGATTAGAATACTGGACCCAGCCGCGCCTGACGACCGTCTCGCGCTGCATTCGCTCACTTCCCTCTACGCACGTCAGGAACACGACGGGTCCTCTGTCGAGCGCCGTTGATAGAGTTGCTCTGTGCCGCTGGCGTTGCTTGCAGCTTGAGTCCACCACGCCGCAGCTCTTTGACCATCTGCGCCCGTCCTGCATTTCACGTGAAGGGGTCAGCCAACAGCCAACAACCGACTCTCAGCGCGACCGCGACCGACCGCGCCCGCTCCCGGACACGACGCCAACGATCGCAGGCCCACCTCACCTGGGCAATTGCAGCACTGCACACCGCACGCTGTTCGCGCAGCGCCTCGCAGTCCGGCCTCTGCAGAGCTTGCGCTGCACCTTCTGTGGTTGCAATAGCTAGCTGGTGCACCGTTAATTACCTCCCCGCCCACCGACGCCGCTAGAGTATGTCTGCTGCTGTAGCTTCGCAGGCGCATGGCCAGCAGCACTACCAGCAATCCCCTCGAGCGCGACGACCCTCGACCGGCGCATCGCCCAACACACCCAACACGCCCCGCGCACAGCCGCCGTCGACACAGCACAACTCCCCAGCCATGAACTCCAGTGCTGTCCCAACCGCCGGCGGGCCCATGCCTCCCCCGCGGACCTCCTCACACCGCTCCAGTAACGCCGCAGGGAGCTCAAGTCGGAGAGCAAATGAGGGCAGCTCAAGTCGCCCGCAGCCTGGGCATAGCCGCTCTGCCACGGCAGTCGGCCAGCCCCCTATTGGCACCAACCTGCCCCGCGAGGAAAGCACAGTCATCAACAGGATAGGTGTTTCAGATCCCCAAGAGGACATCGCCCGTGAGCAGGCGCGGCAGGCTGAGAGGGCGCCCGTTACCGCAGGTGCCGACCTAACGCCCATAACAGGCCTGGGTCTTGTTAGCAGTGAGGGTGTCGATGATGGCGGCCGAGGCGCTGGCGGCAAGAGCAGACAAGACCACTCGAAGAGCGAGGGCTCCACCAAGAGAACCAAGTTTGGTAACTACATCCTGGGTCAGACACTCGGTGAGGGCGAGTTTGGCAAGGTCAAGATGGGCTGGAAGCGTGACAGCAGCGTCGAGGTGGCTATCAAGCTTATAAGAAGAGAGACTTTGGGCAGCAACTCGAACCGGCTGGCGAAGATCTACCGCGAGATCCACATCCTGCGCGGGCTCGACCACCCGAATATTGTTCGGCTGCACGAGATGGTTGAGACTGAACGACACATTGGCATCATCCTCGAGTATGCATCTGGCGGTGAGCTCTTCGACTACATCCTCAACCATCGCTATCTGAAAGACGGCCCGGCGCGTAAACTGTTTGCCCAGCTTATATCCGGCGTGGGTTACCTGCACAAGAAGGGTATCGTCCACAGAGACCTGAAGCTCGAGAACTTGCTTTTGGACCGCAACAAGAACATCATCATCACCGATTTCGGGTTTGCCAACACCTTTGACCCCAAGGATGAGCTGAGCGAGGAGGTCGAATACAGGCTGGGCGATAAGGACTTTATAAGGCAAATGGGCCTTGACCAGCCTGACGCGCGCCGCGGCGATCTCATGCAGACTAGCTGTGGAAGTCCTTGTTATGCTGCCCCCGAGCTTGTTGTCAGCGACTCTCTCTACACTGGATGCAAGGTCGATGTCTGGAGTTGTGGTGTCATCTTGGTAAGTTTCTCAACTACATCTCCACTTCCACGAGCTGACCATGTGTAGTACGCCATGTTGGCTGGTTACCTGCCCTTCGACGACGACCCAGCGAACCCCGAGGGTGACAACATCAACCTCCTGTACAAGTACATCGTTTCCACCCCGCTCACTTTCCCCGAATACGTCACACCGCACGCAAGAGACCTTCTCAAGCGGATACTCGTCCCCGACCCAAGAAAGCGCGCCGATCTGTTTGAGGTTGCGCGTCACAGCTGGTTGGCAGATTACGCACATGTCGTGGGCTTCATCACCACCAGCAATGCCGCCGAGACCCAGCAACAAGGCTCGGTCTATGCTAGTAAGCAATCATGTAAGCCTAGTTGCAAGCCCAGTGTACTGACCCCATTGCAGAAGATCCATACGAGCAGCCGCCGCCTCTCGCCAGAAGTGCTTCCGTCCGGGAGCCAACGAAGACGCAAGCGCCTCCATCAGCACACGGCGGGCTCACAGCCAAACGAGACCAGATCAACACCACGACCGAGAAGCCGAAGACGTCTCGCGACAACAAGCGCCGTACCGTTCAAGTCGAATACGTTGCCCCTCAATCGCAGACCCAGCGCGGCGAAGCATCCCCACCTGTTGTCTCTCCCGATGCAACACCGAAAGCTGACCCTATCGAGCGCATGCCTGCCGAACCCACAAACACAACCACAGATGGCTACCAGTCGTCCTCCAGTGCGAGACCTCCTCGCTCTTCTGGGGCAGCAGGTGCTCCTCCACAGGCTCGACCAGGCGGCCAGCCTCAAAGATCAGTCTCCGACTACTCTGCTTTCGGTACTGCGCCCGCGGCAACGACACGGCCGTCGACAGGAGGTACCCTTGGCGGCTCGAGAATGCCATCGCGAGGCAACTCTTACGCGCAACCAGCAGCGGCTACAGTGGCCCCCACCAACGCCGAAGGTCGCTTCTCGCAACCCAAGGGCAAGAACTACTCTATCTCTGCGCCATACCCTCAACAGGAGCCTGTCGTCATGGGTGAGCCAAGCATTGGTCAACCAAGCACCCAGCGAGTGCAGTCAACTCAGATTGGACCAACTGGCGGACACCCCAAGGGTGGCCACAAACGGTCAAACACTGTCACCGAGACTCTTGGTCGTATGACATCCATGTTCGGCGGTCGTCAGAACTCGTACACACAGGATCCCAAGGGATCTTTCACTTCTCAGGACTCTTACGGCAGGCAAGATGAAGAGAGGAAGCAGAAGAGGTACCCTCCTACCTCGATGCCTGCGTCTATGTCGAACGACAACCCAATAGGATCATCAGGGCCAAGGCCTAGCACAGACTCGAGACGTCGTCCATCGTTCAGCTTTTCACGCAAGAACACCGATGATGGGGGTCAGAAATCCCGACGCTTCTCACTGCTTCCGTCCTCATTCTCGAAGAACTTCGGCTCCCAGAGAGAAAGTATGCCGGCTGACAGTTACGGCCAACGTCGCGGCTCCAATGCTGGTCGAGCTCGCAACAACTCTCGATCTGGCATGGCGTTCGGTCGCGGCACAGAATCCCGTTCTCCTAGTCAGAGCACCATGGGAAGCAATGCCGTGCCTGGCTTATACGATGGCCAGCAGGACAGCAACTCGCGCACCCGCCACCCTAACACCAGCACCCACTCCCACGGTGCGCCGGGTCCTTCCTCCGCACCGTCTCACCAGACGCAGTTCGACTACCCTAGCCAGGCGCCTATCGGCGACGACAAGTTCCCCAACCCCCAGCAGCCACACCCTAGCCAAGCGCCCAACCGGCCGTACGGACGTCATCCTAACGATAGCCAGGCTAGCGAGCAGATGACGCCAACGCAGTCTCACGGCTCACAGCCGCAGCGCGTGCAGTACCCGCAGGGCATGGGCGGGGAGCAGGAACAGCGAGGTGGCAAGCTGCAGAAGCACAGGAAGTTCGAGGATGCATACGAGGGTTCGGGCGCAAACAAGGGCAGCTCGGGCAGCAGTAAGAAGGTTATGGACTTCTTCCGCCAGATGGGCAGGAGACGAGCGGGAAAGTGAGGGCAACAATCTGACCGGAACCAACATTCTTGAACATATTGTTCGACTCGACAGATTTACAGCATTGGCAGCGAACACCGCTTCGCGCTGTCAGCCACAACACACCAGGAGAAGCGGAAAGTACAGATCGAATTCGTTTTGTTCGCGTTTTTGCTTGCATCGCTGGATAGAGCATCAGCGAAAGGGTTCGATAATATTTGCATTAGGTGGCGTTTCCATTTCTGGTCAGGCGTTGTACTTTCTACGCGTTGGACTTGGGCCACATTGGCCTGTAATCTTTACTTCACTTTGTAACTTTTTTTTTTCTTATTCACAGCTGGCGCTGCAGGCGCGATACTATTCGGGATTGTAGGGACGAAATTGGTACTTGAGGAGGAGATGAAGGGTGGAAGGTGACGCACATCGTGGAGGAAATTGATAGGAGGATTGGTATGGTACAAGTAGTGTAGGGTATAGTGTGTGTAAAGATGGGTGCAAATGGGAATGGGAATACTTCGAACGCTGGACATGATTGCCTCCCTGTTCACAGTGCGAATGTGATAACTAGGCTCATTTGTGCGGCTAATGTATATAGTCAGCAGCAAGGTAGGAAACAAATACACTCTCACGTCAGCGTTTGGTAGCATAGACTGTCAGCACTAGCTTACCTGATAAAGCCAACGTTTGACTTCTCTGACTTTCTCACAGTTACCAACATGGCGTCCCTGCATTGAGGCGAGGAAGTCATACACAAAGATGAGCAGCAACAACAACTCGCTCGGCATCCAGCGTGGTAATTACCAATGGAGCCTTTCCGGACCACTTCTTCTAGTCCTGGGCCGCCTTGCCTGCATACCACTGCAGTATGCTATCGTCACGCACCACCCGCTATCCGTTCTTGGTATCCCTCAGCGCTCCATCGATCTGTCGTTCTGGCCCGCAGCTCTGCCTCCACCGCCTCCACCGCTTCTCATCTTCCTAGCAACGACCGGCATTCTCATCGCCAAGCAGAGCATCTGGGTATTCGGCATCTGCAATGAGTATATGACCGTCCCCTTCGCACTATTCGGCGTGCTCGCCGATTTCTTCTACGAGGGTGTGAGCGCTCTTGTCTTCACGGTACCGGGTGATTCATTGCTCTTGCCTCTGGAAGAAATGTTAGCAAATCTGATCACCATCGTAATCTGTGACTGTCAGCGATTTACTGAATACATAATATAATGATTGTCCAAATGTACGAACCTCCTGAACTTGGAACAGTGATGCAATCGGTACATCTGCACCATGGTATAATCGTGCGGACAAGCTTGTGAGTGGCTATTACCAACGTTGATGCCCTTCATGACGTCTATCAAGCTGTCACAACTGTCAAACAGACAATCAACAGCCACTCGGAAGCCTTCGCTTCTGTATGATGTAGAGGACTTCAGTAGCGAGCCAGATTCAGGGGGGTCCATACATTTTGGCAAGCACCGCTAATGACACAAAGAACGCCGCCAAATCGCTTAGAATCTCCAAAACCTCTTACTATCATGCAGCCATAGTCTTTGGAAGGTCGATGACTCCTTCCGTTTCAGCATAATCCTCAAGCCGTTCAATGGAGACTTCCTTCTTACAAAGCTCAGCCTCCACCTCTTGCAAAAAGCCTACAGGAGGCAGCTCCAGCCCGAGAACTTTTCCTAGTTCTTCTTTAGGCATAACTCCCATCGCCGGCCAACCCTTATCCATGCCACCGACAGTTCACCAAGGTCCAACCGAAGATCCGAAATCGCAAAGACAAGCTTCTGCAGGACGTCACTCAGATCGCCAGGTACCACCTGCTTCAAGGCATCAATTGCAGCCTTGTATAATGCCGACTTCACCGTATACTTTGCTTCCGAATTGCCTGCCTCAACCATAGCCGCAGCACACATCTTTCGATAGTAAGGTGCCCGCCACCCCATATACGGGTGGCGCTTCATTGCGCCAGGGTACCAATCTGTTTTCAAGAACCTCGGTACGGCGACATGATCAACACAGCGAGGCATAGCCAGTGATGCATCCCAATTGATGATCCCAGTGAAGTTGCCCTCGTTATCGACAAGTATGTTTTGAAGGTCTAGATTGTTGTGTTGGAGGACGAAACCTTTTGGTGAAGAGTTGAAGATGGGGTGTGAGAAGATGATTTGGCACAACCTGTGCAGACCTAATACTTCGCAGTCCTCATCATCGTATTCCCCGTTCTTATCCAGCTCAGGGATAAAGCATCCATCGAGGGCTCCTTGGAGGTAGTGTGCATAGAAAGAGATGGCTAGTACTCGTCAGCTTCTCTGGAGTTGAGGAAAGGCCAAACAAAGTAGTTGGTAACTGGCAAACGCTTACCAAAGCGATGGATCGTCGACAACTCATCGAAGAAAGGCATACCGATGTGATTCCACTGGATCCTGTCGAGCTCAGTCATGGTGTGCGCAGGTGAGCGGAGGAAGTTGAACCGCTTCCTCCCCGTAGCGTCGGAAGGCCGGTCAGAAGACTTGTGACTCCAGTCACCATCATCTACCTCTGTCCAAATTGATGACGCAGATTGACCTGGCAACTTTTCCATGATGATGTATGATTAGCCGTATTTGTTACAAACTGTCTTACTGTACACGTGGACCTCTGGAACCGGTACGTTGGTGAAGCATAACATTGGCCTCGCACCACATCATATGTTCGTCTTCTGTCCATCGATCTGGTGTGCCATGACCGGGGATTTTGATAACATAGTGTGTTCACACTTCCGTAGTGGGGTTTACAGTGACCAGCTTGATAACCTCATGGTATGTTCCACGCGTCTTGCAGTGACGATGACGAAGTTCTTGTACTCATTAGGCCAGAATATGCCTCCACATAGAATCTCCTTGTAGGTCGTAAAGGGGATATTGGCAATGGCATCCCACTGCTGACGCATATACCCGGGGCTAGATGCTGTGGAGGTCAACTCTGAGGATGGATGCAACGACGCTGCGATGCCCGAATCCGCTTGAGGTAGCTCCGTGTCTAGTTCTGCCTGAGATTGTTCAAAAGATAGAGCAGGAACTGACGTAGATCGTCCTACCAAAAGAGATATTGGTAGGGCTGCTAGCGCAAGCGCTCGAGATGTGACGATACATGAGGCAGAACCAGGGTCCCCGGAATCAGCTGACGTGTTAAAGTTCAACTTCTTGCTCAGCTTGGCCTTCAACACTTCGTGCTTGAACGGACAAGGGTTCGTATTTGACCTCGAAGCGCTAGACTGTTTAGATCGATTGCATCTTCGTACATGCAATGTACATACATGTGACGAACATCGTGCTATATGTTGTACATGTGTCTTGCCAGAATTTTTCTTTTTACGGACTTCTTTCGTCCACTCAGTCTCCAGCAATGAAGAACCTCACCGCAAGGACCACATACTCTTCCTTGAACACACCCTGTCTCTCCCCTTTGACTTGTCTCAGAACTCCCTTCTCTTCGCCCTTGTCAATACTCTCGGCGAACACAATAACGCAGTCGTCATTGAGCGGTGGATTATCTACAGTCTTGAGGCGGCCAGGGCTTCGTGGCGGTTTGGTTGGTGATCGGTGCGAAGCCTTGCGCTTCTTTGAATCTGACGACGCGGACGACTGGGGGGTAGCAGGGCCCGGGCATCGGAACTTTGGTGTGGGAAAGGACGACTTCGTCGGTGATGGTGTTTGTAGTTTGCGCGGCGATGTGAAAGGAATCGTATGTTCAAGAGATCCATCGAGTTGCGGGATCTGGTCCGGAGCCGTGCCTCCCGCGTCAACTACTTCGGCTGACCTTTCAGGTAAGGGGGACGAGGGCACACTAGACAGAGGCGATGAACCACCTGGAGCTCCCTGAGCTGTTGTTGACTCGAGTTGGGCTGGCGGTGAAATTGGTGGCACAGAAGTCGTCGCTGCAGGCTTGGTCGGTGACCTGGAACGTCTCATTCTTGCTGCTTCGCGCAGAACCTCTTCGGGATCGTCGAGTAGGAACGTGGCTGCTTTGGGGCCCTGTATACCAGGTAACGCATTGCGCGAGAGAGTACGGCGTTGCGGCATGGTTGACTGAGTTTGTGGTGCGAATGCGGACGCATGCACAGGTGTGGGTGTCAATATTGGTGGGGCTGTGGTAGTCAGTATTGGTGCAGTCACGAACGCTGCGATCTTGTCTGGTACGTCGATCGTGTGGTTGACTGGCAAGTCCTCGTCTGTAGGCCCCTGGTGTTTCTTGAGGTATGGGAGCGATACGTGGATTGCTTGGTCGGCCTGGCCATCTTGAATGCTGTCACGTCTCTGCTCACGCGTGCTATGCTCCGTGGTATCGGACTGCAGCCGTCTGATCGGAGAGCTTGCTCGAGAGCCCGCCTGAAATGTCTTGTTACGCAAGGTACTCTGCTTTCGCGCACGAGACCTAGCTTTTGGCTCCTCATATTCGGAACCAGGTGTATCTGCGCGACCATCGACCTCGCCTTCGCCGAGGCGATTGTGACTTACGATGATACGTTGTGCGACCTTCCAGCGATGATCGATTACTAGCATGCCATTCAGCCCTGTGATCACAAGGCGATTGACTAGCACGCTAGAATGAGGTGCATCTAGGTCAATCAAGGCTGCATCTTTCGTCGGCAATGCACTTCGTTTGGGTTTTGACGTGACAGCAAACATTGCCGTTGGCGGAAGCGGTCCACACGATTGAAACGCTGGTGGCGAGAGGGTTACTGGTGTCGCGAGCTGCGCAGGTCCCGGGTGTCCGAAGAATGGCGGCGTATGTGGCAGTAGGCTAGGCAATCGGTTCGGAGGCATGTATGGAACTAGACCGGGAGGATACATGCCCAATGGAGCCTGCTGTGAGACGTGCGTAGGGTAATAGGGCGAAGTCATGGCATTTGATGAACTCTTCCAAGCGAGAGTAGTAGGTTGCATCAACGCTGTAGGAGCCACATACGGAGTAGAAGGGCCTGGGATAGAAGTAGAGGTCGGTGTGCCGATACCACTAGGCAACATGGGCTGCGCAAGTGGGGAAGTATAATGGCCGAATGTTTGTGGCATTGGGCTTGAACCTGAAGCTGAGGAGACAAACAGCGGACTGCCAGTCGCTTCATGGGCGTTCATGGTCTTGGAAAATGGCATGCTGGTCAGACACGGACGTAAATGAGTCGTGTGGGGGCTGCTTACTTGGGGGTTTGTTGGTGAAGAGTGGTACTCCAGGGAGATTAGAGATGCACTGCTATTCTTTTCCTGTGCTTTCGATATGTCGCCAATCATTTCATAGGTACGGCTACGATCATTCGAGGGCAAACGCTCATTGTGACTGTCGCTGCGATGTTCTGGTGGTGGGCAACGTGGGCTGACTCTGCCTGCAATGGGCGATAGATCATGGTGCGATGGAGACTGGTTTGGTGGAGGAAGATAGGGTATCTGTGCGCCCGAAAATGGACTTTGAAAGTCCAAGCTTTTCTGTGCATGCTGCGACAGAGTTCGTACCGGGAACAGTGCTTGGCGCTTGCGAGGGCGCTGGTGCTGTGTATCGGTATCCTCCTCCAAGTCTACGTATGCTTTGTCCAGATCTGGATGCGTTCCTTGCGTAAGCTTGTCCGCGGCGTCTTGAGTCTGGTAGAAGTCGGCTGTGGCAACCTCGTTGCTGGGTCTGGGTTCGGTTCGCACGGTGTAGTTCGAATCTTTAAGTCTCTGTGGGCGCTTCAGGTAGTTTGTACCGGTAGTGAGTTTGCTGCCTATGCCAGCCGTGATGACGACGTCCACAACACCAAACTTTCTGCCGCCAGGCTTTTGCATGTTCCCGACACACTCTGGCATCTGCATGCTTGCCAGCGCGTGCAAGAATTCACCTGACGGCGGCGACTTTCCATCCCTGTCTGTGCCTCGTTCTTCAGCTTCTTTAAGCAATGCAGCACTGATCTGCTCCCAGCGCTCTGGAGGAGTGATGGTTTTTCGAAATCGTCTCGTTCCGCCATCAGCGGTAGTGTATGGCGGCAGCAGGACCCACGGCCTCTCGGCAAGGAAGTCCACTCGATAGCCGGCAAAGACCTGATGAAGAGACTTGGCGCCCGACCGGATGTCGTTGGTATGGATCAGAGAGCAAGCTGAGAGCTGACCATTGAACAGCGCTTCGATCTTCAGGTGTGTCTTGCCTGAAAACCCAGACACGAAAGTCTTGTCGGATAGCTTGACGTGCAAGGTGAGAGCTTGTGGGCGATTGTCCTCTGACGTATTAGGACATTGACGGCTGCCATACAGTCCTGAGGATTGGGCAAAGCCACCGTCTGCCTGAACCTGCATGAATGGTGCATTGCCCAGCCAATTGAGTTCATAGCCGTCCGGGTCGCCAGGAAACAGCACGTGCTCTTCGTCAAGGAGGAAGCTGTGCAGAAGTCTCTTCTCGGCAGCTTCGCTTTGTCGCTTGGCTACTTCGCCCTTCTTAAGGACAACATCGCTGGTAGTTGTCTCGGCGAGGGGCATGGAGCCCAGGCGAACGGTGATGCTGCGAGCATGATATGTTGGCATGCTAATGGAAAATTAAGAAAATATTGAAGCAATGAATACGCCGAACAACACTGTTATACATGCAATGAACGAAGTGTGTCGACCGGCGCCGAATGTGTGCGTCTGTCTAGTGTGTAAAGAGATTGGGCGAGGCTGTTCTTGCAACGCGATATTACTACAGTGCGGCAGCCAGGCCAATCGCGTGGTTGGCGTTGTGCGTGACGTAGCGTGTGTCCAGTTGGGCAAGAGCAAACGGACGTCCCTTCCCATCCTGCCATACACCACACCTGCATGGTGAGACTTGAGTGCTCCGTAAAGAAGAACACCAGGAAGCATGCTCAAAGTCTCTTCCCTCACCAGGGCGATCTAGGGCAGCGAGCTTGATGTCTCGACAGGGCCAATCATTGAAAGATCCGGACCGTGGATATGGTGGTCTGACATATCATGGTATTGCTTAGGTCCCATTTGTGGCAAGCTTAGAGGGAACAATCCATCGTAAGGTATCATGGGCCATTCGTGAAGTGTTCATAGTTCGATCTCTCCGCCGGACTCGATGCAGCCTTGCCCTCTCCTTTCTTTGTCGGTCCCATTGACACCCCAATCGTCTGTGATGATCCCAATAGGCGGCCCACCAAGAACATCACCCAGCTCTCCTATCGTCTTCTCGTAGATGCTGCCAATGTTGCGCTCTTCCCAATCTTCGTCCTCCTCCTCGTCCTCATTGTGTTCAAACCCTTCAAATGTCACAGTGTCATGATCTGCCCTAGTTCCTACCCTGTAAGCGCCATCTGTATCTGTGTCCATTGCTTCTCCCTCGGTCGTTTCTTCATCCTCTCCTACAACACTTTCTCCACTCAGCACACGCACCACCGTCAATCGCGTGCGATCAACAATGCCCTTCAGTCGCACCTTGTCTGTCGTAGCTACCGAACGGCCCGCTTCGAAGCCTGGCAGAGTCTCTCCGCTCGAAGAGTCGTGACCTGTGAGAAGAGATGAGAAAGCGTAGTCGAGCTTCGAAAGGAGCCGGAAGGTGGCTTGGGTGGAACGCGAGGTGTTGTGGAATTGTGGAAGAAAGTCGACAGTGAGCACGGCGAGGTTGAGGAGATAGGGAATCTGCAGGTTTGCTATTAGAGCACAGGAATTAGGCAGACATTCATAAGAAGCATGGTAGAGAGCGCATACGTGACCCCGAGACCCAGACAACATCTACCAAATCGTCCAGGTCCTTCGCAACTTCCCAGAATGCGCGGTATCCTTCTTCTTGACCAAGGAGGGCTGGCGTCTTCCTGTTCGTCACGCGATTGTCAACGCGTTTCTGGATTTGGTTCACGCCATGGTCTAGATATCTGATGAGCTCGCTCTCTTTCGTGCCACCGGGCTGCAGTGGGTGTTTTCGGGGCTGTGGTAAAGGCGATGGGTGGTGTGAAGCCGCCACAGAGGAAGCAGGCGGCGTTATCAGATCTGCGCGGTCAGGACTTGCGATCGAAGCCATTGTAAGGGCGAGTTGAGGTGAGGTAATAAAGATGTGGAGGGATTCAGGGTAGGATATACAAGAAGCGATTCTTGGTGAGTAAGCAACAAGGTGCAGCTGTCATCCTAAACTAAGATTGTTACAATGTGAATGATGAAAGAATGGCAGCCCAGACGCGGTTCAGCGCTGTCGCAGAACTACGTAGGGTGCGCTTTTCTGCGTTGCAACGCAGGGAATTGATGAACGCATAGCGATGATAGGAAACGGCGAACGACGACCCTGGCGAAGCCGCGGGGGCCATAGCTTCACCACCGCCCTCATGTGTGCACCAACTCAAGTTCTCGACGACGAGGAACTCACTTGCACACCCATGGACCGATGCCAATGCGTCCTGCAAACGGTGTCGCATTGGCACGTATGCACCTGGTAGTTATTGCATGAACGGAGCTGCGTAGTCGTTCTTTCCCAACTTTCTTCGTCATGTTGGCGGTGAAATTTTCCCTGGCGGACTCAAAGATCCTGCATTTGGCATGCCAACCGTTCGCACTAGCGCAGCGCAAGTTCTGACAAGCGGGTGAGAAACTCCAGAACAGTGACAGCGGAGCGACAGCCTTGACCTGCAAATCGCCCTCAAACCATCACGTTGTGCTGCAGCCTTGTCACGCCAGGATCCGGTCAAAACACAGCCTCGAAATTCCTGACCAATGGCGCAACTCAAGGGCTCCGGCATCCTTACACCAGCTGCTTCAATCTCACAATATATCTGCATTTGCTGGACGTCTTACGCCGCGCGTTTGATGAGGATAAGTCTATTCTGGGCAAGGCTAAGGTCCAAGGAACCACAGGTCTGCCAAAATTCGGACGTTCCTGTTTCTGTTCAATCATGACTTTGCCAGTCACAGCAAAATAACGGGCAGAGAGCGTGGTGAAGAGAAGGAGTTTGACGCGTTTGCAGGTTGCATGCGGAAGATGGCCGGGAACTATAACTACGACCAATTGGCGACCGTTCACGAAACCCAAGACATAGCCAACGCAAACAAGGCATTCAACAACATAAGCCCGATCCTTCCACCATGGACTTCGTAAGTGACCCGGCGGCCGTTGCCGACTTGCAGTTTGGACGAGAAGCCTGGATTCGTTAGTGTCAATAGCTTCGATACCTTCGATTCAACGAATTCCTCTACGAGCAGCTTCGAGAAGCTCAAGAAATTGGGCCATCGCATTCGCAGAAAACCTTTGCCCCGGTACCTACGAGGTTCCATGCGAGTGCATCCTGCTACAGAGATCGAGTCGAGGCGTGTTAGCAAGGGCGGTTGAAATGATGAAGTACTTATCGACCGGCCCCTCCGAGGAATGGCTGCTCTCATGACACTTTTTGCCATAGGTATGATCATTGTGATCCCTTGTATGCAGAGCATTTCCGTGATTGAGTGAACGCCAACACGACATCTGTTGGTGGTGACCTGAAAAACTGCAAAGATGTCACGTACACCAACACAGCAATGCTACTCTTGATCAATATATGCGCAATCATGATCTTGGGCATGAGCAACATGTATCAGCAGTTGGTCACACCCATCAAGATTACATACCTGAAGCACGTGCTCTCCAAGTTTGACGATTCACGGTTTGGGACCAATTCTCCGTTCGCATAAACCAGAAACGAAAAGGCAGGAAGCAGTCCTGGGCAGCGTGGGCTTTTCTCGTGCTGACGTCTATGCCGGTGCATTTTCTTGGTAGGTGTCTCCTTGGACACAATGAGCAAGTACTAATCAAGCGGTGTAGCTAACTCATTGGATTGGTCCATCCTTCATCCAGATTCTCCCGAACGAGGTGCTGTTCCATGATGTTGCCAATATGGCCGCCATGTATTATGGCACGAGCAGCAACTACTACAGTCAGAGATCGCTCAATGAATATGCATCGTTCGTGTGTTGGTCTGCCCTCAGGACGGGCCAGCCCCACTTCCCAGGAAACACACATGTCCTCGAGGCAGGGCAAGACACGTACAGTGCGGATTCGAGCGATTTTGGCAAAGCATGGAATACGATCCAGGCGCACTATGATAGGAACTGCACCAACTACGTCAAGACTGTGACCGATGTTGCAGCATTGGAAAAACTCCCATGTCTACGATCGGAATTACTCGAGCCGTTTGGTCTACAGAGATGGGAAAAGGGTATCTATTGTACTCTGCACGACGAGGAGCCTGCTGAATGCCGACTGAATGTCCGCATGGGCACTGCTTTCATCCTTGCTGCTTGTCTGGTTCTGAAAGCAGCTTACATGCTATCTGTCAACCTGCTGGCATGAGGCAAAATAAAGTCACGTTGTTTGACCCTTTGTGATGTTCAACGTCTGATCCAGAGTTAAGAGTGCAGGGGTAGGGATGCAGCAACATCTATTCGAGACATGGCTGACAGCTTCCAGCGAGTGTATGGTCAATGGCGGAGACAATTATCGCAGGCACATCACGCACACCTGTCACAAGAATTATCGCAACGTCGAGGACTCGAAGACAGGCGATATGTGAAATCAATTGCTATTGATGGAAGCCCATAACTTACATTGTCCAGATGAACTCGGTAATTGCCAGAAGTGCAAGAAGTTGAACCCCACGAACAAATTCTCCAACGAACCCCAACCTACGAATTTGTGCACCCTTGGCCTCACCGCTGCATCGATTTTTCTTGCTGTTCCGTAGGTACGAACTTATCTGGCACAGGGCCTTCACTGACATCGGTAGGCTGACCACAGCAAACGAATCCCAGAAGAAGGGTTGTCAACGCAACCATCAAGACGCGTCGTATCAGTCTGATTACTGCTCCATGTCCGACGCCAATCTATTCAAAGAGCTTTCTGGTGGATGGGGCGGGTTCAACTGATCGTTGACCGCTGCCGTTATGGAGCCTGATCGTCTCAGCAACGAAGTCTTGTCTTTCGCAATGTGGGTACACGCAGGCTTCCAGTGGCCTTCGCTGACAACATGTAGCTCGAACGGTGCGCAATTCATCTATTGGCTGTTGTATCTCATGATGATCTACAACATCACCTTAATCAGCCAGGTATGTAAAGAACTCCTCAGTAGAGCGAACGTTGTTAACAGAAGATAGGAGCAAGACTGGGGCAAACTTGATATGGACGTGAACGTATTCAAACTACCCTCGTGGCTGGCGAGAGCTTCTCGCAAGAGTACCTTCTGCAGCTGCCGATGAAGATGCTCTTCCCGACTATGGCGTACAGTGTGTTAAGGCGTTGGATGCTCGGTGAAGCGCTCCAGGCTCAAGAGGCTATCTGGCTTGAGAACGCTGACGGCCGATATGTCGAGCACTCCAGATATAACGTAGGTCTGCCCACTCAATGCCGGATTTGGAGTTCTGACAATCCTAGATCACCTACACCGCACATGCCGTCTGGACAGCGGCATTCCTAAGTCTACTGATGGCTGGTGTGTGTTGGTGGGCCTTCACGTACAAGCGTGAGGGGTTCGTACCACAGATGTTCGGCAGTGTCAGAGTTCTCTGCGCGGCGACGACACAGCTCGACGACTTCCTTTCGAACGGGAATACAATGGGGCGACTTGGGAGAGGGAAAGCAGTTTCGACACGCTGGGCTCGCGACGGAGCAAGGTAGGGAGATTGTGGCGAACGTACTCTTTGCCGGTAAGGACCTTGACGCGCAAAAGGAAGAACTGGATGAAAGAACGCTCGAGGTACCGACATTGCAGAAAGTCGGACGGGAAACTTGACGGTCAACGGGAAACTTGACGGTCAACGGGAAACTTGAAGGGAGCTTGACCGCTGTATCTGAGTCACGTCGTGGAGAGGGATCCTCTTCTCCGCGATTGCGGAAATGGATTCGTACATCGGCCCACCCACCAAGATACCGGAGTAGACTTAAGCTTAATTAATTGATCTGCAACAAGTTGTGCTGCACTTTTCGAGAAGGCCCTCTATGGCTACCGAGCGCGGCAGATGTTGAATGAACAGCATTGGCAGACAAGTACACCGATCCACAAAGCTCCTTCCTGGCGCATTCTATTGCGAATCCGCAAGGGTTAAGACCTACCGCTGCTATCTTGAGATCATCACAAGTCGTGCTTGATGGCCTGCTTGGTCATTCGGAATACTATAAGCACACATGCGTGATTCGGAGTTCATGGTTACCAACCAAACACGGCGATCTCAAGCGATGGTGATACCGGACGGCGCTCTGAGTGGTCAATTAGAGGACCCGCTGAATAATGTCAGCGACGCCCTTTCCCATGCGCCCTACAACGCCAGCTTTGGCAACTTGTCGTTCCAACACGAATTTGACGCGCAAACAACATCACGTTCCATCATCTGTCAGCGCACGTACCACGCTGGAGTCACTGAGCACCGCGCAGTTCACGAAGATTTGCTCATCGGCCCTGACCGATCGTTAAGTGCTGTTGAAACTCGATTTTATTGAGTCTAACATCTAAAGGTATAGTAAGCAAAAATCTGCAAGTAGTCCAATGACACGTCGACTCCACTCGGTCGAGTATTCTTAACATATACGGTTTTGGGGCCTGGGATCACACCAGTGTAAGGAAGGTTGGAGGATTAACGCACAATTGTATGGCATTGTTGTTATCACTTGGCTGCGGAGGCTAGACTGCACGGCAGTTGGGGTCCCGAGATGAGAACACGCGTCGTGCCGTGTATACTTAACATACACTGTCGAGCTGATTGCTAGTCTTGAAGTTGCGACAGTGTAAGGTAGGTTGAGGCTGAATGCGGCACCACGAGGAACATCACAACGCTGGGTCTCCACCTTGGCCATGCAAGCTAGCAATCGGTTCCAGACAACATGCCGTATCCGTTTCAAGTTTTCGCCGTAGGCGACAATAACAAAGAACGCAATTCTTCGAAGAATGATTCGAAGGATGTACAACGTGACGATGAACTCCGAGCTTAGCGTCTCTCATCATTGGCTGCAATCTGGTGCAGGGTATGGTGGTGAATCCCTGCGTCTTCCTTTCCCGTGTCCGTCGGTCAAGCCACCATTTCTCAGCGCTCCTTGCACATGCACCCTGCTGTCCATCGACAAGCCATCCACTGACAGATGACTCAGGCAAGTTTGTGGTCGATATGTATAAGATCATCGTCGCCCCAGGCGTTTGCAGCCTCAGACCACCAAATCCACACAAGACTACCAGGAACATACGACTCAGATCTTTTCCTGTTCCACACAGCTAGCTAGAGTTTACTCCGCATTCAAAAGGTTGTCTTAGCTCTGTTCCCCACCCTCTTGTGCAAACTCTCCCTTAGTCTTCGTTCCTTCAGCGGTCGCCAGCTTTGAGGCGCACTCAATACCTTCAAGATGCCATCCTCCTCGGGCGCATCGATCACCTCAGCTTCCCGAACTCACCCAATGTCCAGCCTAGGAAACCAGATCGGCTCGAAGGTTCGAACACTCGCAAACATGGGCCATCCGAACATCGAGTTCGTCATGGACGACAGCGATGGACCATGCCGCATCATCCCAAGCTACTCTACCATGGATACCATCTCAGGACACGTTGCCATCACTGTGCCAGCCGACACTCGGTTTGAGGACATCGACATTGCCTTCATTGGTGAGTGAATACATAAGTCATCTGCACGTGTTGGCTTTACCAACCCTTAAGGACGAGAGCTAACACTGGTTACAGGTACAAGCCACACTTTTGTCGACAGAGTCACCACAACACCTTCCATGACAGGACGTTCTGAATCCACCCATCGCTTCCTGACACTGCGGCAGCCGGTCGACGAATCTTGCTTCCCATCACCGAGGATCTTTGAGGCTGGAAGGACGTACAGGTTTCCATTCTTCTTCAACATCCCGGAAAGACTGCTTCCTAAGGCATGCACACACGATGTCGTAGCAGACCATGTTCACGATCAACACCTAATGCTCCCACCGAGCTTAGGCGATGCCGACCTATCTGGCTTTGGAAGCCGACTGCTTGATGATCTTGCGCCAGAAATGGCGAAGATCACTTACGGAGTGAAGGTCAGAATTGCTCAGCGAGGGTTCTTAGACAACGTCATCCACGTCATCGGGGAGCGAATGAAGGCAGTCCGAGTGAAGCCTGCCTTCGATGAGCAAGCTCCCCTTAACATCGATGGCAACGACGAATACAGACCCAAGCAAGAGAAGACGATCAAGAAGGGGCTGTTCAAAGGCAAGCTGGGCACACTGACTGCTCAGACCATACAGCCGAAGCCGTTCAGCATTCCGGGGGCTCGCACTTCAAACAACAAACCGATTACTACAGTAGCCAAGCTGGTGCTACGCTTCGATCCCGCAGAAGAAGGGGCACAGCCGCCAGCCCTAAGCTCGCTGCACACAAAGCTCAAGGTGTCTACCTTTTACGCAACAACACCCATGCACAACCTGCCCTCTCGAACACACTTGGCTTTCGACATGTCACAGGGTGTTTACGCCGAGAATGTGGCGTTGAACAGCCTGTGCATTACCAAGGCCAAATGGGAGGAACACACTGCAGCTTCGAACCCCGCACCTGAATGCCTCACGCGCCGCGACTCTGGCATCTCCGACTGCTCTACGGCAAGCGATACCGCGAATGCTTTCGCAACCGGCATCCTAGTGCCTTCCAGCAATTACAAAAACGGCACTTTCTACACCGCACAAATCCTTGTGCCGGTCACTCTCACTGAGAAGAAGAGTTTCATCCCAACATTCCACTCCTGCCTCATCTCGCGCACGTACACGCTTGGCCTGCAAATCGCTCCACAAGGAGGCTCGAACATCAGCCTTAAGGTCCCAGTTCAAATCTGCGCCAACGGTAGCGACACCGGCATTGAGAATGCACGAGCGCGCAGCGTCGAAGCCGTCATGTACAGGGAGGCAGCAGACATGTTTACACCCAGGAGTGTTGCACCGCCTAACTTCGACGGCACGAGAACCAATGTACAGGCGAGAGACGAGCTGCCGCCCGACTATGTGGCCTTTGCACCCTCCACCAGGGTGGCGGCGAGATCGGGGGCATCGGTTTAGGCTTTGATGGAGGCTGGGCCTTCTTGCGGTAGATCAGTTTCTTTTGTGTCCTGTTGTGTATATACCCTATCGTGCCTTTTAGTTCTGAAATTGGTTATGGCGTTTCCTGGGGGGTTATTGTCGATCACGCATCTTCGCTAAATTTGTTGTAGCAGTTGCGCGCAGATGTGTTTACTAGATTGCTGGATACCCTTGCTGTACTGTTTGTAATAGTATCATACCCATCAATAATCATGACTCTGTCTAGATCCTAAATGCCTCACGTCGACACGGTTGCGATGATAGTGATTGCTCTTGCTTGTTGAGGGCGCACTTGCCTTCGAAACTGGCAGTTCGAGAATGTTGAACGCAAGTTCATTTCGAGCGCTTCTTTCCTAACTCCAGCACTCCTCTAACAACAACAACAACACCAATTCGAGCATCACGCAACATCACGATCATCCACGGAAAACCGGAAGAGTCAATTTTCATGGAAAAGGAAGTGGTATTTGCTACCGTTATAGCTTCATGTGAGATGCTAGTCCGTGGCACGCCGGCCAATGCTGATTGTGAAGAAACACCTGACGATATGCTCATAATACGCTGAGCGCAGGAAAGATGGACACGGATCTTACCACATCTTTCCAAATAGAAATCAGAGAGCAAGCCATGAAGATGCAGGAACTGCTACTTGCCAGGCGAAGGTGACGGTCCTGGAAGATCTTCGCACTGAGGCCACCAGGAGTGACAACCGGAGCTCAGATAGCATCGAAACCGTTGCCTCCGCCAGCCTGGCTAGTAACGCGTAGCTTGCGATCCTTCCTGCCGTTTGAGAAGAAGTTCTCCTTTTCATTTGCGGGAAGCACAGCAGCAACATTCTTAAGAGCTAGCGACTGACGTTTGCCATTGGGCTGCTGCATCCATATCCGCTTGGCTTCTAGGTCTGGTCTACCGTTCGTAGTGTTCTTTCCGAATCGGTGGCGGACGTTAGCACTTTGTCGAGACGGGACCGGAGCAGGTTCGTTGAGCGCTATCTGAGAGAAAACTGGGGGCGGATTACCAGCGCCTGGACGGGTACCGCCGAGTGGACCATCTGCAGCAAGTGGGCCAAGACCACCCGTTGCAACTTCGCCAACTTGACGCGACATGAACGTAGGAGGATTAGTGTGAGTACCCAGCAGAGAGTATCCGCGAGCAGCGGCAGCCTTCGCTCCACCAGCCTGCTTATCCTTCTTCTCTTCCACTCGCCACCAGTTCTCGAACTCTGCAAGACGTGACGACAGGAAAGTCGCCGGAAGCTCGTAACCTTCTTCCGTAGCCATATCTAGCTCCTCTTGTGCAAGGGCTTTGGCATGCTCACGCCAGTCGAGGTACGTCCATGCCCGGGTCTCATCTGCCACTGTAGCCTCAGGATCCTTCAGCATTCCCCAGTTGCAGATTCTGTGTTGGATCATACGCTGGTAGACTTGATTGGGCCCATGCTTGAACTCGACCTTTGAGTGGGTGGTGCAACCATTCGACTTGACCGTAAACTGGTTGTAGCAGCGATCTCGAAAGGTGACGCCATCCACGGTCCTATTGATCCACTCAAGACAGAACGCGAACTCGAAGTTCTCGAAGCTAGAACGCTTCTTTGCGCCCTCGCCCTTGACATGATGCTTGTTCGTGAACGTTTGTCCAGTGGCAGCGTTCATGAGGTGTGGATCGAACTGCCCGCCTTTCCAGCGGGGAATGAGCTCATCGAATGGGAATGACTTGGCATCGAACTCTTCATGATCAGCATGCTCACGTTTGAGGATCTGCTTGTGGAATAGCTCTGGTGGCGCTTGTTGTGGCGTGACTTCGTCGGGTTTATCAGCCTTGGGCTTGAACTTCTTGAACTTGAAGCCGCCCATTGTGATATGATTGTAGTTGAGTGCACTTACTGTTGTAAACGGTGTGTTGGTACGTTGTGGACCGTAAATCTTGTCCGGTCAGAAGCTATTATTGCTTTTCACTGGACCTCAATGTATCTGTGCTCTGATGCGTTCACTTGTTTGGGAGTGAATTTGAGGAAATGGGAAGCTTATGTAACTGAAGTACTGTGAAAAACCTTCGGCTCTTGACATGCTTCCAACATTGTGCAGACACTTTCACTGAAAAGTCCTGTAAAGTGCACTGTTGACTTACATTTCATAAGGCGTTATGTGTGTGTCTAAGGTGACTTCGTACGGGCGATTTCGAACAACATGCGGTCAAGTCAAAGCACTGGCTGCGCAGAGCAGCGATTCACATGTCGTGGTTGGAACACCATTCTCCTGAAATCTATCGTTATCAGACAACGGAAACTGCGTATATTATCAGCATGAGGCGGGATTGACAACGCCTGATTCTTCATGTTGTACCTTACCATGTCCCTACGATGTTGTTCAATGCAATGAACAGCAACGTTTCACGCATGAGACAGCACTCACACCAAGCATGACCGGCTTCTCGCCATCATATTTTCATGGAACGAGATACCTCGTGACGCCTTGAAGCTGTAGTCGCCGTATACCATTGAAGATAGCGTCGCAATTGTGCCAGTCTTAGTCTCCATTGTCTCAACTGACAAAGTCAGACATGCTCATTGCGTGCCCATGAGACCAGACTCTACTTCAGGAATACAACTAACTCGATCGTATACATCATTTCGATCCTGGGTGCGAGATAGCATTGCGCACGATTAGCGTGGGGCTGCATTGTGTCTGCGTTTCTTTCACTGCTGCCCCCCTGCCCCGCTATCTATACGCGCTTCGCGCCGCCCTCTTTCTTCTCTGACAAAGAACGCTCTTTCAACACAGCCTCTCTCAACTCGGATTTCTTTGCCCCGGAAGACAACTAAACCTTACGACGTCAAACAGATTCCATAATGTTGCACAACGTCAAGAACATCTTTCGCTACAAAGGCGCGCGCGCCTCTCCTACCACCGCGACTACGATCCATCCAGACGCTCATACTATGCGCAACTCCAACTCCAACGGGTCTTTGACTGGTCAGGTAGTTACCGCTGGCAAGCATGTCTGCACTGTTTGCAAGTCCAAGATCTCCACTACATCGCAATCATCATCACTGGCACACTCCGCCGAGTCGAACCCCTCAATCGCTCTCTCGGACCACACCACTGCTACGGATACCACACTTCCTCCCGTTGATCTCGGGGATGAATTTCTGGTGCCAGGTTGCTCCACGATGAACGATACTACCTCTGCCGTTGCGATGCCACCAGCCTCTTCGGAGGCTTCAGCGCGGGTTGAGAGTACGGCCTCGATGACACGTACGGCTGTTACTGCTCCAGATTCAGAGCCGGATAAGAAATCAGTCTCAGAACTCGACGAGTCGTCTGTCGATACCAAATCGAAATCAAAACTGCGCAACTTGTGTAAGCGTTTCAAGGAAAAGTGCCAAAAGTTTATGGCGTCAAAGCACCACAAGATTGAAAAAGAACAGGAAGTGGCGACGGAGGTGGAGAAAGAGATAGTGAAGTCTCGTTTGTCTTCGGACAATGTCCAAGGTTCGAATCCACCTAATGCAGCAGCCGGGCATGAACGAACAGCCCCCTCCGATGTGATTCGCAAGGCCATAGCTGTTAGTGGGGTAGGTTATGATGAGGAAGACGACGATTATACCGACGACGAAGGGGATAAGGGTCAGACTGGACCTTTCCATCCTCGTTTTGACTGGAAGACCATCCACGCCATCACCAACAACCAGATAGAACGTGTCGTTCAAAAGCACCTTGGTCCCATTATTCCCGAAAAGCACATGGTGTGGTCTCGAACGTTCGGCACTTATAACCTGGTTGCATTCATTGCTCCTTGCTCCAAGTCCTTTCCCACCTTGAAGTATGTCATGCGCATTCCCGCACATGGCACCCCGTCGCACTGGAAACCAGAGGATGCATATATGCTTGAGCGCGAGGTACAACTCGTTGAATACATCCGCCAGAACACCACGGCTTCTGTGCCTCAAATCCTCGCTTATTCCTCGAACTGCGATAATGAGCTAGGTTCTCCTTACATCCTCATGACCAAGCTAGATGGCAAAAGCGCCTACGACATCTGGTTTGATCTCCCGTACAACTCATCGGATGCGTTCAGGAACGCTGATGTCCCGTCGATCACGACCGAAAGGAAGCGAGTCAATTTCTTGCGCTCACTGGCGCGTACGATGACCGAGATCCAGAACTTGTCATTCGACAAGATTGGTATGCCGGAGATCTCCGAAGATGGACAGACTATTACCGTTGGCCCTTCGTACTCTTGGGGCGAGGACGAAGAAGATATTGATAAGGCTAAGACGCTACCTGCATATCCAACTACCCGCATGTACGTCAATACGTCTCTTGCCAAGAACTTCAAGGTCAACCCGCGTGCCGAAAAGAACGCCATGTTCTATAGCCAGTTTGGCGCTCGCAAGATCCTCAACATCATCTTCTCTCAGTCGATATTCAATGCTTCTCTTTCCGGCCCGGAGACCTTCACGATACATCACAACGATCTTGACCTCCAGAACATTCTCGTTGACGACGACGGTAATGTGACCGGCATCATCGACTGGGACAAGTCTTATGCAGCACCGCGCTGTATCGGTGCCTCTGCTGTTCCCATCTTCCTCCGTAGCGATTGGTTCCCTCGCTACACACACGATTTACGCATCACCCCACACATGGGTTGGAATGAGCACTACTATCGTCAGATATATGCTGCTGCTATGGTAGAAGTTGGCAACCCTGATGCAAAGTACACATTGAAGTCAGCTATCTACCAGGCGTGCATGTCGGCAATTTACGAAGGCGGTGACTACAACGACCTCATCGAGAAGCTGGTCCGATACATCCCAGAGTGTCGAATCCATACCGAAGATCTCAAGCTCGGACTTGGTATGGGGTGGCCCGCAGCGGTAGAAATGCTCGAATGCCAGCTGAAGAAGATTTTTGAGCCAGAGTTGCCGCGCGCTGGGTTGCTGAAGGACTTGAATGAAGAGCTGGAGCTGAAGGGTTGGTTGGGTGGATTTGATGACCTTCTGGCGTTCTACGAGGAAGAAGAAAACGAGGAAGGAGCAAACCATGATTGTTCTGATCTTGAGAAGGATTAAAAACTTTAGTAATAAGCTGCTCTCTCAAGGGTTCAGGAGTGAGTAAGCACGAAAAGGTCTATAGAGACAATCAAGATGCGTGCAAGCTTCAGTATCTCAAGTCTTGACTCGTTATTTCCGTGATGTGGTGGTGATGAAGGGCAGCAGTCAGAAGGCTAGCAGCATCCCCGCCTCACTAACTTATGATCGACGGCGCTATACTAGCGTGAACGGGGCTGGTGCGATTGCGACAAGCGGTTCTCCGCCACATCAACTTCCAACTCTCCGCTAATCTCGCAAGAACGCCCCGAAAGTGATATCGAGTGGTGCTCACGTATCGCAGGAGTCGAGTGCACACGTTGATGTCGTCGAGTCGCGCAGTGTGCTACAAAGAGGGGCCCGGTCCTAGACAAGCTGGGTGCAGACGTGATGCGATTGACCCCAGCACTTCCCCGCGTCACAAGAACACCAACCTTGGAATAGCTACGCGAAACTTTGACAGCTCTGCACCTAGCCAACCGGCGCGCCGACTTGAGAGGTCTGGCAAGCTTGTTATGCCCGGAAAGGGCCGTCTTGGTTCTATCGAGCTGCACGCCGCTAGCCTTGGTGTTGTATCATATGAACATATCGCTATCCCCAGCTCTGAGCATCTTTGCTCCATCCTCTCGATCCTTTAGCGCATGCAAGCACGACTAGAGGCACAACGTGCGGTTGAGGGTCTCCGAGTTGCTCACTGCAGGTACCACAACGCCTATGCAACAGAGTAGCGCATGCTGCTGAGATAATTGCGACACCTATCATATATGCACAAAGCTCGAATCGTCGACCTCGGAAGTCTGCAGATCCACGTACATATCTACATTTGAAGCACGCGATACGTTCAGCGACATTACAAGTTAGGTCTATCTCAAGATGGCGAATCCAGATATGGCACAGAATCCCAACGGTAATACCATCATAATCGCCATAATAATACCGGTCTGTTTCGTGGTTCTACTCATGACACTACTCATACTGTAGGTTCTCATCTTCCTAGTCTTTTCGAATTAGTGCTGACTCTCGCACGAAGGCACCGCCACAGAACGTATCTCCTGCCAGGACTTACTCATGATGTTGAAGCGGCACGCAAAGAAGAGCGCATGAAAAAGCGGCGAGAGGAGCTTGAGAGCAATATCAAGACCCAATACTTCTACGAGTGGTTAGCTGCACAAAAGGAGAAACACCCTGACTCACTTCTGACGACAGACCCTGTCTGGTAGGTGTTTGGGCAAGAGCCTACGTAGCTGTAAACTAACCCAGTCGTAGTGCGATCTGTCTCGATGAGTTCGACGAGGATGCGCAGATACGAGGTCTGCGATGCTCGCATGCATTTCACGCCCAGTGCCTTGACGAGTGGTTCGGTCGTTACAACGAGTTCTGCCCACTCTGCCACCGAACTATCATACCAGGCAAAAGGCCCATGAGAGCCAGAATGATAGAGCGGCCGCAGCCATTGCCTGTCGCTTTCATGGTATGAGACCTTCGTACATCGTCTGTATGTACTATAATAAGTGGCAGGACTGATTCACTAAGGCCTGATAGGGACATGTTGTCTGAGAACCCACGTGCCGCGCCGCGAAAGCATGCAGTGGCTTCCTTCTGGACCCTTGGCACAGGAGCCTGTGATTATTCAGAACCTGACCAGCAAACGTCTGTTCACTTCAAGACGACTTTTCAAATACATAGTAGTGAACAGTCAGGAACACCTTCTCGTCAAGAAATACCGTTCAGAGAAACCTCCTTCTGCTAGCGATCAAGCAACGCATACGTAGGGTTTTCTGGCATGCGGAACACTGATTGCGCTATATGTTATTGGAAGTCACCTCTCCATGGAGGCCCCAATTCATTGCGACTTGCCCGCAACTCCGCCCAAGGGAACAGAGCAAGTTTCCAGACACGTCTGACAATGCGAGATAACACTCGAAAGCGGCGAGGGTCCGATGCATTTCTAGGTTCCTTTTCCGCTTGTCAAAAAGACCAACGGAAAAATTTGGGGCAAGAGCCCACACCATCCCTTGTACTCTCATTGAACTCAACCTCCTGTAACTAAATCTCAGCATTACCAGAGGAGCAGTAGCTCCTCTCGTCTTCCATAGTCTCAGACTCACATAGGACGTTAAACCAATCAATCAATCAATCAATCAATCAATCAGGAACTACGGAAGCAAGCAAGCGATCGAACCAAGGACGACAGTGACGAGAAGGTATCGCTTACCGTCACATTCATAGATCTCGAAGGCATAACCACATTGGCTGGCTCTTCAGTTCATGGCTTAAGGGAATCGTATGGCCAAAGACGATCGTTTTATACGAAGGTGCCACGCATGCACGCCACTACAGCGCGGATTCCAGCTCCTCGGTCTACTTAGTGGGACATAGGGTGCGGGTCGTCCCGATGCTCGCATTGACAGGAGCCTCACCGGACTGCACGATCTGCCCGCTTGATTGTGCCGAAATGTACATCGGTGGTAGATGGGCATATTAGAACTGGATGCTCGCTCAGGAGCACCACAGTCATCTCGTTGGGCCGTCTAAAAAGCCCATTTGTATCCTGGATGTACATAGTCCTTAAACAAGTGATATACATAATCTGTCAACCTCAATTTGCTTTTTTTGACATCTGTCTGCTTATACGCTGCAATCCCGTAAGAACAAGACTGCAAACTGCTGTTTTCCACTTATCACGTGCTTGCTCAAAGCCGGACGGAACTACCGCACGCTTGCGGGAGCTTTTCTTAGACCTGAACCCAACCCGACTATAGCCTCATCCCTCGACACCCAGTTTAAACATCGCATTCCATGCTGTGCCATCGCAAAGTCCGTGAAATATCGATCGTGTATCGGCGCTGTCCTCGTCACATTGTCGCGGCGATGGCGTAAACTGCCCCTGCCTGCCCGGATATAGCCCAGTCTCGGAAGGGCAAAGTGGGTCGTCAGCGAAATGTCACGCCACCTTTGGTGGTCTGATATCCTTTCTGGACGCTCCCAGAACCGTGGGCTCGACAGCTTGCACTTCACTGCTGCACCGAGATACCCGTTCAAGTAACTGAAAAGTTCTTTCGCGTTCAGGTATTCATTCCATCTGCAACAATCGATTCTGCACGCCTGCACTCGGGACCAGTCGGGTGCCTGACACTGTACCGAACCCTTTCAAACCAACGCTGTGGAATTTGCCCAGAGTCACCAGCAACTGCCCGATTTTGCGCTTTTGTGCCTTTTACTCAGCGTCACAAGCAACGGCTCCTTCCGGGTCGATGAAAAACAACCCATACTCCTGTGCTTGAAGCTGCCACTGCCCCCATCACCATTCTGAGCGAACTTTGCTACATCCTCGAAACAAAGGAATCCGAAGGAAGTACCGAGCTTATATTCTCGACCCCAGCATCGTCGGGCGCCTACATCCGTATTCTAGCCGCATCATTGGCTTGGCCGGGACAAGTTAGCAGGACTCGTGCGTTGGTATCTCCTGATCAACGCGTGAGCACTCTCGTGCTACAACCTACCCACTGACTGTCATCATGGCTCTCAATTGGGACGCATTCCTCAATACTGAGAGTCTGAATATACCGCACGACCAATGGTCCGATCTTTCAGCACCTACAACAGGCCGTCCGTCTTCTGATATGCCCAAGTCCATCTCTTCGCAGACTTCAGGGTCCACGCCTGAAGACGCCACTGCCTTCGACACTCTGCTCAACGGCACATCAGCCGACCCTTACTTCGACGACTCTCTGTTCATATCGAATGACTACTTCCTGAGCGACCTGGAAGTGCTACAGCCGTATGGCAACATCGTCGCCGCCGGTGGTTCAACAACAGAGTCCTCACCCGAGCCTTCCACCGCTGCTGCCAATCTCTCCACTTACCAGACCCCCGCATCTATGTCGACGGCGTCGAATCAGTCACCCCAGATGGCGTCACTGCGAAGGCAGTCAGTACAACGTGCCAACACGTTTCCTAATCCCGCTTATGAATCCATGTTCCCCAACAACCTTGAAGCAGGTTTTGTAGAAGACCTGACCTTCCCGAACGGGGTCAAAGAATCGTCGGCCTCATCCAAGCCGGTACTTGACAGGACCAAGACGTCTATTGACACCGTCAATAAGCGAAACAAGAACAAGCCAGACATCCTGTCTGCCTGCTGGACATCGCCACTATGCCCCAACCATGACCAGGACGGACCACCACCTAACCCCTCAACATGCGGCGGAGGTTGCGCTCCCTTCCTGTTTGCCGATCAGGACAACCTGCCTAACATCAACAACCTACTTGCTGAGCCTCAAGAGGTTACGGCTGAGGATGGCATCGTAGAGATTCAGCCACGACCGAAGAAGCGGTCCGAGAGCGAGACATCGACAGGCGAAACCACAGGGCGACAATTCACCCAGCCCAGCAAGACCGCCATCGAGCTCGTCGCCGAGGCAAAGCAACGTATGAAGACTGAGACTACAGAAGACTCTCCAGTCCAAGAATCACCGCCCGCAGCTACAGATGATAAGCCCAAGAACCGCCGTCGACTACCACACAACCAAGTTGAGCGCAAGTACCGTGAGTCACTCAACACCCAGCTCGACTCTCTTAAGCGTGTCGTCCCCTCCCTCCAACAAAACGCTCGTGTATGCGATGGCGCCGACATCGAGGACCTACCAACACCCTCGAAACCCAGTAAAGCTGTCATCCTTGCCTCAGCAACAGCCCACATCAAGCAACAAGAGAAGGACAAGAAGGCTCTCGCAGATGAGAATGCCCTCCTACGAGCACGGGTCAAGGCACTACAAGCACTTGTCAAGTGCGACGACTGCAGCTTGATGCAGTATGTCATGGATATGAAGATCAACCAAGTCAAGTGATCTTTATCGCTATTGTTCCTACTTTTCGACAAGATGCTGGCAATCTGTCTAGACCACATGTATCACGCCGCTCATTCACTCTTCGACATCGGTCTCATATGTTCATTGGCCCTCAAGAGCATCTCAATGGCGTTTAGAAAAGTAGCATTTCGGGTTGGTCTGTCTGGACAGCCAGTTAGCTCCCGTTCGATGAGGTGGCAAGCAGAATCTCTTTCGGTCTGTTTCAATTTCTTTTGATCGAATTTTGGTACCTGGGATGCTCTAATCAGGGATCTTCGACCATTCGGCCCGCAGCATGTTGCTGCATGTAATGATAGGCGTTACGAAAATGGGGTGCCGTGGGCGGCACATGTTGAACAACAGCAAGGCGTTTTGAGGCTGACTGCGCCGCTTATGCACGGCTAAAGCCGGCCACTGCTTTTCCTCTATGAATACAGAGCTTCAAACTTGAAACTTCAACTCTTCCTCTTCTCCACGTGATTGAGACCTGTCTGGACACCTGTCAGGGAAAAAGCACTGGAGGTGGGTCAGGCGTACCGGTGCGGCAGCGGGTGGAAAAGTTGTTGCAGATGTGGACTCCACTCCGACTCCATCCGACTCCACCGCAACTCCGCCAAAACCCCACTTTGACTCGTGCAGCTGCAGATCAACAATTCACCGCCTCGAAAATTGTTGTGGCAAAACCAAAAACAGAAGGTCAGACACGAATTGCTTTGGCCGGATGAACTGTAGCAATTGTGCCTTGACTATTCGCGACAACGAATGTCTACAGCAAAGAACGGATTGGAGGACACAATGAAGGGAATAGAGTGTGTAATGGTACGAGATCAGATGCGGTAATCACGACAAGATACAGACAAAGATGATGTTTGAGGTTGGAAACGTGATGAATTGTAGCTTTTCGCTTTTCTCATAAGTAGGTCCCGTAGGTTTGCCCATGAATCTATACCCAGTGCGCCAATGTAACCAAAAGTTTCCGATAGTCCCAACCAAAACCGAGCCCAGTATTAAAGTTGATATCGCTCGCCAGTATCAACAAGGTGACATCTCCATATAGACGTGAAGGACCAATATAAACATCGCAGAATCTAGATGATGGACATTCTAGTTCTTGAACTGGGGCTCGTCGGCCTCAACAGCGGGTGTAGGGGGGACAGAGCGGTCTTCCCAGTTGGCCTCTGTGATGTTGTTAGTAAGTGGTGGTGAAGTGGTAATATTGGTGGAACGTACGGATGGAGCACTGAACGGTACCGATGGGCCACTGAGGGCCGTCCCAGTTGTCCCAGCCCTCCTCGTAGGATGTGATGGCGTCGTGCTCGGCCTTGAAGGCGATCTCCTCAGCGGTGAGCTGGATGTTGGGGATGGTGGTCTGGGCAGACATTGTGATGGATGTGCGGGAGTTGTGTGATCGTTTGGTTCGACGTTTGAAGAATTGATGAAGGTTTGATGGATTGACTGATGATTGAAAAGAAGACTGGGAGCTCTCGAGCTTTTGAATGCTTCTGCGAAAATTCGAAATTGCGGTCACAATGGTCCAAAAGTCCGTGCTGGTGTAGACTAAGGTAAAGATAGTCTCGGAGCCAACGCCGCTACCTCGGGGATCGCGAAGCGACACGACTAGTGAGTCAAAAACAGGCACGAGGTACGAGAATTGTGGGGAGATTCGCCTTCCAGAACCCACTTCCCTGGTCGCCTCCTGGTCGTCTCCGGATATCCCTGTTTTCCTCCGGATAAACTTGGCTTGTGTGGCGTTCGAGGTCTATCGAATGCGGAGGATGAAGGAGCTGAGGTGCAGAACAAGTTTGATCTTGAGTTCGGGAGAGTCCGGCATCGGTCACGCCATTGGGTCTCTCCATCGAGTGCAAAAAGAACATCATCTGCCAGCTTCGTCCAGACGTGTCAACTGATACCACGTCTCGATTCCTGATCATGATCAATCGATTGCCGGTTGCGGAAGCCACGCATGCGCAGCGCGACGCTGCAGTTACTGATACTCACACCACCGAAATGTCCAGTGATGAGGCTCATGATGCAGGTCGGTTTCGACACAAACAAGTCATTGTGTAAATAAAAGGTAACACCGCGGGCAGCGGAAAGTGCATCCATCAGCTATCATCACCATAACGCACAATTGACAATTTACGCCTTGCTCTCCGCGGGTACACCACATATTCACCCACGATCAACACACTACACGTGCATCTCCACACACGGCACACATGCACGCGAAAACCGAAACTCAGTCTCCACGATCGAACCCCACGATGTCGCTCTTTCCCAACATTCTCCACCCTTCCACGTACTCTACCCTTCTCGGCGATCGCCCTAAGATAACAACAACACCTTCCCAAAAAGATCACGAGACCGAACAGCAACGCGCACATCAAGTTGATCACCACCATATCTCCGCATTCTTGATCAGCTTTTTGAGCCACATGTTTGCGCCAGCCGCGTATCAGCAATGCACATCGTCAACACCCTGCTGGGCGGTTTCGCATCATAGCGAGTGTCTGTCAAAAAGCAGTGACAAAGCCGTGATCATCGTAGACGACGAATTTGTGCTTCTCGAAGACAGGGACAGCGAAGAACAGGATGGTGGGCCGATTTGTCAAGAGGCTACGATTGAAAGTTGGAAGGCTCCAAAGAAGGGGCTGAAGAGGTACGGGGACGCGAGGCGATGGAGCGACTTACCATATTTTGGCTGTTCATAAGCGAAAAGAGCGGGAGTGCTCTGCTTACAGACTTGAACTGGGAGGATAAAGCGAATCGCGAAGGGTTCGATGGCAGGTCTGCAGCCGGGATCGACTGAAGCTGCGTGAAATGGAAGTCTGGCTATGTGCAAGGATTAGATTTTGGACACTGAGGTGGACGCGCAATTGCCTACAATGGATACAGAGGCCAAGGCAGGAAGCCTTCGACATAGCAAGTAACAATCAATGAAACCCTACAACTTTTGTTTATGCATGTTACCTCTTCGACCTCCAAATTCGCATAGGAATTCTCAGACATTACTTCAGAAACAGCTTTGACTATTACACAACGAACCATGGATACATCACATCAATGGCCAGGCAGGTCTGCCAGCCTCGTTAGCCTCAGCTCGCGACCGCCTTGCTCTGCAAGACCCCTGTCGATCTCTGGTAAGGTCTTCCGTGCCAACGAATGTTCGCTACCACACTGGAACGCTCTCGACCATCGAGGAACGGCCCGGACGGGACGCCTAGCATGGTTGAAGAGGAAGGTACGAGGTGGGGTGCTAAGAGCATGAAACGTGAATTGATAAGGGCGCGTAACAAGCTATAAGCGTTGTACCCCTGTAAAGTCGATCTTGTCATCCAGCTCAACGAGTCCTGGGCAGCCACGCAAGTTGTTAGGCGCCGACTCTACATTCTCTGCGATACAGATCTCCAGTGCGTGAGACTTCCTGTGATCTGCATCCTTCGTTTTGAAGACTGGCTAACATGTGTGACTAACATCTCCTAAGAAGTTCAGGAACGAAGTACATGTCGATACTCCAGCTAGAAGCCTATATAGTTCAGCGACCACATATGTCCTCTTCGCCGTCTTGGAATTCACCTTTGGCGTTTATGTAGCAGTACTCCAGCTTTGAGATCACATGCGCGAGACACCGTGACATCTCCGGACTTGGGCATAGCTGCCATTGCGCCGTAATTTGTGTACCGCGAGGAGTAATATGGATACAAATTTCTTCAGGCATTCTTTGCCAGCACAGCATTATTCTCTGATCTCTGCAAAGGGCTATTTCGAGTGGTTGATTTTTTCTAAACCGAGTAAAGTGTTCTCATTCGTGTCATGCGAATTACAGATATTTCACAGTACGAGCTTTTGGTGTGCAACGTTGTCCGCACGTAAGAGGCTCGTGAAGTTTTCGCGGACATCTTCAGCTGACCATCAAAAGGTCCGAGAGAAGCAGTTGCGAGGTTCCTTCGCTAACAGAGCGTATGAGCAGTCGAGCATGCAATGAATAGTCGAGCGTGCAAGTTAAATATGTCCGGCAAATGCACATTGATGGAAATAACCATTGCAGATGCAATGGCAATTAAAGAATGTTGTTGCCCTTGCTCACCGCCAACGTGCCGTTCTGCCATATCGCCATTCTTGGCACCATCCTTCGGAGGCGAAGTGTCACTGCTTGCATCCCATTGGCCAGCAATATATGCAGCGCGAGTGATATAAACCACTGAAAGGGCAAAGATCCTACAGTATCAGATCCACATCTTAGGCCTTTAGACAATGAATATAGTCGAAGAAGGCGCAATAGCGCACGTGGAACAGCAACGAGATAGTAGTCCTGGGAACATCGACGTTGAGAAGGGACGGGGTGAGGAGCTGGACTTTTGCGCCACGGGTACGTCTTCCGATGGCTTCAGTGAAGTCTCGAGAGGCGTAAATTGACAGCTTTTCCAGGACTTTACAACAAGAAGGAAAAGGATCTACCGCCGTTGAAAGGGTTGTCGTTTCTGGACCAGTTTTTGGTACTATGGATTCTCGTTGCTATGGGTGTTGGCATTGCCATTGGTAACACAGTCGACACTGCCGGACCTGCGTTACAGAGGGGCGAGTTTGTAGGTGTTAGTATACCAATTGGTACGTCACCTAACCCCGAATGCTTGAATCACTCAAGATTGCTGACTTGTGATATCCCAGCCATTGGCCTCCTTGTCATGATGTACCCCATCTTATGCAAAGTCCGCTACGAAACACTACACCTCCTACTCTCGCACAAAGCTCTCTGGATACAAATCGGCATCTCCTTCGTCTTGAACTGGATCATCGCACCGCTTTTCATGGTTGGCCTGGCGTGGGCGTTCCTCCCGGATCGTCAGGACCTGAGAGAAGGATTGATCTTCGTCGGCATTGCACGTTGTATCGCGATGGTGCTCATCTGGACGGATTTGGCAAAAGGAGACGGAGATTACTGCGCTGTGCTCGTGGCCTTCAACTCGATACTCCAGATCGTTCTCTTTGCACCTCTTGCAATCTTTTACGTTCAGATCGTCAGTCATGGTGCAAAGACGAACGTCTCGTATGAGAAAGTTGCGCAAAGTGTTGGTGTGTTCTTGGGGATACCGCTTGGTGCAGCAGTCCTCACGCGGTTGGCATTGAGAGCCATCATTGGTGAGGAGAGTTACCAACGACGCTTCCTCCGGTATATTGGGCCTCTCTCCCTGATTGGTCTTCTGTACACGATCATTGTGCTGTTCGCCAGCCAGGGTGCGCATGTCGTCAGGCAGATCACGGACGTCTTGCGGATATGCGCACCGCTATTGGTGTACTTCCTTGTCCTTTTCTCGGTCACAGTCTGGTTCTGCTACAAGATGGGTTTCGAGTACAAGCTTAGCTGTGTCCAAGGTTTCACAGCAGCGAGCAACAACTTCGAGCTTGCCATTGCCGTAGTAGTTGCGGTGTACGGTGCCTCGAGTGGGCAAGCGTTGGCGAGTACTGTCGGTCCGTTGATTGAAGTTCCGGTGCTTGTCATCCTGGTGTATGTCCTACAATGGTTAAGGAAGCGATGGCAGTGGGCCTAAGAAGTCGCATGAGATGTTGATCGACCGATAGATTTAATGAGTCATCAGATGATAGCAGCGAGGCGAGCATTTGTAAGTGTAACGTGAATGTCACCTACCAAGTGTATGGTAGTTCTGACAGCCCGTCAGTAAGAGCTAGACATGTGATGGCGGTGTAGTAATCACAAAAGACTGTAGAAAGAAGGCGATCAGAAGATCTACCTAGAGCGCCAGCTAGTACAGCCACTCAAATGCATCGAAGCTTCCACGCAAGGAATCACGCATACGAGGTATAACCGTGGTATTGGGATTCGTCCAAGTCGAAGCTAGCAATCTCGAGCACACGCCTGACAGCGACGAATCAAAATGACAGTGCTTTTGGCTTTGGCCCGTGGTTCGTATCACGGCCGCTGCGGAACGACTAAGTTGCCGTAGTACGAACCAGCATACGCCATCGTTAGTTGGTGTCGGAGAAAGCACCGGAAGCCCACAAAGCCCACAACAAAACCCACAACAAAGCAACCTCAGATCTTTACGGCTGTTACGACAGACGGCTGCATGCATCCGCCTTAGCTTTCGGACCGAATTTTATCGGTAACGCGTTTCACTAAGTAATCCAGGCAACAGCAGGCGAGCATTACCTTAGGAAGGTAGAACACGATTCGAAGGCATAAGTTCAGTCGGCAAAGTAGCGGAGTTACTGGTGGGTACGTGTGTGTGTTCGGAGGACTGTCGTCCATGAAGACCCTAAAGGCCCACGACGAGAAGTCGTAGTCGGTACACCATGTTTTGCTGTATTTTCTGGTGCAGTATAGAAGACATTGACGCGTACATACATTTGTTAGCTTTCGTACAACAAGTGAAGATTGGCTAAACCAGGCCAACGATGTCAGCGAGTCTCGATCGGTTGAAATGCGAGGACCGAATGCAAATGCCTCTCACGATGTGGGACGCTTGGTGCTGGCTTGATGATAGTCCTGGCCATGGCTTACAGTAGGCGCATATCAGAAGCCGAGCGATCTCGTCAAAGCTGGAGGCGGAGCCTAGCAGTATAGGCACAGTGCTACCGTGGTGATCTAGGATGGGTTGAGAAGATCAAACAATGTATCCGCCTAGAGAAGCAGCACGCAGCATGCTATGGTATGTTGCTTTCGATGCAGTAGCCTTGAACTTAGCTACAATGGGTCGCGGCGTCTTGGTGACTGTCGTGACACGCCGGTCTCAATGCCTAGACAGACTGCCAGGACAGTCGACATGGCTGAAGCTACCGGAGAAAAGCAAGACTGGGCTCCCAAAGCCGCTCTCAGGGTGTGCCGATCTTATGTGCACAAGAAGTTGAGATTGAACTCAAAGTGCATGATCTGACTGTGAGATATGCAGGTGCCCGAGACATCTAGACACTTAAGGGGAATTGCACGTCGCACCGCAGGCGTTCGAGTGCACTCTGAAGGATGCAAATACATGCGCTGCGATGGACTTGGGATTGGAAGGCTGATACAATGGCAGCCATGTTCGTTGGATCTCAGGATTGGGCCGGTAGGTCCATCAATTGATCTAGGTTGCTAAGCAGCGAATTACCACAAAAGTCGATTGTGACGAAGTGGTGGAGGAGACGCCTTGCAGTCGCTCAAAGTGGAGTTCCTGAATGACAGTGAACGTGCTCATGGTATCTTGGTAGGCCTGTCCGAAACAATGAATTGAGGAAGAGCCTAAAGAAGGTTGGCGTACAGTAGCATCGTGCCAGACGAGCTAGAGGAATGAGTGTGTTCTGTCGTGCATTGGTATGACGATCATCATGGTGGTAACAGCCTTGCATTTTGAGGCTGACTGCAGAGCTTTGACTCTGTTTGGTCCACGTAAACCTTTACACCGCCTTTTTGAATTGTAAGTCAGACTTTCTCAGACAAGTCGGAATCTAATTTACATCTTCCGGAGTAGCTAGAGGCTGTTGGCTGTTCGGATCGTGTGCAGGTCGAGAGGTTTCGAAGGATGGCTTTGCTGTATAGTTTCGTGTAGGTGCGACCGCTTTGTTCGTGCAAGCACCAGGTATGGTTCAAGCTCCAAGGATCTTCCTCACGACCATCGCATGCTCTGTCCGATGAAGTTACAGATCTTTCTGATCTATCATGTGAGCAAAATATAATCGCCCATGGCCGGTGTGCAATTCAAGCAATTGTGCAGGTCAAGCGACTTAACATCCCTTCTTCTTAAGAACTGTTGATATAGGCAGGGCATGCTCATTGTGCCGGCACTAGGAATCAAAACTGCCAGTCTGAACCGCACTATCACACCCTCGCGTTTTAGAGATGTGGTCTGCACTAGCACTTGTGCATTCGCGTTGCACGTTTGCGAATACCGTTGCCGGTTTGCGTGTTAATCCTGGTTGCTGCTCCACTAGGAACGCGCCTCTCTTACATCACGAGTGCGGAATATGTACCCTGTCAATATCCACAACGATGTAGACGCAATCTAGACTTGGATTTTGGTCCGAGCAGACAAATTGACGCGCTCATCGCGGTTGCTGTGCGTACTAGTGTGCAAAAGAAATGGAAGTGCCACAGCGGCCAAACGCACTTTCCCCGAAGTGCCGGGCACAAATCCGGGAAACTGGTTCGGCTAGCTAGCGGCTGTCTGTGTTTCACCTTATGTCTTTGTTCACGCTGCACTCATCAGACCGACACTTACATCGCTTTGAAGCTCGGCCTCACAGCCAATCTCAATACGGGTTGTTGAAGTGCTTTGTGTTATCGAGCAGCTTGCTCAATCCGCATGCGAGAAGGCAGACGCCGCCCGCCACTGCACCCGCAGTGCTGGTGATACCCAGTCCTGTGGCTTTGCACCGGCAATCCCAGAGCCAAAAACCCAAAGAATCCTACCCAGACACGCCGCTATCTAGCGCATTTCTCTTATTGAGAAGACCTTTCAATCTCTGATTTCTGGTTTCTTGCTCCACTGAACGTTGCAGGGCTGAGAGACAGCCCTGCTTTCGCTGCCAGCGTCCGAGGTACCCTACCCGTCTCATGATATCGAGAACATGTCTTTATTAGGCGCCGTCAGTTTTCAAGGCGCCGGGGAGGTTTGACCAGCTTGCATCCTGCCCGTGCCGGTCTGATTGAAACGAAACCTGCAGTATAAGTGCGGGAATCCATGTGCACGCATATCTCCTGCCAATCACTGCAAAGGCTTCTTGTTGGCATTGAGGGGAAAGCGGCAGCTAACGTATGATCCGACTGCGTGATCCCAGGCTGACAACCAGATTCTTGGGAATCGACGACCCGCAACATACATGTCTCCACGTCATGTACTCCCACTCACTGTCTGCTAGGATAAAGAACGCCTTGCCAGCCCAACTCAACCAATCGCCTAGTTAAATTTCCGTCCGTATACAGAAGCCATACGTGCCATGTCGTGGGTGACCCAGTGTCCTGCATAAAGGCACTCCTTGCACAGCAGACGCTGTGACTGAGCCAAAATCCCATCATTGCATGCAAGCGATGGACTGCTATTGCTTTTGATCACCTGTTTTTCGAAGATGCTGCGAGAAAACTACGAATCCACGAATGCGACAAGTCTCCCACAAGGCAATCATCAAGAGCGAAATCTTCTGTGACTTTGCACACTTATACCAGATTTCTACTCCACATAATTGCCACCCAACCCCTTGCTGCGCTCTTGCGGTACCGCCAGCGGGCCGGCACGGCCAGCGAGGAAAGGTGCACTGATGCAGCAGTGATCGTGCCTCAATAATAGATGCAAGTTGGAACCATGACTGCAAAGATGCATTTCGGTCGTGCTCTCGTCAATACATGGATTTTGGCGCACTTCTTCACAAGATCCTCAGCATTGCCACTATCCCAGCAACGGCATATGCAGGAGGCCGGAGGCAGGCTTACCAAGTGTGCGCCTCATGACACGGCTCTGGGTCACGATTGTTCCTACTCAGGCTTGCAGCTGACGCTGACCAGAACAGGTGTCTCGCGTCAGCAATGGGTCGACTGAGAAATGTGCTGGGAAAGCGCGGAGATTGTCACCAGAGTGTCGGATTCAGGCCCAAACTCTCACCACGGGCTACTTGTGCAAATGCGTCGCGCATGCCGAGCGATGCTCGATCCTGGCATAACTGCCGAAGGAGCTGTTCCATCGCCTCAACCCCTGAACAGTTATGGTTGCAGCATCTGTCACGGTTTCAGTCGTGTCGAGACATGGCATGCCAGCGCCAAACGGCTCTGGGCTACCGAAACGTGTGGACAGCAGCAACTGGAATGGTGGCGAGGCTTGCTCTAGCTGACCCAAGCAACCGGCGGCGATTGGGCGGATGGACCACAGTTCGGCGCCGGCGAAAGCTGTCCTCTTCGTCAGCCACCATTGATCAAAGCAGAGGCGGCATCATTCATGCGCATGACCCTAGGGTTTTCGTGTGCTGAGCGGTGAGGGCACAGAGCAGAGCAGGAGCACGAGGCAGGCAGCATGGCAGCATGAGCCAAGAGAGCAGCCGATCAGGTCTCGCTTTCCTCAGGGCAGCTGCGAGACGCTGGAGCAGCAGCGTGGTGCGGTGCAGCAGCGGAGCGGTTCCAGGGCGTGGCACTGGCTGCTGGTCGGGAGCGGGCAGGGAGCTGTGGGTGAGGGGCACACAACACAGGCTGGGGGGATCCGCCGAACTGGCTATTCGCAGAACCGACAGGATGGATAGTGGGACCAGCACTAGGCCTGTCTCAGCCACGCTCCGAGCACACAGGCTGGCTCCTCGCTGTCGCAGCTGGCAGGGACCAGGATTGTAAATTAATAGTGGTGCTGTTAATGGCTTAATGCGCGGGCGGTTCCCAGAAGCACCAGCAAGTGGATCCAGCCGCCTCGGGCTGCCTCTGCTCGGGGACGCAGCTGTGGACGAGTAGCAACCCAGCGTCTGCGTAGGGACGCTTGGAGTGAGTCGTTGCAGGGGTCTGCGGGTGGTGTCTTAAATAACCCTCCTGCATCGCTCCTGCCCTGATGACTGAGTGAATCCCGGCCGTCCTGCCTCGCCCCCAGTGCTCCGCGATCCCAGCAGACCGTCTCGACTAATAAAACCGACACCACTCGCACGCAGTATCGCCCGCCCTCGCCCGCCCAGCACCACCGAGCACATCGCCCTCCGCTGCTGCTGCTGTCGCTGTTTGTTCCCGCCTGTACCGCCTGTATCCTGCAACCCGCCGCTGCGACGAGCCCCAGCCCGCGACTGCGCTCGCCGTCTTATGACCAGTGCACCCTCACGCACGGCACCAGACCCCCGCCCGGCTGACGAGACGGTTTATTAGTCGACGCTCCCCGCCCACGAGGCCTGTTTGCTGCTCAACATCGTTCCAATGGTCACAATGGCATCGAATGGGTGAGTGCACTGCTCCTCCCCGCTCCGTGCGACTGTCCGTCCCGTGTTGGCGCCCGCGCAGCAGTGCCGGCGTCATGGCCAAAACAGAGCGCAGGTTCAAGAGCAGGCAACTGACTGAGGCTGCAGACTGCCCGTGCCCGCTCATAATAGCAATTACCTCGAAAATGGCCGTTACTACCATGGCTACCGGAGAGGCATCTACCAATATCCGTGTGACGAGGTGAGCAGTGCCAATCTACACCGTGAAAACAGCCAGTTCTGACAAGCATTGCAGCCAGAGAAGGACCGCATGGACATCTACCACAAGCTGTTCTCCGTAGCACGGAGAGATATGCTGCATCAGGCTCCTGTGCCACAGCACGGAGAAACTCGCATTCTTGATCTGGGCACTGGCACAGGTATCTGGGCGATAGACATGGCTGAGTAAGTTGGGCTCTGCGGCCTGCAGTGTGTGCTGTGCGAGGCTAACTGTGTGTGCAGCAAATTCCTGAATGCCGAGGTGCGCTGACCCACTATACTGCATTGCGGTATGAGACAGACAGCTGACGAGAATCTTGCAGGTTTTGGGCTTAGATCTGGTCAACATCCAGCCGGAAAGGTATGTGTCCACCCTTGCACCTGTCTGCCGGCACACGCACTAACTTTGCGCCCATGCAGAATCCCCCCGAACTTGCGTTTCCGTGTACCACGCGACTACGAGAGCCCGTGGTCGCTGGGCGAGGACTCCTGGGATCTGATCCACCTACGAATGGCCTGCGGCAGCGTCACAAGCTGGCCGGAGCTGTACCAGAAAGTCTTTGCGTACGCAAGCCCCTTGTGCGTGCATTATCGAGACTAATATTATTGCAGGCACCTGAAGCCAGGCAGCGGTTGGATAGAGCACGTTGAAATTGATATGCAGCCGCGCTGCGACGATGGCACACTCGACCCCAAGGGCAAGCTTGTCCAATGGTACGGCTATCTCGCAGACGCAACATGGCGAGTCTCACGCCCAATTGCATACGATCACCGAACGCGCCAGAACCTGCAGGCAGCCGGCTTCATCGACATCCAGGAGACCGTAATCCGCGTTCCTTACAACTCATGGCCCAATGATCCACACCAGAAAGACATTGGCAGGTGGTACAACCTAGGCATCACCGAAGGACTGGACGCACTGTCATTTGCCCCTCTCACACGAGTTTACCAGTGGGATCTCAACGCCCACGTCAGACCACTCCTTGACGGTGTCAAGAAGGAGATCTGTAATCGCAAAATTCATGCGTACAACAACATGTATGTCATCTTGTTATTGTTTGCTGTTGTACCAATTCATTGGGGTTACGAACCAATACTGACCCCTTGCTCCGCAGACATATCTGGACCGCCCGTCGACCTCAGCAGTAGCATCTTAATATGCTAAAATTGCGCTTGTAATGCCATTAAAGCTGTTGCTATTTCTGCCCGTGTTCGCCTGCCATGACCCCGCTCTGGCCGACACGTTCGACAACCCGGACCACATTGCATTCCTCCGATTGTTGTTTGGGTCCACGGGCGGCTTTCGAGAGACCGGTCTGCAACGTTCGACAGTCGCCCCGGCTCTATGGACGTTCCACGTTCCGAAAGCGTATCGCTAGTCCCAAAAGTCGCCGAGTCCACACTATGGATGGGTTGTACGAATATCGAGCCTGCCATCATGCAGGACGATATCCTACAGCACGTCTTCAATACAGGCTCGAGCTTGATTCCGAGTATCGATCACTTCATCCTGGCGGCGCTTTTTGCGACGGAAAAATCGGAGTTCTTCGGCAACCACATCATGTTTGGCGTTCGGTCATGCTTGGGAGTATGATACCTTGTTTTTGCTACGACATATGAACGACTGCAGGCGAGGTTGTGCTTCGAGCAGACATCGCCTTTCCTACGCATCTCACCATCTCATTTCTGGTAGCGACTTCTGCTTCGTTACGCCCAGGTTGGATGTCTCAACGTTTACGCATCTCCGCGAGGCTTTCTCATATTTATGGCGGCTTGCTTGAGCTCTTTCACTGGTAGGGTATGCGCATCTTCCCGTTCTGTAGTGGCCTCTAGGCCTGCAGACTTTTGGTCGAAGCATCCCACCTTTCGGTGTATGAATATTGTTCTCAAAGTATATAATATCTGCTATCAATTCTTCCTCTTCACTCAGCAGCGTCGAGTCTGCGGTCTTCTGATTCGACGAGCGATCAATAACACGCACGCGAACATGCTTGCATATCCCCATCTCCACCTGACCTTGGCCGCCGCAGCATTCTGTACGTCAACCAGCCACAGGTCGGTCATTACTACTTTTTGCACATGTCATTGCCACGCGTCGCGTTCAACGTCCGGAGACAAAGCCATGTGCTCTGACAGTGTACACATCGGCGTTTGATGCAGTACATGATTGGCAAAGTGTAGAACGGCGCGTGGAATTTTCTGCCTTGCTGAGCTGCTTTCCCCCACTTCACACCGGCAAAGATGCACGCCGGCAGAACCTACACGGAGGTCCTACTCAAACGAGCAGTAAGTCGCCCCAAGTGAACGAGAGACGAGCAACTTGCGCGCACGGAGTACCCAGGTACCTATGACCGTTACTCGAGCGGCGGTGCTGATCTCAAAGCGCAGGTAATGAACACAAGGGCGTGTTCGCGGGCCAAAACTCTAACATGACTCAGCTGGGTGATGAAGTAAGAGTTTGGCGCCGAGTTGGCGGGGGAGATTCCGTAAAAGCAGGAGCCACGGGAACTCGCTCGGCCGGCCCAACCCTCTGGGAGGAAATTGGCGTGCACCTAGCCCGACCGAATCCTTCGGCGCATCATCTTCGCGATACTTGCTGGCCTCGCACATAATTGGCGGTCAATTACTTGCTGTTACGGGGTAAGCTGGCGGTCCTTTCTCGGCCTCGCATTCAGGCTGCGACGCGATCTATCTGACACCAGCAACCTGCGAACGCAGCGCCGGCCGGTCACGTCGGCGACCAGCCCTACAAGATGCCGCCTCAGAGAGTTCAATTCGCTGACGCGCTTTCTCTCCGCCGCCTATGGCCAGTTCTGTGGGATCAGCGTGCGGAGAGCGATCAGGGTTGAAGCACGTGTACAACTCTCTGTCTCCGGTCAGTCTTCAGCAGGACGACTCCACCGAGCCCACACGTCAGCCAGATGCAATGCCATCGACGAAGCTGCGAGCCGGCGAATTCAACCTCAGCACCGTTCACAGTCCCTGAATCATTGTACACACCGATCATCTGGTCCAGGTCCTGACTCCTGCATGAGCACGCCAGTGCCTGGGAGATTTGTGGACCGGCTGCGCCGTACTGCGTCTCATCTCCACGGCGACCTCAAGGAATTCTCCTCATCGACTTAACCCGTACCTCTATCGCACAAGTTATCCTGGTCCTGAATCGCCTGCTTGTCGCGTCATGCACCTGAGTCTAGCTGATTGTCAGAGCATTTGCTCGAAGTACCGACGTGGGACGGGTGTATGTACGGTCTCCCAACACGCTGGATGCCTCATTATCCCATAGGCTCGGCTGTTCATCTGATAATCTTGGAAGCCATCAGCTTACACCGACCATCCTATACGAACGGGGAAGGCATATGGTCTAGTTGGCTAAATGTAGGAACACCACCGTAATTGATCCTCCACTTGGCAGAACGAATCACCACCTTAAGGCTTTACGATACAAACAGCGCACGCTTAGGCCGCTGCTTCTTTCTTACTGTTGCAGATCAGATCTTTCACGAGCGATTGACGGTTACAGTACCCTTTCGCGCCGACGTCGCACGCTCAGTAAGTGCATTTCTTCTTCTCCACTACTTCCATGATGAGCAAGCTGGGGCCATATGAGATCCTCCCCAGTTCACACATTTGTGAGCATAGGGTTGCAGGAACAATGCTTTCAAACACCAGCAATTCCATATCTTCTCAACATACCTGATGCATTTGTTTAGCTGCTATAGTCGTTATACCATTTTAGGTCAGCGCATGCTAATGATTGGACAGGACCGTAACCTTCGGTGGTAGTCCAACACCATCTCGCAACCCGGTTTCCACTTCGAGATACGCTACCGTAAACCGACTCCGACCGTTTGAGGGACAGCTTCACTGCACCTTTGCGGGATATCATATCCTGTGCATGCAACTAAGATCGCGGCTGCACGTAGCTCTGCCGAAGAACAAGCTTGGTTTGAGCATCACGGTCTGCAATCGGAGGATCAAGTACCCGTACGCAGGTTAAGTGTCGGTTCTGCCCCCTCGACGTGCTTGTGGTCCCTGCGTCTTGACAGTGTGCTTGAGGCTGCAGGATGCAACGGGTCGTTGACAGCTTCATATGATGCTGCAATCTAGATGCTGTTGTGAGGCTGACTGAGGTGTGAAATACGATGCAGCTGACGTCATGAGTAAAGAAGTCGTGGCGTTGAAGCCGCCTTGTCCACGAACTGAGTGAGTCCTGCCGTGGCATGATAAACGACGCACATGTTGTTTGTAGAGTGGGCAACTAGGCTTTTCTTATGTCTTTCGCTCGTGGGCCGAAAGGGCTTTCAGCCTCGACGTCTCCGCTCGGGCTGGTAACAAGCTAAACAATGCGCCACGTATGTAAGATACTTCAACATGTTGACATCGCACCCGTCCTTGTCAAATTATCGCACTATCCAAGCACACGTTTTCCTGCGCAACTGAGCTTATCACAGAGTGTAGTTGATTTAATCGTCGATTCCCTTTTCTCTCCTGAAGCAAACAAAGAGTTGGAAGCAATGATGACGTGCAACCTCCATCAACGGGAGACTTTGCCAACGAGTACGGTGCTGATAGTTGCTTACTGACTGCACGGACGTTACCTCCACGGCCTCACACACTGACGTTTGCAAAAACATCTGCGAATGAAACATCCTCAATGCATCTCCTCATCTCAGCAATGCGCCGCCGCTCTCCGAGGAGGCAGCCATGACTTCCCGTTACGCAGTCGACTCGGACGACTCAAAAATTCCTACAGTTGCGACACCCTGGACTAAAGAATCACGCCACACCCGCCAACGGGTTTCCACGTCGTTTCTCATCAGCGATGATGCCAGCACCTTCTCTTGTCCCAACTTCGTGGTAACGATTGTCGGCGCCAAGGCCTTGTGCTGCGCCATGCGCGAGAGATCAGAAGGATGTGTGGCTCAAATCGCTCCGGTATCCCTGCAGCTCGAACCACATGCCGGCTTGACAGCCGGAAGGAGCCGAATTGGCACATCCTGACGTTCATCTTTCACACTGTCATCAAAGAAATGGTTTGCGCATGGATTGTGATTTGCTGGGAGGTGCAAAAGGGTCGCGGGGGTGATGAAATCATGGTAAGTGAGTAGGGTGATGCAGGCAGGGGGTTGTGCGCACAACCGTGCTTTCCTTGCTTCTGGGTGTGACGACGTTGTGTTGACGAGGTACGGTCTCGTCAGTGAGTGTTTTGTGAGCTGGAAGGCGGGGGGTATAAGGAAGCTACGGCCGTCGCAACTCTCTCAACGCACTCGACACGAGCAACCTTCGATTGATCCAACACCTCCACACTTCACCACAATACCAACACCAATACCACCAAACCGCAACAATGGCATTCGGACGTCGCGCCAACGCAGCTCCGGCAACAGCTCCAGCGAACGACTACGGCGCCCCTGCTGTGCGCTCAAACAAACTCCACCGCCCTCTCCTCGCTGCAAACCATGCCCTGCACACCATCTCCTCCCTGATCGTCCTCGGTATCTCAGCGTACTTCATCAACAAGTACACCCACAACACACACCTTGTGTACTGGGTCGCTCTTGTACGTCACCTTCCCTTCTCCCTTCCTCATCACCCCCGCTTCCCCAAATGACCTTCCCACTGACACGCAATGTTAGGCTGCCATCGACGTATTACTCTACATCCCCGCCCTCGCCCTACCAGCCCTCAACTCCTACAAAGGCTACCTCGCACCTCTGGCCTGGATCCTATCGTACCTGTGGCTCACAGCTTTCATTTTCGCGGCGCAGGACTACGAGTACAACGGCGGGTGCACCGTGAACTCGCCACGTTTCGTCAACAAATGTAACCTCAAGCGCACGCTTGAGGCGTTTGCTTTTATTGCTTTGTAACGTCACTCCGATCGAGCTTTTAGTGTGGTAGAGTGCTAACAGGTACTGTAGCTTCACCAGCCTTGTCGGTACGCTGCTTGAGACGCGGCTTTGGGATGTGCAGAGGTTCAAGGGAACAAGGGCTGTTGATGTTGAGAAGCATCATGGTGTTGGTGCTGAGCCTGCTGTTGGTGCGCCTGCTGCTGCGCATCAGGCCGTCTAAAGCTGCGCAGAAAATCAGGTTGTCGATGCGTGGAAGAGGTAAGAATGGATGAGCAAGCTGCAAAGCTGCATTGGCACTGGTCCATCAACAAAGATATGATAACGAGCATCGTGTAAGATAGTGTGTTTCGCAGAGGGTTTGAGGGAATGCAGGGCTCACAGGGACTTGTGGTAAGGGACGATGATAATGTCTAATAGTAATTTGAATGGGTTTCAGATCAATCAGTGGGTCTGACAATGTGGAAACGATGCTCCATGGCCTTCAGGTAGACCTCCTCGGGTAACGAAGAAAGCCGGGCTTCACATCCCAATTCTCTGATTTTTAGGAGGCCTTCAGAGCAGGTTTGCGCCAGCCTCATAAATTAAGAGACAGGTAAGGGACTATGGAGTATTTTGCTTGTGTAGAATCACTATCTGGGATTTGCTGAAGACCTCCTAGCTGCATATAAAAGTAGAAAAGTGCTGTCATTGCCTCCAACTTCTCTAGGAGCATGAGATCTCCCTCAGTACTGCAGGCCGCCATTAGAGCCACGACAGCACACCAAACAAATGTATTGACAGCAAGGTACTTCGCCACGCGAAGTCGAGTGATGAGGAAGGTGGTTGGATACTCCCAAAAGAAGTAGCCAAAGTAGAAGACGCTGGAGACTCAGAAGTACTGTTGACCCTTCAGATGCTGCCGAATGTCAGTACAGGGCGAATCGTAGCGACATCATCAGGGGCAAGTCGTTACGTACAGTGTCCTCTCGTAAGCCAAGCACTGAGGCCGAAGACAGAATTGTCTTACTCATGAAGTCCAGATTGTATGTAATGAACATTATAGGTCTCAGTCGTCAGTCACTCTTTCACAAGACGCGCTTCGCAATCATGATGCTCGGCTTCGTGGGCGGCTTCATGTCCAGGAAAAGGGCTCGCCATGATATCGTGTCCTCTCGAAGGTCCACCGAGCATATGCGTCAAGCAAGTGTGACAATTTCGAGGCGCACGCATTGTAAAAGCGCTTGAGAGCCTGGCGTGACCAAGCATCCAGGTGCAAGTCTTATCGGTGCTTGACATAGGTAATTGCTGCCGGCCAACGATATCGGAGATAGTGTAACCATAAGAAGCAAGGAGTCGGGCAAGCCAAGAGCGAATTGTGGATCTTCAAGGTACAGTCCTATTCAGGCACACCGCGACGGAAGATAACATCCAGTGCCTTACCAAACGACTTGCCATTCAATGTTCGAGAAGCCAACGATCTGGGAGAATGCCTCGTCACGCTTATCCACCTGCTTGAGCAAGTACTCCCTGCCATCTCTGCCGCCAATCTTCAGATCCTGGCCCGAGTCCCTCTGCAACTTGCTTGGAATATTTTTCTGCACAATGCGGTCCTCCTTCTCGAACTTCTGGAGTTCATCATATCTAAGAGACCACAAGACATTGTGTCCAAGGTTTGAAACGAATCGGACTCCTCCAGCGCTCACGATGAGGCGGCCTGTGGTTTTATCCTGATGCGCAGTGTAGCTGTTGTAGTCATGGGCCGGGTCGAACGTAGGAGAAAGCGTTGCAAGTCCAGGTGCCACAGGCGTCGATGCTTGGGCGAGGCGAGTTCCTTCGGCTTGTATGTATTTGATGGCCCACTCCGCTGTGATTTGTTAGCAGGATCCCTTGAATTCTCAACATGCGACGTACCATGTGTTGGGATATTCCATAGCAAGCGTTTGGTAGGCGACACCAAGAGCCTGTACTCGGGGAAGTTGACGGCAATCGGGTAAAGAGCGAAGTACGTGACACCCATGGCGAATGTCATGATCTTCACCAACAACCACATAGGGATCAGCGCAGTGACGAGCGTAGTAACACCAAGAACGATCAGAGTACGCATTGTTCGATGAGGAACGCGCCATTCGTAAAAACTTCTATGTGTTAGCTCATTGTGCTTCGTTGGAGCTAGGAAAACCTACTTGCGCATGCTCTCGAAGAAGTTGGCCAAGTCCGCTAGCTGAACCATGAGCCACGGGCCCAGGCCCTCGAGGAGGTCATCGGACCAGTTCTCGTCACCTTCCTTCACGATCAGCTCTGTCAGAGACAAGGCAGTCACATGTTGGTTCTCTCGATGTTCGATATCTTCGCGCAAGTCTTGTAGAGTGTTGCCGTGAGCGCGACGTTCGGCAACAAGGTAGACAAATGCAGCGAGCTGTTCAGCATCAGTACATGTGTCTGAGTTGCACTAAACAGTATGTTGTACTTACGCAGCCTGGAAGTAACATATTGAAATACCAGAGAGCGGAATATATCAATAGGTACTTGGTCGTCGTGGGAGGGTGCTCCCACCGGTAAACTCTTCGCGATGTCATGATGAATTCTTGAAGTGGAGAGGAAGCGATCAAAAGGCGCTCGATGTTTGGCATGATGGTTTGCTTTGACGGTGCTGGTGGATCGGAACCGTATCCGATGTACTGCCCTCCGTACTGTTGCGCGTAGTACACAAGCAACTGTCGCACGTTAGATAGATCCGAGAAGACGCGGAGTGGATTGTTCGACTTACATGCTGTCCATATGCTTTCCAGTCGATGACCAAACCCTCTTGCGGGTTGTATTTCTCGAAATCTGACCTTGGCTTTAACCGTATCTGATCTCGTGGCAGCAGCCTGACCTTTGTTACATGGCGATCAAGAGTCCAGCGCGCATAAGTCGCTTGGCGCTCCTTCATCAACTTAGAGAGATCTTGGATTGCAAGTAGCCGCTGTGCATCGTTCTTTGCGGTCTCAACTGCCTCTGAAGCGTGGATCAGGTCAACCTCGTCGCCATGGGGAACCTCTTTCGTTATAATCTGTCCTGCGACCTGCTGGTTACCGTGCTCCGACACCTTCGCTTTGACAGTGTCGACAGGGTTGTGGACGAAGTCCTTGAACGTAGCCTTGTCTGGCTCTGGCGGGTCGGTTACATATCGTGATCCTGATGCCTCCTCGTTGCCTCCTGCGATGGCTGTTGTGGTCAGGTCAAAATCGTCCGAGGCTCTCCCAATATGCAGCGTCTTCCTGATCTTGACCCCAGCTTTGTGCTTCTTCAGCTTGATCGACTCAACAACATTGTGAGAGGATGAGGACGGACTGTCTGGCTCTACATCAATGTCCGCGCTGTGGTTCTGTGAATCGTGCGATTCGGGTAGCTGGATCTGCGCAGATTTCGTGATTTTGGCTCGGTCGAGTCCAACCTCGAACTCGTCGACGAGAATGGGCTCCTGTCGTGCTTGCATGGTGCTTCAGCCGTGGATTATGCCACGTGTGCTAAGGGTCTTCGAGGCAGCTAATCTAGTTATTTAGTATCAATATGAGGAGGTGATAAAGTTCAACGGTCTAGGGTCAATGCAACGCATGCGCAGCTCTTTCACCCATTGTCTACAGCTTGTTTGGCCGCGTGTATCGTCCCGCGGCGGTCATGGGTACGTCATCGGTCGTCACTGAGCAACATGTTACGCGAGTTCCTGGGATAGACAAACGCAACAAGGCTGCGGTAAGAACGATGGGTCACGGGTCTTGCATCCTTCGAAAATCATCGACGATGCATTGCAGCTGCAAACACGTTGCGCGCTGATGTGCGGGTGTTACCAGTCGGCATGGTGACAGCTTTGAGGGCTGGGCCAGCAGCTGCGCCCGGTGCGGCTGAATTTTGACTAAGCGAGACTTCTCCAAACAGGAAGACGACCTTGAAGCGCAGCCGTTGCAAAATGACACCAACTTTTCTATCTCTAGGACGGCTACGGAACGTCTTGCATGCTCACACAACCTAGGTGCAACCTAGGATAGCGGGACGGACATATCGAGGCGAATGTATACAGCCGTGATCGCGAGCACCACTCACCTCGCTGTACCGGTAGGAGTTCCATCCTCTCACCAAAACCTCCAACTTGGCTCCTATCCATATGCGCCCTGACAGTCTTAAGCCACTGTTTGATTGCCCCGCAGCTCACTTCAGGGTGCATTGCGGACCAGGGCGTTCCCCGGACTTCGCTGTCAGGTCCAACTCCGCCTTGGCCAAGTCCGCCAGATTTGTATGCACAGCTAGAATGCCCATGTACGCGCTGTTCAAGAGAACGTTTGCATGAAGCCTATGTCCGAACGTGAGTCAAGGTACACACGGACTACGCATTACTGCAGATGGCCATGGACAAGCGCAAGATGCGACCATTGTCGAAACGCCATAGTCCATCCAGGAGTATGTCCGTTATGGAACACTAATCTCACTGGCGTGAAGTCCAGTTCGTGGTAGGGAAATCATCGCATATAAGCAGCCTTGTGCTACCCATAGAATGTATCATCAACACACACCATTCAACAGTACTACCACAGCAGTTTACATCAATTACCATGCTCATCTCCAAGCTCACTTTGATCGTCGCTCTCGGCCTCACAGCCGCCGCCTACCCAGCCGGCAGGCCCGACGACAGCGAACACTCCGCTTCGATGCCCCATAACTCTGGCGACAATCAGAAATACGATGGCCAGAACCCTGGACAGTATGGCTCCCCATACCAGCCTTCTCAAACAAAGCCATCGTACGGTCAACCATCAGACCACGCCTGCAAGCGCCATGGTTCGTGTCATCATGATTCGAAGCCTCACGGCCCGAAGTCTCACAGAGCCCGCCCTTCTGGGCCACCGTCCAAGCCAGATCGCACAAAGCCTTCATACGGTGAACACTCTGGAACGCCGATGGAGCCTGACCAGAATAGGCCTTCCGACAACGAGCACTCTGGCTCACCGACGAAGCCTGACCACACGAAGCCCGACCACACGAAGCCCGACCACACGAAGCCCGACAAGGACCGTCCTTCCGGCTCGCCATCTGGGCCTGACAGTGCGACACCTACAAACAAACCTACGGACGCTGCGACTCCAGTGCCAGCTAAACCAGAAGAGCCGGGAAAGCCGAGTGTTCCTACTCCTGCTGCTCCGTTGAAGCCTAAGACATCTGCCGAACCAGCTTACTGAGAAGCATACTCATAATGTTCTGGCATAGGAGGATGAAAACTCGTGAGTTGAGACCAAGTAGAAACACATGAGATAGGAGTTCATTGGCGTTGCCAACAATAGACCGGCTGGCTCGGTATACTTTTGCATGTGTCGGCGCTAGGCTTTGTTTACCATTCCCCTTATAGCTGAATGAATAGATTTCTGTCCCATCAGTGATACTTGAATCTGCATCATGATACCATTCACAAGACTAGCAGTATAATGCTTGAGTGATCGTGATATAGATGTTCATAGATCTTACATGTTTTACAGATTGCCAAGGGCTAAGCTCCTTAGTCCCATAGAAAGTTCACCACCTTTCTCCAGCCCGTAGACTTCGGTTCCAGCGGCTCAGGGTTCGCCGCCACCTGCTCAAGTGCCGCCCTTATCGGCACATCCGCCAAATCCACCATCTTCGTCCCTTTAATGAACTTCCACAGCAGAAATGCAGCAATGACAAGCGGAATATCCAAGTACGACGACACGAAGCTACTTGTCGACCAGCCACCCTTCGTAAAATTCGAGAACCCACCAGTAAGCAAGATAGTGAGGCACATGAACAGCGCAATCGGCGACGAGTACGGTGTCCAGCTGTTGTGGAACGGCAGTTCGGTGCGCGAGATGCCTTGCTTTTTCATCGCTTGGGTAAGGCGGATGTGGTTGAACAGGATCGAGGACCAGGATACAAGCACTCCAGCAGCAGTCAAATCGACCAGCCACCAGAAGACAGTCATGGCACTGCTTGAAAGCGCCATGAATGCGAGGAACATGAAACATGTGTTGAAGCACACGCAGACGTATGGTACGCCCCAGGAAGTAGTCCGCAAGAAGATCTTCGGTGCCTGTCCTTTAATGGCGAGACCATAGAGGACACGGGTGCCTGAGAGAAGCGCTTGGTTGGAAGAAGACCATGCAGAGGTAATGACGACGGCGTTGACGACCGAAGGGATGGCCTTGATGCCGGCGGCTGAAGCGACGATGACGAAGGGACTCTGTGTTGCATCGCCGGATTGGTCGTTGAGGCGAGGGTCGTCGGATGCTACGATCATACCAACGATGAGAACTGCAGACTATCAGTAAGAAACCTTCGGGTTCTAATAACTTCTGACGTACCAGCTAGGATATAGAAGATCAAGACACGAGCAAAGACCTTCTTGCAAGCCTTTGGAATGTTTCGGCGCGGATTCTGCGTTTCAGCAGCCGCCATCGCCAAACTCTCAACACCCGCGAAACTGAAGACCGCGTTCGTCATCACAGCCCAATAGCCTAAGAATTGACCCCAGGGTCCGGAGGCGATGTACTCAACGAAGGGGCCTGGCTGCTTCCAGTACCTGAATCCAACGCGCTCTTGGCCCGGGATTCCTCCAAGATCGATGACCAGACCAAAGATGATCAAGAAGACGACGAGGAGAATCTTCAAGCAGGCAAAGAAGAATTCGATCTCTCCATAGATTCCCACGAACGAGATACCAACCACGAAGGTGATGACGATGAATATGCAGATCCACACCGCAGGATTCAGGTCGGTCCAGTATTGAAACAATACGCAAATGGCCGAAATTTCCGCCGGGACGGACAGCAAGTTCCCGTACACGATGTTCAACCCAATTGCAAAGCCAAACGCCGGATCAACCAGAAACTCAGCATGTCTGACGAAGGAACCAGTAACCGGCAGGAGCGCCGCGACTTCTCCCAGCGCGAACTGCACTGCACAGACGATACATCCAACAGTCGCATAGCCCAAAAGCGCACCGAGAGGACCACCGGTTTGAATCGAGCCGCCGAGTCCGAGGAAAAGTCCTGTTCCAATGGCACCGGCGATGGCAATCATCTGGATGTGGCGCTGACGCAAACCTCGGGCGAGGTTGTTGTTCTCGAGCTGGGTGACAAAGTCGCCCTCATGGTCATGGTGTCTGCTCCAAGAGGCTTCGAGATCGGCACCATGCGAGACGGTGGTATTGACACCGTAGTCGAGGTCGGATTTACTCATGTTGGCGTTGGTGTGACTCCTGCCCGTCAAATCTGCGGTGGTGTTCCTGATCGGGCCGTTGGTGTTGCGTGAGGAAGTCGCTGCGGTAAACGTATCGTACTGGTTGTGCGGCGCAATCGCATCTATCAGAGGTGCATCATCGTGCTCATCATGGTTGTGTGAGTTTGGTCGTGTGCGACCAGCTCCAACGGGCATGCTCCAGATTTTTGTACAAAGTCCACTGATTGCGAGAAGGGCCGAGATATTGCGTGCTCCGTATTACCACGCGTCCAGCGGCCAGAGCCCGCAAGCGGCATCCACTGGGGTAGCGGGCGTGAGGCTGAAAAAGCTAGGGCAGTACCAGAAGAAGCTTCGTTGCCGTGCTTGTGGGTGACAAGCTTCGGAAGACATTTCTGTTTGGTGTCGGGAGGATTGAAAAGCGCCGAGATGCGCCCATCCAGTCCTCGATTGCGTGATAATAACGAATCATGGCTTCGAAGATACGACAACCTCTAATCTACATTCCAGCGTTGCTGTAGAGTAAAAAGTTATCCTTGGGCCCTCTTATGCTTCCCAGATGATTCCCAGCGCAGCCTGCGCTGTATTGTGAGGTAGTAGCGTAGGTAGCAGCCACGGCGTTGCTTTTACCCGCGCCCAACATGATCACAGATATCACCAACTCCTTGTCGGAATGATTTACTTGTCCGTCTCCATCCGAGAACACGCGCGATCGAGCTCCGACACAATATACTTGACAACACAAACAGGCTCGAGAGCGGTGCGTCATCTGTGTTCAGCGTCAGGTGCGTAAAGTCCTGATTACGAGCAATTTTCTAAGCTGTGCAGGACTCGAGACTATGTGCATGAAGATGCGCGACTTGTCGATTGTATAGGTCTGCATGGTGACGCAAATCACGTTGCTCTCCGCTGTGACGGAGCAAGGCTGAATGTCACGGGACTTGCTGCATGTTTAAAACCTCGTTGCACTTCTTACCTTCATCTCATCCTCGAGGATCATCCGTTCGGCTATTGTGTACCCAACTTATCAGACGCCGACGCCTGAAGCCGCCATGGACGACGCACACAGCATCCGCCAGTCCGAGTCACCTCGAAGCGTGGCGGATATGGCTTGCAACTCTGAAGCAGAGAGACTATCAAAAGAAGCGTCATCACTGTCTGCAGCGAGGATCCACGACCAGCAATGGCCCGATTCGTCTTCGCGCCTTGCTGGTGACGGTACTTCTGCACCACACTAGTTTGATCTGTCTCTTCCAGAAGGACTGCCAGGGATCCTCGAATACCCCCAGGCGCTCTGTGACGAGCAGGGCTGGTGCTCAACGTCCCGAATCTTCTCCCTCAATTTTGCGACTCTGCTTACAGACAGCAGCAAGGTTCCATCTCCACTGTATTATAATTCTGGCACGCTACACGACACTTGTTGGCTTATGCCAGAATCAACCGAGGCTAGGCCTCTCAAACGCCAAAGATTAGGGGAGCTTTCGCAGAAGACAAACATGCAAGGCTCCTCACACCCAAATAGTGCTGCTCGTACTCTTATCTCAGTCTTCAGCATAGAATTCGGCCGAAGTATCCTCGATCAGCATGGTATTCGGCGGCTGGTTGATTATGCTCTGACCTGGCAGACGCGTAGAAAAGTACTTGCAGGCGTTCGCTAACAGCAAGCAAGATTTGCAGCTGGTTTGAATAGCCTACGAACTTGGTCAAATGGGGTGACAGAGATTAAGATGGCACATTTAGTTCACGATTGAATGGACAAAGTCGCGCGACATATCTGTACTGAGGCAAACCTAAATTCCTCGCAAGAAGCCAATTCTTGGCCACTTGTGCGGCCTGACCCTTAACAGAACGAGCTTCGCAAAGCCCTGGCTGACCTGACGGCTACTGAAGAATTCCGGATGCTCCTCTCTTCTCAGGAAAAAGGATTGGCTTACGATCATACCCCAATCCTGAGGAATATCCGTGAGCAGCTAATGGTCAGCTTGACGTCTGAAGGGGTTGAACAATACCGAGCTCAATTCGATACACTTTGGACCTTGGTCGATTTCATTCGATCCCAATTCGAGAGTCAGGTGCCGCCAATAGGCTCCGTCGTGGTGCTCACAGGTTCTGTGTTGAGTTCTCAAGCCACTACGTGCCGCGAGTACATCCAGAAAGTCTGGCCGATTACCGGTGGATACTTTTTTACAGCTGCTGGACCACCTTAATCTCACAGACAAATTAGTAGTCGCTCGTGACTTTGACGACTTCAAAGGAATCGGTACGCCGGTGTGTGGACCTTTCTTGTTCCTCGAGCTAACAAAACTGGGAATATCCCAGACGACTTTGAGCTTGCTCACGAGGAAGCTCGAGGTACGAGTAGCGAACTGCATACGGGCTTTTTACTGGTATCCATTCGCGCCAAATCAACAGACCATTCCTGTCATACTAAGCCATGTTGCCCCGTACATGGTGCAACTAGACGCAGATTACGATTCGCGGTCGAAGCATCTAAGCTGTGAATACTTGCACAGCTGGCAGAACAGATTGCTTGGAGCGTCTGCGCACTGAGTACATCGCTTTTGGTGAGCAACTGGCTTACGCAGATTCCACCTTTGACAAGCGGCACGATCCCAACAGTCCAGTGCCAGTATTTGAGATCTCAGCTCAGCATGTACCGCTACCAAAGACTGAACACTCATGCTGGTTGCCTCTTTTCAAAGTAGCAGTCATTGCACAAGAGTTCTCCGATCCCCAGTCGCAAAAATCATCGATACCCTGCTGCGGGAGTCGACGGTGAAAAACAAGAGAAAGAGGAACTTAAGGAAGAGGGATCTAAGAAAGGAAAAATTGAGGAAGATTCAGCTATGAAAGGTCTAGAAATATCTTTAGATCTTCTCGTAGAGATTGGCGGTGTTCGACACGCAGTAAAATACGACGGAGGGTTGGTCATGAAAGGCTTTTCTCACATGTTTGTTCCTGTGCGAAAGGTCGGAGATCGAGTACAATGGCATGCCATCTCAAGCAAGGATCATGGAAGTCAACTGACCTACGAGGAAGCTTTGCGACAATGTGCGACACGAGCACCGCTTAAGGAAATTGGCTTGGACGATCTGCAACATACGCGTGCTATATTGGGATGGTGTTTGGTAGCAACGTCACGACTTGGATCCAATTTGGCAGATTACGCGAACATCGGCTACTCGCGCAGTGAAGAAGCCAGCGCCGGTCTTCGATTTGCTGGTGGCCAGCTAGGATTTCAGCAGTTTGGCATGGCAGCTTTGGACTTCAGTCTCGGCGCCAAAGATGGCAAATCCCATTTCCAGCGTGTTGGAACATACGATAGGGTTGTCTCAGCCGCAGAGAAGACATCCGTCTTCCGGACGACGACGAATGCACTTTCAAGAACGAGTTGTTTACGCTCTGTCGCTATTGGAACGTCTCATCTACCAGAACGTGAGCAGGCAAAGGAATGCTCAAGGGGCACCACTCAGAAGCAACATGCGTGAACATCTGACGGGATTTGAGTTCAAGGCTGTAGTCCAGGATCGTTCGCCATTCAAGCTCAAGGCAAGGGATCTATTGAAATCAAACGGCGGCTGGGCCGTCACTGATCCGCGACATCGATGCACTGGCCTTACGGAAGACGGCTTTGGAGACTTGATCCTCCCTGCGGATGGCGAGAAAAAAGCAACATATGCTCCACATGGCAAAGACTACCCGAAGGACGAGACTGCATGGCGACAAGCACGACAACCGTCAAAGACCTGTACGATGTTGCTGGCTGTCGAGTCGATTGGAATTATCTCACAACATCCAAGTTGCAGTGGTATCAGTGTGCTTCTCACTTATTCGCCGTCTGTGCGGACCGCAAAAGCTGCAAGTGCGATCGTCTGCAGCAGGACCTTCCGCTGAACTCTATCGGCAAGGTCGTTCCGCGACGTAACGCCGATCAAGGTGCCGTGATATTTGGCCGGTCTGGCTCTCTGATCAACAATCTTCAGCGCAAGCCACGCACTGAAGGGCAACAGGGCTACCAACTATATTCGCAGCCCAACAAACCGCTCTCGCCAACCATCATACCTAAAGACGTGGAGGACACATTGGCTCTCGACAGCGCCTATCAGAGTGCATCAGACATATCAGCGAACTCTACGCCTAACAGCGTCTTGTCATACGCTTCGCCGACCACACAAGACTCGCATCCAGATCTTCCAGCAGTCTCGAGCTTACCGTCAATCCTACCGGAAGCAAACCTGAGAGGAGACGGCAAGGACTACTTCGAGTGCTGCGATGCCAACGAAGACACACTGAAGGGGAAGAAATGCATGTGGTCTCCACCAAGGACACCGATTGCTGAACATGAGCCGCAGCGTCCGCTACGCCGGGTGGAAGCTTTTACGATGCAATCGAAAAGGGTGCGCAACGAGTGACCAGGCGACATGGGATTTGGTGTTCCATTGTCTCAATTGAGTTATTTCATATCGTTTCCTTATGCAGTGTGTACGTTGGTTGTGGTAGTGATATAGCTCCAGCGACCCATTCTAAGCGTGTCTTGCGTCGACACCCTGATACCTTGTGCCAGAGTGCAACAGGGATTGAGCAGCTGCTAGGTCGGAATGTCATCGTGATAGATTGAGTCTAGGTATATATACAACGACCCAAAAATACTACTCCAAACACAACAAGGAAATACTCGACAGAGGTGGCATCTAACCAACAAACAAAAAAAAATCTAACAACATCCTTCAAAAACGCCTTCTCCCTCAACGCTCACCCATATCCTGCAACGGCACATACCTCGCCTCCTCCTTGTTCCTCCTCCACGCAGCCCAGCTATCAGTGACCCAGTCTCTCGCAACGCTGAACACGCCACCTCGCTGCATCTCCTCCTCCTTCTTCTCCTTCTCCTCCTCTGGCAATTCCGCGCCAGGGTCAAGGAGGTAGACCTTCATCCAGCTGGGGCGATGCCAGAACTTGAGATGCAAAGAAGACAGCACGACAGAGACAGAGGAGCACGCCATCGCCGCGCCAGCAGCCATAGGATGCAAGCTCAGCCCCCAGGGAAGGAAGAAACCCATTGCAAACGGCAGGCCGACGAAATTGTACATGCACGCCCAGGCAAGATTCAGCTTGATCCTCAAGAAGATCGCGCGGCTGAGACACAAACTCGCGGGGATAGCGAGCAGATCCGTGTTGGACATGAGCACGATGGAGGCGGCTTCCATGGCCACGTCTGTGCCGGTGGACAGCGCGATGCCGATGTCTGCGGATGCGAGGGCGGGCGAGTCGTTGATGCCATCGCCGACCATGCCCACGCAGAAGCCGCGCGATTGCATGTCTGCGACGATGGCCTTTTTGTCAGAGGGAGTGGCGGAGGCGTGCACGGAGGCGGTGTCGATGCCGACTGCTGCTGCGACGACGAGTGCGGAGGCGGAAGTGTCGCCGGTGACGATGGAGGATGTGATGCCAAGGCGTTGGAGGGCGAGCACAACGGCGCGTGCGGAGGGCTTGATAGTGTCGGAGAGGCTGAGGGCGCCGGTGTAGGTTGTGCCGATGGCGGTGTGGATGGTCGTGATACCGGCAGAGCGGGATTGCGGGTTACGGGCGTTGGGGTTAGGGGTCAAGGGTTCGTCGACGAGGTCGGGTACATTGACGCCGTTGGAGAGGAGGAAGGTTGCGTTGCCGATGAGGACCTTGTAGCGTGTGCGGGGACCGGAGACGGCGGCTTCGACGTTGGCGGTGATACCTTTACCTACCACGGCTTCGAAGTCGCCTACAGCACCGTCAAGGATGCCATCAGGGCCGAGGCGGAGATGTTCCTTCGCGGAACGGACGATGGCCTTGGCGATAGGGTGTTCAGAGCCCATCTCGGCCAGACCAATGAGTGTCCACCAAAGATTCTTCTTGCTGGCCCACTCGCCTTGAATCTCAGCCTTGGAGACGCTCATCTTGCCGACGGTGAGTGTGCCGGTCTTGTCGAAGACAATGTGGTTGATTTTGGTAGCCGTTTCCAGAGCAGCGCCACCCTTGACCAAGATACCTTGCTCTGCGCCCACACCGGTGCCGACCATGACGGCGGTAGGAGTTGCGAGACCGAGGGCACAAGGACAGGCGAAGACGATAACAGCGATACAAAGCTTAACGCAGACCATGACCTTGCCACCGCTAGCATGGTTGAGGAAGACTTTAGGAGGGTAGGGGAGGATATGGCTGAGGACCATCCAGGCAACAAATGTAGCAAGGCCGAGCGTGATGATGATGGGAACGAAGTATCCGGCGACGGTATCTGCGAGGCGTTGAATCGGTGCACGGCTGGTCTGAGCCTCCTGCACCAGTCGAACGATCTGACTGAGCTGGGTGTCCCGACCAGCACGGGTGACAACGAATTCCATGCGGGCGGCACCGTTGACAGTACCAGCCATGAGGAGCGCCCCCTTCTTCTTGAGGATAGGCATAGCCTCACCGGTGACCATGCTCTCGTCAATATGGGACTCGCCACGCGTAACGGTACCATCGGCGGGGATCTTATCACCAGGGCGCAGGATGACCACGTCGCCCACCTCGATGAGCTCCGTAGCAATTACCCGTTCCTCAGCAGCGTTGACGTCCATTGAAGGGCGGCCATCTTTCTCGTCCACGGCGTCCCAGCCCTCTGCAGCTTTCGCGGCAGCGATCGGGTCAGCGTAAATGGTAGCCATGGAGGGTGCAAGAGACATCAGCCTCGACAGTGCCTTGGAGGTCTGGCCCTTTGCCTGGTTCTCGAGGAAACGACCCAAGCTGATGAAAGTGAACAGCATAGTGCTAGTGTCGAACAGAGTCGTAGGCTTCGTGTGAGGAGACACGAAGATCGAAACAAGCATCGAGGCAACGCTGAAGAAGAAGGCTGCAGAGGTACCCAAAACAACCAGCACATCCATAGTCGGAGATCCGTGGCTGAGAGACTTGTATGCGGAGAGGTAGAAGCGCTTGCCGATGCCGAACTGCACTGGGATGGTGAAAGCGAGGCAGACAACGTCGCCAAGGTAGAGACCAGGTATGATTCTGATCTTGCCATAGTCGAGGAAGGGCAAAAACATGGGGAAGATCATGCTGGTAAGGAAGACTGGGAGGGCGAACCAAGCTGAGAAGACTACCGCTCGTCTCCACTCTTGGATCTCTTTTGTCTTTGCGAGGGACTCGAGCTGGGCGTTGTTGTCATCGGAGTCTGAGACCAACGCGTTGTAGCCTGCCGCTTCGATGGCTTCGACGACGGCCCGCAGCCCAATGACCTGAGGCTCGCGCTTGACGATGACTCTTGAGGTTGCAAAGTTGACCTGTGCCGAGGTGATGCCGGATCGATTCCTGAGCAAGCCCTCTAGTTCCTGCGCAGCTTCCATGTCTGGAAGGCCGTAGATCTTGAGGTGGATGGGCGCATTGCTTGACGAGGACTGGTGCAAGCTTGCATCTTCTGACGACAAAATGGTAGCGTCAAAACCGCAGTCCTCGATAGTCTCCGCAATCTGTTCAGCGCTGAGCTTTGAAGGATTGTGCACGAGCACCGCGCGATTTGCGAGTAAGCTGATGTTGAACTGGTACACGCCAGGCACGTCCTTGAAGCCGTTCTCGATGGCAGAAGTGCAAGCACCACAAGTCATGCCCTCGACGGCCACTGTGGTAGTCATTGTCCTCTGCTTCTTCGCGCTCTTGCCCTTCTTCGGCGCAGGCGTGTCGGCAACGGTTTCCAGCACCTTTGCGTCAAACCCAACGTCTTCTATTGCTTCCGCCAGCTGGTCCGGTGTGATGATCTTGGTCCAGTGCTCGATGACGGCTCGTTCTGAGAGCAGCGATATGCTGAAAGACTTGATCCCGGACACGTCCTTGAACGCGCCCTCTACCGCAGAGGTGCAGGCACCGCATGTCATGCCTCCGACCGAGAGCGTGGTTGTCGACCAGCCATCGTTTGCCAGCAAGCCGTCCTCTTCATCCTCCGAGTCGCTCAGGAAGTGGTCGTCGGTCGTGTGCGTGACTGGCAGGTCCGTTGACAACACCTCGGCGTCGAAGCCCCTGTCTTCAATGATCTCCTTGACGCCTTCGGCAGTGATCAGCTCCGGGTCATGTGAGATGACGGCGCGCTCCATGACCAGACTGATAGACACATTCCCTACTCCTGCCACGCCCTGGAAGCCCGACTCGATGGCAGAGGTGCACGCGCCGCATGTCATGCCCTCGACCTTCAGCGTCGTCGTCGCCATGTGCGCCGTGGCGCCGTTCGTGGAAGCCATGGCGGGTGTATGTGTGTGAAGCGTCTCGCGCTGTATGAATCCGCTTCTCGTGTTCTCGTGGGCCCTACGGGCGTACGCAAGTCGAACCGTCAGCGCGGCGCGGGTTGGTTGCGGGTGCTCGTACGAGGCGGAGTCGGCGGAAAACGAGCAGACCGGCTGGTTTTATTGCGACACACGAAGGGGGAGCGTTGCAGGGGGCCGGCGACGAAGCAGAGAAAGGATGCGCGGGCGCCAACAGCAGAAGAGCAGCAGAAGAGCAGCAGAAGAGCAGCAGAAGACCAGCTTCAGTATTGCCAGATGGCGAGATAGAACAATGTGTCGCTGGACAGAGGGCGCAGTTCCGGGCGCTGACTGAAGCACCACGCTGGCGGGCCGGCAGGGTGGGGACACGACAGGGACCCCCCGTAACCGATTGATTGGGCTGCTATGAATGGAACGCCGCGGGCGGAGGTGCGTCTGCAGTGTCACGCCGTCAACCAAAGTCAGACAGACCGCAAGTGTTATTGAGAGCGTTGGGATGGGGGAGAGGTGCAGAACAGGCGCTCAGGTAGATGTTCGCTGCCCTGCTTATACCGCCACCGCCGCGCTCCAGAAGATAGCTTCGTGCTCTGGGCGTGCTGAAACGGAATGGTCCTCGAACGGCTCAGACGATGCCAAGCTGAGACGAGCGCAGCCTCAGGTATTTCCGACCATGGCATCGCAAGCGAGAGAGCGCGCATGCCAGCTGATTCGAGCCAGTGTTTGGACGGCAGAGCGCGCTTGTCGTGCTCGTGAGAACAGCGTGGAGCCATGGCTAGATGCTGGCGCGACCAAGCAAGAACACGCAGAGCGTGGGACACGAACAAGGCTGACGGGAACGTTGGACCGTGGACCTCAGAGATCGTGGGCCTCAGAGATTGTAGACCTCAGAGATTGTAGACCTCAGGGATTGTAGACCTCAGGGATTGTAGACCTCAGGGATTGTAGACCTCAGGGATTGTAGACCTCAGGGATTGTAGACCTCAGGGATTGTAGACCTCGGAGATCCCTAGTCCTCAGAGATTCCTGGTGCAGTGTGGACCTGCTGTTTTCCCATCTCTCGCAAAACATCAACGTTTCAGGTTCCGGGCAGCCTCAGGCACAAGGCACAGCGCGTGACGCATGATCCTCGCCGGCTTCCGCGACAGACTCTGATGTTCAGGAACGGAGAACAAAGACACGGCCTTGCACAGCGAGTTGCATCTGGGTCGACTAGCGCGCCATATCGTGGGGCAGCCAAAGTGGGGCAGCGCCGCTTCCACGCCAAGCGCCATAGCTGCCTGCGATATCAACACCACAAGCTCACCGTGGCGGCAGTTGAAGCTCCACTAGCACCGTTGACTCCCTCCCTCCCAGCTACCGCAAGCCAAGATGGAGCAAACAAAAGCGCTCAACGCGCTCGAGCCCTTCCTCGCCCTCAGCAAATCCGCAACATCACCGCGCGCCGCCTCGGACCTGGTCGTGCAGGCAACAAGTGCACCAAACACCTACGTCTTCGCCGAGCTGCTGCAGACACCAAACATCCAGAATCTGCGAAGCTCACAAGAATACGCGCCATACCTGACCCTACTCGAGATCTTCGCCTGGGGGACATGGGAAGACTGCAAGTGTGCGTCGCGCTACCCACCACCAGCATCCACACCACTAACAGCTACCAGCACGTTCTGAGCTGCCCAAGCTCTCAGCCCAACAACACCAAAAACTGCTCCTCCTCTCCCTCCTCCCCCTCTCCCGCTCGCACGCCACCCTCACCTACGCACACCTCCTCACCGCGCTCGACCTGCCCACACCCCGCGCGCTGGAAGAGCTCGTCACAACCGCCATCTATGCCGGACTTCTGACAGCCACCCTCGACCCCGCACACTCGCTCGTCTCTGTGACATCCATCGCACCGCTGCGGGACCTGGCGCCCGGTTCGCTTCCCGCGCTGCAATCGACGCTGCAGACGTGGAGCCAGCGGTGTGACGCGGCACTGTCAGATCTGGAGGCGCAGGTCGAGAAGGTGAAGAGGGATGCGGTGGAGCGCGAGAAGCTGAGGCGGAAGAAGGAGAGGGCAATTGAGGCGCAGACGAGTGACGATAAGAGCACAGGGAAGCGGGGTCCGGAGCTTCGCGGGGGGTACGGTGATGAGGATGCCATGGACATCGATCAGGACGGTGGCAGTGGCAGTGGCAGTGGCAGTGGCAGGGTGACGCGGGGCGCGAAGAGGGGCGCTGGAGGGTTTGGATTTGGAGGTGCGGGGAGGCGGTTGGGATGAAGGGAGGCGGTTGGGATGAAGGAAGGGAGAAACGCTAGTGATGTTTGAAGACCCCAGACACGAAGAAGAGGCTATCCGAAGGCCCACCAAGGCAGCCACACCCGCTCTCGACCGGTCAAGTCAGCCAGGACACGGCTATAGAAAGACATCAGCAGCGGTGTCTCCTGACTCGTGACGAGCCCCGTACTATGAAGACATGAGATAACGCAAGAAATGACAAGATCCACAAAGTTCATGCTCGATTATTATGACTGTGTGCCTGCCATGCAATCGTGACTCTCAGCCATCGCCTATCAGTCCCACGATACCTAAAACCCCAGAAATCTATGTACAGATGCAAACGCCGTGCATTACCCAAAGCCAGCCCAGCCTAAAACCGGGGTATCCAATCCAGCTCTTTCGCACGCAATGATCCCAAACGCCTCTATGCAGAAACGCCAGCTATGCATGCACCGTCTCTCTGAACTCGCCAAAGCAAACCTAGGAATGTGTAAAAAGCGACAGTGAACCAAGGAAGATGGATGTCGGTGACCCGGGTGGTGACTCGAAGATGCCAGGCTGTGGCTCGGACGGCGCATCCACCTCCTCCCACGTAGGCGAGATGGCTGTCGGAGAATCCGAGGCAGTGGGATCCGGGAGATCCTCAAACCCAGAATCCGCATCTGACGACCAAGCTCCCTCCAACTCATCCGTCCTCAACGTAAAGGCCGCCTAAGCCGGCGCAGCAGGATGTCTCAGCGCCTGCTCCAGCTCCCGCTCCTGTTGCTGTGCCTCTGTGCTTGCAGCAGCAGCAGCAGCAGCAGCAGCAGCCTGCTGCCCCATCTGCACGAGCTGGCCCGCCATGGTCCTGAGCGCCTCGCGCGTCGCATCGATGTTCAGCTCGCCGCGCTCCTGCGCCTCTTTCAGATACGCCTCCCACTCCGGATCCATAGGGACATTGGCACCTTGGTCCCTTAGCGCCGCGGCATGCAGCAGCCGCGCATTGAGTTCGAACCCTACGCTCGCGTCGAGCTCGTCATGTGCGTCGTCTTCGCTGTCAGAGCTCTCTGTGTCCACCATCTCTGTATCCGCTGCGTTGTGGTTGGGTCGCGGCTCGCCCACGCCCTCAGCAGTCGGAGGCACGCGCTCGATTGCGATGTCAATGTCCGTTTTGACGTTGATTCCCTTCCGGCTTGCGAGCCGGCTGTGTCGGTTGTCTACCCACTCGCCAATCTCCATGCCCGTTGTGTCAACGACGCGCACGCCCTCGTCTCTCTCGTACCGCTCGCGCGCCCAGAGCGTGCCTTCCCATCTGCAGAACCCCTGGATTTCGCTCTCTGTCAGGCCCAGGCGGTCGAAGGCGTCGAAGAGGCGTCGGTGATGGGGGAAGCGGCCAAGACGCTTTCGGTGCGGGCCGTGGGCGTAGTTCAGGCCGGGATACCGCGCTTCGATGGTGTCGAGGGAGCCGTAGAAGTTGGCGGTTTCGATGCGGACTTCGCCGACGAGGTTCTTGGAGAGGTGCGCGGAGAAGGAGGGCGGGTCGGTGGGCGAGGGCGTGGGGAAGAGTTGGTTGTAGACGAGCACGGAGATGGGGTTTTTGCGATGCATGGTCGCGGTCGTCGTAGTTAGTCCTTAGTAAAAGTGATTGTAGATTGCTGTACGCAGCGATGTGTGAGGGGCGCTCGTTGCTGCGGATGCTCGCAGGTCGCAGTCTCTGTCGCGCAGCTGTGGTTGTTTGGTTTGCGGGTTGTGTGGCAAGCAGGCGTCGCTGCGCTGAAGTGTGCTGTCTCGCTCCTTCTTTGCGGGAAGTTGCTGACTAGAGAGGCGTGACCGTCAAACTGCGCCGCTGCTCGGCCTTCACTAGTCAGACGCGACTGAAGTAATCCAGCTGACCGTCCTGTCTGAGCGAGTCACAGATCTGGGTTCGGTTTGAATTTCGCCGCCTGCGGAGTCGTGGAAGATGCGCTTTTGCAGACCGAGTATCCAGAGGGTATGCGAATTCGGCGAGGCTGCAGGAAAGCCCCAGTTTTGCTGGGAGATTAACGTCGGGGGAACCAAAGGTTGTGACAAAGAGACGGCTCAGGATTCGTCTGCACACAGCCGCAGCGCAGAATGCACGATAGGAATAACAACACCGTCCTTGGCCAAAGAGCAGGGCAGCAGCAGGAGAAAGCCGTTTGAGAAGGGCCCAACGGCAAAGGGGCAGCAACACCACGGGATATAGCACACGCACAGCTCACCGCCAACTCCTCCATTTTAGTCCAGGGACAACCCATACTCTGTCAAAGATCCTCACGGCTGCCACTTCTAGACCAGGGTCCACCATGCGCTGCTCAACCCGGTCGTCCCCAAACCGGCGACCACTCAGCACCCACGCCTTGCTCGCTTCAACCGGCGAGGTGACTCGAGGCCTGAGGACGCCCGTCGCACCGCTGCACCGCTGCACCGCTGCACCGCCATGGGTTGCCTTCTTCGCTGTCAAAACCTGTGCGAGTGCGTTGTAACGCATGAGGCCAATCGTCGCCGATATATCCGCAGCTCGCCCGACATGCATGCGAATACAGGTGAACGACTGGTCGCCTCTGGTCCACCACGTCGAGTCCTCGTTCCCGCCGGCAAGGGCGCAAAAGGGAACAATGCCACTATGCGCCCTTGGTAGGCCAGGCATGAGGGGAACGTTGTGCAGACGCTACAAATGGTTTGTTGCCGTATGGCGCTCGTTGTTTGGGCCCTGCTGTCCCAGGCACAAGATCAGACGTCTGGGATCGACCCCAGCCTGGTGCCGCCCAATCATTCGTCTCTCGGCCATCTGGCTTCCGGCCCCACACATCGTGCACTCCCTGATCTGGCAGGTGTGGCGGACTACAAGTGCACAGCAGCTGGTTGTAGATACCTAGTAGACAGCTAGTAGATAGCGAGTAGATAGCGAGTAGATAGCTAGTAGATAGCTAGTAAATAGCTAGTAGTACCTCGAAACCCTCAAGCTCATCCCAAAATCCAAGAACTATCAACCTTCCGAGTTCAAAATTCTCCAGGCCTATTATGCTACAGAGTCATCGTTTTCAAAACACACCAACCCGACGATGTTACGGAGTATAATCACAATCAACACACATGTAAGAGCGAGACTGAGGGAGTCACGTGGCAAGAGTGAGGTGTATGAGATCCAAACCATTTGTTATCTCGAATTTACCTAGTGTACATGATCGTGACTCCAGCTCTGATGCTTAACGGTGTTGACTCGAAGTCAACAACGTCGTATCGCATCAGAGCGCCCATCCAAGCATGAGCTACCGGTCGCCCATCCTTTCGTTGAAGTCCTGTTCGTCCCGTATGTGGAAGTCCTCCTAGCTGCTCTGCTCTACAGTCCCGACGAGCAAGGCTCAGACGCACCAAGGAGGTTGTCAGTAGATTTGGTGGATGAGCGTAATCGTCTACCACTGAGCCTCAGCGTTCGCTTTGTCAGCCCAGTCGCCGCCGGATGTCTCCTGAGCACCAGCACCGACGTCGTCGCCACCCCACCCACCAACAGCAGCAGAAGAGTCTCCACCAGCGTTGTCCCAACTGCCTGCGGCAGCAGCACCAGAGTCGGCAGCAGTGTCCCATCCTCCTCCAGAACAACCTCCGTAGGTGTCGGCACCACCGGCAGGCTCAGGGCAGCGCTTCTCGCCGTGACCGTACTTGTAGCAGTTCTTACATTTGATTCGGCTCCAGTCCTTGGGCTGGGGACACTCCCTGCTGTGGTGACCCTCGGCATCGCAGTTGCGGCAGCGCTCAACGCGAGGCTCGGCGCACTCAGAGACGTTGTGGCCTGGCTGGAGACAGTTGAAGCAAGCGCGACCGCCGCCGCCACCACCGCCGGCGCGAGGCTTGAGAGGCTCTGGGCAGTCCATCTTGCGGTGGCTGAATGAGTTAGCAGCATTCCGTCAGCTCTAGCACAATAACATACCCCTCGTTGCCACAGTTGAAGCAAGCCTGGCCAGCTCCGCCAGAGCCGCCCTTGGGGCAATCGCGCTTCGTGTGGCCAACTTCACCACATGCGAAACACGCTCGATCTCCGGACGCACCACTCTTAGGACAGTCACGCTTCGTGTGGCCAATCTCACCGCAGCCGAAGCAGGCACGATTACCTCCACCACCGCCAGTCTTGTTGCCATAACCCGAGGAACCGAAATCATTACCGGAGCTGCCAGAGACACCCCAGCCGTCGTTGCCAGAGTCAACGGAGGCGAGGTTGAATTCACCGTCAGGCGTGAAGCTGGAAGTCTCGCCACCCCAGTTGTCAGTGCCGTTGTTTTTGGCCTTGGTGTTCTCTTTGTCCTTCCCGGCTTGCTCAAGGGCGCGGTGAGCCTTGGAGTTCTTGTGCATAGGCCAGTCGCGCGTGTTGATGGTGCGGTTGCAAAGCTCACAAAGAGTCCTGAGGGGCACCTGCTCCTTCATGCTCCTGTATGGGTTGGAAGCCATACCCGGGTGCAGATTGAGCAACTTAGCGTGACCCATGGCTGCCGGTGGTAATGATGATGATGATGATGATGATGTTGTTGTTGTTGATGTTGTTGTTGTTGATGTTGTTGTTGTTATTGTTGTTGTTGTTGTTGTTGTTGTTGTCGGGAAAGACGTCGAGCTGAGCGGGGTTGTTAGCAAAGTTCTGAGTGGAGTGATTGACAGTGAGGTGAAGTACGACGCCGCAAAGCATCTTGATTACCTCCAGGACATCGATGAGAAGGTCAAGAGTGTGCGTCTTGCTGTCAGATGTGCTAGACCATTGCTGCTGCTGCCTGCCACTGAAGGGCAGTTCAGCGGGATCAATGGTAAAATGGGCTTAGGGCTGGAAGGAGCAAGGGACAGTGAACACCGAGATGCACTTACAGATTCGAATGTAAGGGAACGCTGCTGCGTGGACACAAAAACACAGCTACTACCAGCTCTTCGAGCTCGACGGCCTCAGCGGATGTTACGGGTTGAGGTGGGGGAGGGAGGGCGGAGAGCGAGGTGGGAGCTCGATGGGAGAACTAAATAGAAGGCAGGAGCGAGTAACAAGCCCCGTGCGCAGCTATGGGAGAGCGACGACACGTCATTCGACGATGACGCGAAGAGCTAAACGGCAGTGCGCAGAGCAAATGATGAGGATGAAGATGAAGATGAAAAAGAGAATCGACACTAATTGGCCCAGACCAGGGATGGCTGCTTGAAGACGGTGAGCGACGTGGCTGCCTGCATAACGGTGTAACTCTTTGGTTTGGGGCCATGGATGGGGCTCTGAAAGCGTAATGAAGCGCAAACGGTCAATGTGGTGTCCATGGAGGATGGATGTCTATGTTCCTAACGCCTTGGTCCGGTCTAGGAGATGCATGTGGTGCAGGTAAGCTGTACCTGACACTGCTTAGTGAGAGATGTTGCCTCGTTGTACACTGCTGCTATGTGCAGCTTTATTCACGTTCCTCCGTAGATTCCTTCCTCGCCAGCAATGGTCTCTTCAGGTTCCGGCTCAATCTTTGGCACGGGTGACGTCCAGCCCGTACAAGCTTGGACCAGCGTAACGACGATGGCCAGCCCCGTGGCCGCGTAGAACAGAGCCTTGATGGCGTCCTGGTATGCGCCGACAGCAACTGTCTTCTCGGTGCCTTCGAGCTTACCCACAAGAGCAGGACTGCCCAATAACTTCCTCACCAGGTTACCACGGTCAGACAGGCCTGCATCCGCGAATCCATCCACGAGCGAACGATACAGAACACGTCCAAAGAGGCCGCCTCCGATCGCCGACCCAAAGCTACCGGCAAAGCCACGGAACGTTGTGAGCAACGAGATGATAACAGGGTGAACCTCGGGTAACGTCAAGTGCAAGAGATGGACCAGGGTGTAGTTGAGCGCAGCGCCCGTGATGAGACCGTTGAGGAACACTAGAAGCATATACAATGCCCAAGAGCTTGTCGGTGTGGAGACGAGAGCAATCGCAACCATGGTGACGGGCCACAGGGCCATACCGATAACGCTGTGCGCGTAGAAGCTTCCTTCGCGTTTGATATGGAAAACTCCCGCAAGGATACCGCCAGCCGCAAAGCCGGCGTTAGTAGGGATGAGGATAGATCCGGCAGCTGCGGGAGCCCAACTGCGGACGGCAAGAGCATAAACTGGCGTGTAGAAGAGGACTCCCCATCTTGCCATCATGAAGCCCACGGCGGCCAAGCAGGTGAGCAGTGTGCCACGCGACTTCATGACTGTGACAGGAATGACAGGATCCTTTGCGATATATACCTCGTTGAGTACGAACAATGGTAGTGCGAACGCAGACAGGATGAGTGGTTCAGGAAGGATCTTTGGACCTGACAGACCAAGAAGGAACAGGATGATAGTAGCGATCAGAAGTAGAGCCCCGGAGTAGTCGATCCGCACAAGTTTCTGCCTAAGGGAGTATTGAACGTAAGCATTGCCGTTCGAAGTGTAGTTGGCCGGAATTGACAAAAGGAGTCCGAGTCCCGTAACGAGACATATTGGGGACTGGATACCAAACAGTGGTTTCTGGAAATGTCAGCTTTGTCTGAGGGAACATTGAGAAAGTCGTTACCCATCCAATCGTTGGCTCAAGTGCACCAGCGATGACAGCGCCAAGTGATACACCGGCAGTCATACCGGTGTTGATAAGTCCAATGAATAACCCACGGCGTTCTGGGCTGGTCATCTGGATGGTGATGATGCTAGCAACGATGAAGATGCCACTGGCACCTGCGCCTGAGATAACACGACCGACAATAAACATCTCAAATGTTTTCGATGTGGCGACGACGAGCGTCCCTGCAGTGATGATCACGGTTGAGATGAACATGCAAAGTCTCGGGCTGAAGACCTGAGACAATCGCCCCATGAGAGGCGCAAGGGACGACATTGCGATTAGGTAGGACGAAGTGAGCCATGTTACTTTGTCGAAAGCATTTAGGTCTGCAGCGATTGCAGATTGCGTCGTGGTAAGAATCGAGATATTTGTAGCTATTTTCTGGTCAGTTTCTATTGTTCACATGCTCCACAACCCTGATACAGTCAGGTAAGGACAATCAGACTAGATTGAATACAAACGCTGGACTACACGACCAAAGTTTGACTGATTTGACCGTAATATGAACATGTGGGAGTAGGTACCTTGCAAGAAGATGAGTAGTCCGATAGATGCTATGATAAAGCCGCCTCGGGTTTTCGAAATGGGTGCTTCTTCATCGTGTCGAAGGCCTTCTAATGCACTCGAAATGGAACCGCGAATCACCGCTCCAGGTTCTTCCGTGATTCGACGCAAGAGCGGCGTCCGCTCTCGAACGCTGCGATAATATTGACTCCGCCGCAGAGGCATTGTGCAGGAGCCAAATGAAGGAACGGGGATATCAATTGTCAGTCTTCAGACGCGTCGTCGAAAGATACGTCGCGTGCCGTGCAGCGACGTTCGTGATGATGACGGAGGTTGCTTACCGCTGCGATGACAAATGCGGCAGGAGGTCACCGAGGTTTGACGGGCCGTAAACACTTTCAACTGCTGCGCTACTTTCTGCAATTGTAGAAAGCTTCTGATAATGGATTTGTAGTCAATGAATAAACCGAGACCACAGCCATGAGAACGTGATCTTGCGATTACTTGCTGGACCGTTGAATGTCTGTTGTAGTGACGTAGCTGGTGATTGGCCGTTGAGCTCGATCTTAGCGGCATCCGCGGTCGGTCGACCTGGTCAATGGAAAGCTGGCCTCAAGCAAACAATATCACCACAACACCCGTAGCGAGCGTTCTCTACCTGTGTTTGCACCTGTGAAATGTCGCAATGACCGTTTCCACCTCGACACATATTCACATCCTCTTACCAGAAAGATGAGGCCACGATGGCAGCGGCTCGTACCGCTCTTCTTTGGTAAGCTCATATCCTGAGCACCATGATAGCATCCTGACTGACCACTAGTACTGTAGTCATACTATCGACGTTTCTCGCCTTCACAACGGCGCAGTACGGCGGTAGTGACCATGCGCAAGCACAACAGAAACCGCTAGGCAGGAGCTCTGCGCCTTCAGGAACGGCACAGGCGGGTGCACAGCCAGCATGGAAGTCGGGATGGGGCACCACAGAAGAGGAGGAAAGTCAGGGCAAGAGAAATGTTGCATTCGAAGAGGCAACTTCGCTGCTCCACAAGGTCAAACCAGCGGCGGCACCTTGGTGGAACTTCGATAAGAATGCGGGTATCGTAGGAGCAGGCGCATACTATGCGAAGGAGTTGTTCTTCCTACTCTTCATGAACGGACCCGCCGAACCCCAGCCTTTTACGACCGATCCGCAACCGAAGAAGCTTAGCCAGCCTCTGTCGCAAGTTGTCAAGCTGCTGGAAGATGCAGCGGCGCAGAAGGACGCAGATGCGATCTTCACACTTGCAGAACTAAACTTCTACGGCAACTACTCGCATCCGCGCAACTACTCTGAAGCTTTTCGACGATACCACGAATTGGCGACGCTCAATGGAAACGCCTCGGCGCAGCACATGGTTGGGTTCATGTATGCTACTGGCATTGGAGGCGCAGTGCAGCAGGATCAGGCAAGAGCTATGCTATACCATACCCTGGCAGCAGAGGGCGGTGACGTGCGATCAGAAATGACCATTGCGTACCGCCATTCATCTGGGATATCGACACCACGAAACTGCGACGAAGCTGTGTACTTCTACCGAGAGGTCGCCAGGAAGGCTATCGCATACGTGCGGTCTGGACCACCAGGCGGACATTCGATGCCGCGGGAATCTTTCAGAATCGCTGATGAGGAGGGCGGTGTCTATGGCGAGGGCGCAAGTGCAAGTAGCTCAGGATCAAACGCCAAAACGGGCAGTGTCCACTCGGACGCCTACTCTTCCCTGGATGATGTGGTCGAGTACATGGATCTCCAAGCCAGGAAGGGCGATGCGAGAGCAAGCTTCAATCTGGCTAAGCTGAACTACGATGGTGCTAGAACCTCGAAACGAGACTTGCCAGCCGCAAAGAAGCGATTTCTGGAGCTCGCTCGTATGTACTGGGATAAGAACGGCAAGACAAAGCAGGGTGTGTCACCGCTTACTGAGAAGTTGGCGGCCAAGGCGGCTGGGTACTTGGGTCGTATGTTCCTACGGGGTGAAGGCATGCCTCAGAGCTTCGACATTGCCAAGACGTGGTTCAGGCGTGGCATTGAGCACGGCGATGCGCTCTCACAGTACTCGATGGGCATCATGTACCTGAAGGGACTTGGTGTACCGGAAAACGCCGTCAAGGCTGCTGAGTTGTTCGGCGCTGCCGCAGATGACGACCTCGCGGTGGCCCAGGTCCGTCTAGGTGCGCTTTTCCTGGACCAGGGTGACGTCCCTACAGCGATGAAGTACTTTGAGTTGGCAGCACGACATGGACATCTCGAGGCCTACTACTACCTGGCCGAGCTCGCACACCACGGTGTTGGCCGCGACAAGTCCTGTCATGTTGCTTCTGCTTACTATAAGATCGTCGCAGAGAAAGCGGAGCTCATCTCGACATCCTTCCCTGAGGCAAATGAGGCCTATGCCAACGGAGATCTTGAGACAGCGCTTGTCCGTTACATGATGGCTGCCGAACAGGGCTTCGAAGTCGGGCAAGCCAATGTCGCATATTTGCTCGACCAGGTCAAGCCCAAGCTCACTCTTGGCTCACTTATTCCCTTCATGCAGAAGAAAGCTAGTCTTGCCAGTGACGCCGTCCTGGCATTGATCTACTGGACGCGCTCTGCTGAGCAGAAGAACGTCGACTCCATGGTCAAGATGGGCGACTACTACCTACAAGGCTTCGGAACACCTCCGGACCATGAGAAGGCAGCTGCTTGCTACCAAGCTGCGGCTGAGACTCTACGAAGCGCGCAATCCATGTGGAACCTGGGCTGGATGCATGAGAACGGCATCGGCGTCGATCAGGACTTCCATCTCGCAAAGAGACACTACGACCTGGCGCTCGAAACCAACCCTCGCGAGGCACATCTGCCAGTCCTGTTAGCTTTGTACAAGCTTAGGTTCCGCAGTTGGTGGAACACCATCACCAACGGGAAGATCAAGTCCATCCAGGACGAGCCCAGTAAGCCACCCATTCATCTCACCTATCTCCACGTACCCCACTGACATTTTCATAGCCGTCAAGAAAGACTTCTCCCTCTCCGAATGGCTCAGCGCCTTCCTCGAAGCCGAACTCGCCGGCTGGGATGACTACGAGCCCGACGACTACGAAGACCACATTGACGGCGGCGACGGCTACTACGGCGACGAAATCGACTCGGACATCCTCGAGTCGCTTGTCATTCTTGCGCTCAGCGGTGCTTTGGCGTTCTTGCTGTATTATCGTGCGCAGAGGCAGAGACGACAGGAAGAGGAGAGGCAGAGACAGCAGTTGCAGCGTCTGCAGGCGAATGGTCTGGCGCCTGTTGCGCCAGCTGCGCCGCTGCCAGGTGGGCAGCAGGATCAGGGGTTTCGGCCGAATGATATGTTTTGGGCTGGTGGTGGGGCTGGGCTGTGAAGGATGTGTGGGATGGGGGTATTGCATGGCATGGCGTTATGGTGGCATTATGAGTGTTTTCTGAGGTCGGGACGATGTACTATGGCAGTTTGTATCTAGAACTATAGGTGTATACATCACGTTTGACGCATTATTCATGAAGTTCCAGTTTTCTTGAGCTAATCGGTATTCTTACTATGCTGATGTAAAGCTCATGACTGACATGAATCTATATACCCAGAACGCCTGCTATGCTAAACGCCAATCGTGAAACAAAACGCCAATCGTGAAACAAAACGCCAATCGTGAAACATATGCTCATTGCGCAGCTTCGACCGTCTGCCCGAATGCCTCGCCCTGCAACACCGCCTCTCCTGGCCCAGTGCCAACCTTGGCCTCAGAGTTGTTTGCGTTCCCCGTGGCTTCGTCGCCAATATTAATCCACCCCCGCACCCTATCCTTCTTACTCAGAATACTGTCATCGTTCGAAATGACCTTCGAAGCATCGACGCCTTCAAACTCGAGATCAGCTACACTGGTGTTCGCGACCTCGATGCCCGAATTGCGGAGAACCTGCAAAACCGCCCTCGCATTCAACCTCAACACTCTCTCCGGCTCTTTCGCACCAAAAACCTTCGCCGTCGCCCACGGAAACAGAATCCCGAAATCACTCTGCGACAAATGCGCACTCGCAATCGGGTAGAAAATATGCGGCCCCGGTTGGGATGAGGGCGCGGACGCAGGGCGCGCGACCACGCGCTTGGTTTCTTGCATGTTGGAGCTCCACTTGAAGAACCCCTCGCTCAGAATCGCGAGCAGATTCGAACCGCCGCTGGGTGCGTCGTACGATGGCATACTCTTGTTTCGTAGCCATGCTGTGGCGGGGGATTGGATGGGGAGGGTCCACAGATCGAGAAGGATGACGGGATTGTAGGGTGTGATTTGCGCCTTCAACGCGGAGTTGGAACGCGGTACGAAGAGTGGCTTGTATGATGCTGGTGCGTTGGAAGAGGTATGGTATACGGATTTCACGAGCTGGACGGTTGTTGCCGCGCCGAAGGAGTGACCTGCGAAACTAATGGAACCGGGCTCGTGAACGGAGAGTAGGTGCGAGAACATTGTCAGCATGTCTTTTCCGCCGCTTTTTGTGGCGTCTTCGGCGACGTTTTTTAGCCGCTGGCGTGTGTCAATTTTCAGCAGCGCGTCGTGAATGAGCCCCATTTCCCAGAGGCGGATGCGGAGTTGGTTGTCGCGGGCGTTGTAGACGTCGGTTGAGGGCTTGTGGTCGATGCGCTTGTAGTCTACGCGCTTGGTCTTCTCTTTTGAGTCGGGAGTGTGGATGAAATTTATGGGTGAGCTGCCGTCGCGGTGGTCTGGGGCTACTACGACGATTCCGTGGCTGGCGAGCGAGCCGCAGATGTGGGAGTAGGCGTTTCGTGAGCCGCCGAGGCCGTGGGAAAATATCATTACTGGCCACCGCTTCGACTCTGTGTTGGGTTCGAGGATATCGGCGTTGGAGTGTACAGGTATCGAGGTATACTGAAGAAGCTGCGGAAACAGTCTGATCATTTGTTAGTATTCAACCTATCCTCCTGTGCTCATGTAGTGGCGGACTTACGAGAAGATGCCTGCAAATGCGCTGTTCGCCCCCAAAAACCGCGCGTATGCAGCAATGTACTCTCTCTGTGGGCTTGGTATCCACCTCACGGCATTTTGTTCGCTATCCTGTCTACAAGGATAGAACACTCTGAATGCCACGGTGGGCAGATCTGCGGGTGGCGCATCGTCGCTGGGGTTCTCCAATTCGCTTGTGGGAATCTCTATGTCTACTGACCCTACTTTGTGCGGTCCTGTGTATGCTGGAAACGCAGGGGTAGGATTGATGTTCTTGAGCCACGTCATGTTCGCGAGCGCCGCGGGATTCACGCCCTTGAGTGGCAGAGAGGACGGGATGGCGGAGCGGAGCGATTGGAAGACTCGTGTGAGCGACAGTTTGGTGTATTGAATCTGAAGTACGTTGATCGGGTATGTGATCGCTGAACAACAGGACAGAAGGAATGAGTAGACGAGTGGCAGAAGAGACAGCGAAGAATGAGAAGAGAGAAGAGACGCATGAACCTGGACAAAAGAAAAGACATCGGCATGACGCAAATGTCGCAAACACCTTGCCCTATCGTGGGCACTAAGGCCAGGAACCAGTCCGAGGCACGCGACACTCGCGAAAACCTGGCCGGTGACATCGACGCCGGCGTGGCGTCAGACCTGGATCTGCCGAGGCACCCGCAGTGTCAACGATGGTCGGGACTTGTCGTGTTCCGATCATGTTGATGAGAAGTATACCACCGGTTTCTCACAGATCTGGAAGCATCGCAAAAGTCGTAGAGGTGTACCGCGTTGTGTCGCGTGCTTCAGGGCGTTTGACAGCCGCATTTCCATGGTTGTGGTCTGCATATGACGAAACCTTATCTGCTTTATCGGAACAATGGCGCTAGGCTCGGTCCGGAACTGCAACCGATGCCTGACATGTGACAGCGTTCTCGTAGAGAGCGAAAGTCTAGATGTTTGACTGACAGAATATACATTAGATTAAGAGAGAAAACTCGCTCGCTCATATATGCACAAGAAACAGCATCCCCACATGAAGACGACATCCATCCCCACACGAAGACGACAACCATCCCCACAAGGAGACGACAACCATCCCCCACCACCCTGGCTCCAGCTGGCCAGAGAAGCCTCCCCCAGAGTCTCAACAGCAACCGCCTCCTCTCCTTGTTCCACCGCTTAACCTGAACACCTCTTCCCACTCCGTTCTCGGCTTCTTCTTGCCTCCTCTCCACCTGACTGATCCGTTGGGATGCCCGCTTGTAATGCTGCTGGTGCCATCGTCCCACCCTAGATCGCCATACTGAATGCCACTCTGCGGATCATCTGGATCAATCTCGCCCAGCTCGATCTTGGTCAGTATCATCCGTGCCAGCCTGTTGAACAGCTCTTCCACGTTCTCTCCGTTCAGCGCGGAGACCTCCACCGCGACTGGTATCCCGTTGGCGCTTGCCCACCTTGATGCCGCTTCCTGGGAGACTTCTCTCCCTTCCGGCGCAATAGTGTAGTGGTTGTTCAGGTTCAGGTTGAGCGAAGATTGGCTCGAGGGCGTCGGCGGTGGTAACCCATAGTCTGAGCTCGGTGTGCTAGCATAGCTGTATCCAGCTGGCGGCGCACCTCCTTCTACCACATCGCTCTTGTTCCCCGCTAATATGATGGTGATGTCTGGCCCAGCCAGCGCGCGCGCATCGTTCAGGAACGTCTGCAGCTGCTCAAAGCTGCGCCAGCTGCTGACATCGTATACGAGGATTGCGCCGGCAGCACCGCGGTAGTAGGAGCGACTGACAGACCGAAAGCGTTCTGTGCCTGCTGTGTCCCACAGCTGGAGCTTTATGCGCTTGCGGTTCGAGAGGGAGGACGATTTGCGGTCGGCGATGTGGACGATCTTGGAGGAGAATTCTACGCCGATCGTTTGAGAGGAGAGGACGCGCCATTCATCGCGCACGAAGCGGTGGAGGAGGCATGATCTGGGTGGTGGTAAGTATGATGCTGTGTGGGAGGCCATTGGGATATACCGACTTTCCTGCACCGCTTGGCCCAAGCAGTACTGTCTTCGCTAGGTAATCGTACATGCTCCCCAGCTCCTGCGCACAGTCAGTAACAGTCCTCTTATGCTGCGCGTGCTCATACCTACTTGTGTGGGCGCTTCACCGCTCCGCGTCGAGGCGATGGACGTCGCTCGATTCCTCCCCATATTGACGTAGTGTTGTGTGCTTGTCAAGTTCCAACGTTCGGCAGCAGAGTGCAGAGTCAATTGCGGGCGGCTCTCTCGCGCACCGGAGGGGTAGGTCTGGTGTCCAACAAGCTGGGATCGTGGTGCGGTTGTGTTGTTGTACTCCTTGGCTTATCTGTGACGCCAGCGGAGACGAGTGGATACGAGCCAACCGCGGCGCAACGGTGTCACGCGACGATCCATAACCTAGCTACAAAGGGTGGACTATCAGACCGCCAACAAAGATGCGTTGTTGCAGCGGTCAAGATTTTCCATTTAGGTTTACTGAAATTCGGCAACAGCCGTTCGTCCATTCCATACTCGAAGCATGCTATTGACAGACGCATGAGACCGGTACTGCCGCGTTGAGCGGACGTTCAATACACAAGCACAAAGGCACAGGAGCTTATGGTGCAGGTCCTCAAGCATGAAAAGGTCGTTCGGGAATGGATACTGATGGAGACGTCTGATCTATGATACTCAGGCCGTCCAAAAAGGCGCATTCCCGCCAATCGAGACTCTCGAGGCACCCGCTCTGGTCGGACTCATAGTTCACAATGACATGTGATAACAAGCAGAGCCACAATTCCCTGTAGCCTCGAAGATGTGACGAAGCACTGCGAGAGCAACACTAGCGATTGATTGCTCACAGGGTCAGATTAGCCAATCACAAGCCCCGCACTAACACTAGCGCGCTTTGGAGAAGCTTCTTAACAAACAGTACACTCCTGGATATCTATCCAACATGTTTTCTCCTTGCCTATACACAAACAAAGATAGCAGATGCAGCAATCCTATCCTGAGCAGCTCCTAATAGCGTCTGAATTCTAGCAGCTTCTAGTAGTGTCTGGATTCTAGCAGTTTCTAAAGCCATATCAGCCAGCAAACACTTGAAGGGTCCAACTAGCTCATTTGAAGACCATCTGTTCACTTATCACGTCACACCCACTTTCCCCACACATTCAACATAACGGACTTATCACCTACACTGCCACGCCACAGCAACATCTCATCATCAACATCAGACTGCCCCACCATGGCCGATCGGGTTCAGAAGACTATGACGCCCTGGAAGACACCACAATGGCTGCTCGAAGCCGCCAAGAAGCGCTCCGGTGTGCCCCATCAAGCCTTCCTGAATAAGCTGCAATACATACGTGACCATCCGGACGAAGTGGAGAGCAAGCTGCGTGAAGACGCAACTAGGTCTGGAAGAGATCGAGACGCGTTCGCAAATATGTTGGCGGGGATGAGGAAGAGCGCGCCACAGGTTAGGCTGGCTCAGAGGCCCAAGGAGGTCGGTGCGGGAGCAACAGTGGAAGAGGCAGGAGCTGCAGTTCAAAGCGTAGAGTTCTCTGGGGCAGAGAAATCCATGCAACAGACCGATACGCCCAGCCCTGTTGCTGTAGGAACACCCTCAAGTCCAGCGCCTCACGACCGTCGTTCCAATTCAGAAGCAAGAACGGCTACACGGAGTACGGAGCGTTCTGCTCTACCTTCTCCACATGTACAGCGTAGAGTGACTGCAAAGGGTCAAGTCACCAAACCAAAACAAGCCCAAAAGCGAGACGCGCGAAGTACAAGTAAAGACAAGGCGCGAAAGAAGTCAGGGAACATAGGAAGAACAAGCAGCGATGCAGCATCACATACGCTTGAAAACTCAGAATCAGCATCCACGCGACCGGCCGCACAGTCGTACCCATTCCCGACTCGACCCAGCATGCCAACCTGGTACACCTCGGTCTCACAACAGAGTCTGGCACAACTCGACCGGAGGCGTCCCCAGGAGCTTGCCGCTATCGACGCGCTGAAAGACTGCATCAGACGATGTGAACAAGAAGGGGATAAGAGCAAACTCACCAAAGAGTACAACGATCTACGCAACCATATTCACAAGGCCGAGATCAAACTAGATATGGATAAGGTTAAAGCCAAGAAGACGCGCATCTTGACAGAGATGGGACTGCCTCGCATCTTCAACAAGTATGCCGACTTCCCCTGGGACCTCAAGGCTGACGCATGGTACTTGTACGAGAGGTGGATGAATGAGGATTTTGAACAGGACATTCTCCGCGGCATCGTCACTGTCAAAGGCAAAGACAGGAATGGTGACCGTCTGGACCGCGCTTACACGACGAAGCACCCAAAAGACCCCAAGATCATCGGCAACAATGGGGCTGTGATCGGTCAGTGGTGGCCTTCGCAGCTCTGTGCTGTCCGTGACGGTGTGCACGGCGCGCCACAAGGAGGTAAGTCATGTCTCGCTCCTTTCAAGAGCTCTACTCACTCACAGATAGGTATCTATGGCGACAAAGACAGAGGTGCTTACAGCATTGTACTCTCGGGTGGTGGGTACCATGACCGAGACGACGGTGACACCATCGAGTACAGCGGCACAGAAGGAAGTAACTTCGAGATTAAGGCTGCAACGCAGTCGATGATCACTAGCGCTAAACTCGGGAACCATATCCGCGTCCTGCGTTCCTCCCAGCTGCCCAAGTCAAACAAATATCGCCCTAGCTGTGGCCTACGCTACGATGGGCTGTACCAGATCAAGTCTTACAAAGAGGTTGACCTAGAGAAGCAGATGTACCGGTTCCATCTCGAAAGGGTTCCAGACCAAGAGCCTATTCGGTTCGAGGGCGTCACAATGCGACCCACAGTGTTCGAGGAAGAGGTGTATGAGAGGTGCAAGGGCAGGATCTTATGATTGAGACCGACGTAGTCATTGCACTGTCAACCGGCATCCTACCTCCTGTCGGCACAGCACCAATTGTCACCGGCCCGGTCGATGTGGCACCTTCTGCTACCGATCTTCCCCCCTTCCTCGTTGAAAATGGCACCATTGTTGCTCCCCTTCCTGGGATTGACGTTCCCGTCATTGTCATCCTCCCAACCGGTATCTCCAACCCTGTTGATGCTAATGCATCTGCATCTGCTGTGACCAATGCCACCGTCAGCTTGACCAGCACCGTTGGCCTTACTGTCACCGTTGAACCCACCCTGATCGGCACTGATGTCCCTTCAGTCGGAACTGGTCTGCCCATCACAGTTTCTGAAGGCCCTTACGCCAACGTAACTGCCATCACCCCCACCCTTGTTCTCGTCACCGGAACTGGTGATGCTGTAGGAATGATCGCACCTACCCTTGATATTGAGCCCACCAGCGCGCCGTATACCAATAGCACCCCTGACACCGCCACAGCTGTCGCTCCCATCGGCACCGGCATTGTTGTTATTGGCACCGGTGTCCAGGTCCATACAGCAATCTCCTCGTTGCGACCATCGTCCCCGTTATTCCTATCATCCCCATCCCTACTATTGAGGCATCTGCTTCCGCCAAGGCAACTATTCTTCCTCTCACCCCTGTCGCGACCATTGGAGCATCTGCTTCTGTCGAATCCTCCGTCGCAGCGGAAGCTACCATCCTCCCCGTCGTCGATGTGGCTCCGGCTGAGGAGACTGTACCGGCCGTCGCTGTCCCTACTATCCCCATTCCTCCCGTCGAGGCTACACCAGTTGTGTCCATCGTCCCAGTCGCTCCGGTTGCTCCTGCCGCGACCGAAGTTCCAGTCGCGCCTGCTGCACCGGCCGCTCCCACCTTCCCCATCCTTCCCATCACACCCCTGGTCGCACCCGCCGTTGGATTCCCCCCTCAGTAGGTTACTAAGCGGATCCGATGTCTTTGTCCCATTTTACTTCGGCCTACGCTTTGCTTCGTGCCTCGCTTTGCTTCGGAGTTGCCACGGGTGCGCGCCTAATGTTTAGTCTATCCACCAGACTGTGAGAAGAACATGTCAAATTTCGGTTTTCGCTATATGAGATACATAGCTGCGACTGTTAGCACGCTTTTTCCAATCAAGTCAAATACATTAGACAAACGTTGCGTGCGTGCCTGTAGTGACTCCGAAGTCTATACATGTACTCTTCGACGAGCGACAAGTACCTTCCGCGTTTGCTCTTACTTTATTCTCTCTCTTTGGCGAGTGCAGGACAGAGCGCACAGATCTAAGACCACTGGGTCCGGACACGCCGGCCGAGGATGGGATTTCTTGGGTTACGAGGCCCCTAGGCGAAGAGGTTATGGTTGATGGGTGTGATGTCCAGGTACCGAGGGATTGGCAGGGGACTTATCAGGAGGGTAAGTTCAATGATTTGGTGAGTAGGTTGGGAGAGTTGAATGATGAGGCATCGACAATGAGTGGTGGTGTGAAGGGTGGTGCGGGTGATTTGGGAGTTGATGGGAAGGGCGTTGTGTATCAGGGGTGGAACGGGAAGAAGAGGGTGGTGCAGCGGGTTGTGATGGTTGGTGGGTGTGAGTTGTTGGTCGAGTGAAACTTGACGCAGAGCAGACCTGATATTGAAACTGGGGTGATGAGCCAGGTGTTGGAAACATGGAGGTTGAAGGATATCTGTGTCTGGAAGAGAAGGCGTGAGAATGTTGTCGCTTTCTAATGACTATGCTTGATGATTGCAAGATGAATAGACTTATCTTTGTATGATAGCAATGGTGTGACAGTTCATACGACCCATACGGTGTCACGTGCAGGACCATCCCTGTATACTGCTGACTACTGCTGCTTGGTTTGTTCCGATGTATATAACTGGTCGCTAGATACCTCCTTCATAAAACAACACAGTCTTCATCAACCTCAACCTTTACAAATGGTATACACAAGCTTCCTATGATCAAAAATGAAAACTTCGATGCACCTGTTGAGCTTTTTTTTTAAGCCAATATCTCAGGAGGTGTTCGGTCCATTGCAATGTCTCGGAGCATCGCTCGGTCCCGGTCGTGGCCTCAAGGGAGGGATCTGACCTGCGCTTGCTCACCGATCGTATGTTGTCGAAAGCCTAAGTGCTCTGTGCAGTGGCTGTCATTGTTCGGCAGAGGTGAAGTATGACGATGTATGACGATGTATGACGGTGATGGCTGTGTTCTCGGCCAAAGTAGTCAGGAACTGGTGTTTCGAATAGAAAAGAAGGGTCCGTCGAAAATGTATCCACTCTTCGCCAACATCAAATGTCTCTCACGTTGCTCCTCACCGATGTCATACCTGATCTGGAAATAAGCGCACAGAAGAATTAAGCGTGCTCGGTGCGACCATCCGAGTCCAGGCCTCCAAGTCTCGACTGCGTGCATCGGGCGTTATTTGACGTGCGTCGTGCCTGAACCCTGTAAACCGGTGCAATTACCGAACGTCGCTTCCATGTTGATAATCGTTGGCAAACAAAGTAGTAAGCGGGACAGGCGGATCCCACCCTTCCCGCGATACCGTCGTTCCAGATGAAGAGCATATTGTTTCTATGGGGACTCGACAGCGAAACGTGCTCACCTGGCTGTGAACAGTCACTCAGGCCCCGCGGCTTGATTGTTTCCAGGATGAATGAGCCGTATGTTCTGGAGATGCCCAGTGACTGGGCGCCACGGTACCACCGGGTGAAATGAAAGGAGATTTGTGACAGAGCATCTGCAGAGGCCCGCATGCCGGATCTGCACGCTAACCCGGCGACAGAAGACATCCGCAAGCCAGCTGGGGTAGATCGCGTAAGCTCAACAGGAAGACCAGAGTTGAGGAGGTCACCAGTTTGCGGGCCTTTCGAAGAGTATATATTGGGGTCGAAGCAGTAGAGTCTCGACCTCCGACACCGGCAATTTCTCAAGCTGCCATCGAAACTACCACATCCAGCATGATTTTTCTTCAACAGCTCGCCGTTGTTACCTTGGCAATTGGCACCGCCCTTGTCGACGCCCAAACCAAGACCGGAAAGACGACCAGATACTGGGACTGCTGTAAGCCATCATGCGGATGGTCAGGCAAGGCCTCTGTGAGCGCGCCTGTCAAGAGCTGTGACAAGAGTGACAACCCTCTTGCCGATATGGCAGCCAAGAACGGATGCGAGTCTGGAGGCACTGCCTTCATGTGCACCGATCAGAGTCCATGGGCAGTCAACGACGACCTTGCCTACGGCTTCGCTGCTGTCAAGCTCGCAGGCGAAAGCGAATCATCCTGGTGTTGCGCCTGCTACGAGTAAGTCAAATAACAGGTTGGTCTCACGTCACCGCTAACTGCTCCTTCCAGATTGACCTTCACATCCGGCGCAGCGAACGGCAAGAAAATGATTGTGCAGGCGACCAACACCGGCGGCGATCTCGGTGACAACCACTTCGACCTGCAGATGCCTGGAGGGGGTGTTGGACTCTTCAATGGATGCACCGCTGAATTCGGAGCTCCTTCCTCAGGCTGGGGTGCACAGTACGGAGGTATTTCGTCGAGATCCCAGTGCGACTCGTTTCCGGCGAAGCTGAAGGCTGGCTGCTACTGGAGGTTCGACTGGTTCAAGAACGCAGACAACCCAGACGTCTCGTTCAAGGCTGTTACATGCCCTTCGGCTCTGACAGACAAGACTGGATGCAAGAGGAACTGAGGAAAGGTTGAGACCGAATGAAAAGATGGGAGACTGACTGCATGAAGGGGAGGGGATTACGAAGAGTAGCTCGCAATAGCGCCCGCTGTTGACGCGTGCGGTATTGTTGAAGAAGGTGCAATGGAGGACCTAAACAAGGGTCGCTCTTCGCTTGAGTGCGGAATTGTTTCTGCGCCTGTCGCACGTCAACCTCAAACCTTATCATCTACGATATTTCAATTCAATGTCAATGAATGAATAACGACACTACGATGCCGTTTCATCTGTTTCTTGTGCATGTTCATCTTTCCAAATCTCTGAGACACGATGCCTCGTCAGCTAAACTGGAAGTGGGGTTAACCGAGGGACGGTGTCCGCGGACGAACTGCACCTAGCGTGGCGGATCCTTCGACTTCTTTGATGTTGTCATTGTTTGTTCTATCATCACGAAGCTCATTTTTGAAGGATGTTCATCGTGATGCTTCGGTTGTTGTGAGAAATCTGGAGGTCAAATACAAAGAATATGGCACGACCGAAATGGCTGGCGTCTTTGACGCAACACAGCGAAAAGCCGCCGGCTATGCTGAAGTTCAGAAGCTCGGATGGCTTCATCATTGGGACCGTGGCATTGGCGGTATTCACTGTAAGTCAAGTTCAGACTACTACCTGCTCTAACATGAGCTTATCCTATACAGGACATGTTCTTGTACGGAGTCATTGTACCTGTCATTCCGTTCGCCCTACAAAGTCACAGTCATGTTGAGCAGGACAGAGTACAGTACTGGGTGTCTGTATTGATTGCTATCTATGGTGCCTCACTCTTGGCATTCTCTCCTGTCTGTGGTTGGCTTGCAGACAGAGGCTCCTCTCGTCGATCTCCACTTCTGCTTGGCTTGCTTGCCTTGTTGGGTTCTACCGTGCTCCTGCAGATTGGAAACTCCACAGGTATCCTCATTGCAGGCAGAGTGTTACAAGGCGCTTCAGCAGCAGTCGTGTAAGTAGCTCGAGCCTCTATATGGCCTCTCAGCTAACGATATGTAGATGGGTAATCGGTCTTGCTTTACTGGCTGATACTGTGCCTCAAGAGAACCTTGCCCAAGCTATGGGGTACGTAAGCCTGGGAATGTCTTTAGGCATCCTCATAGCACCTTTATTGGGTGGCGTTGTATTCGATAGAGCAGGTTATGATGCTGTTTTCGGCATGGCATACGGCTTGATCGGGTTGGATATAATACTTCGACTGTTGCTCGTGGAGAAGAAAGTAGCCGCAAGATGGGATCCGGTTGCTGATGTCCAAGCGAAAGAAGCAGCAGACTCGCCCAGCAGTGGGCCTGCACCTCCGCAGAACGAAACGACCGACGCAGAGAAAGGCCTCACATCCGGGCAGTCAGAAACACGCGATCTGCCTGGAGGTATCGACATACTAGACCGTCGGCGCGACCGTCTTCCGCCCATTTTGGCTCTTTTGTACTCCCGCCGACTCCTAGCAGCGCTTTTCTGTGCTCTCATCCAGGCTGCACTTCTGACGTCCTTCGACTCCGTGCTCACTATACACGCTGCCAAGCTGTTTGGGTGGACATCGACAGGGGCAGCACTATTGTTCTTACCAATCGTAATTCCGAGCTTCCTCGCGCCAGCCTTTGGCTGGTTCAGCGACAAGTACGGTGGACGATACCCCGTCACCCTTGGGTTCCTTGGCGCATGTCCTCCCCTGATCTGTCTGCGCTTCGTTAATGAGAATACGATGAATGACAAGGTTATCCTTTGTGCACTACTTGCACTCATTGGACTGTTCCTCGCACTCACCTTTCCACCGATCATGGCAGAGATCTCAGGTATCGTTGAAGTGAAGGAGAAGAGTATGCTGGCAAGTGGTCGAGCTGGATTTGGGCCGGGAGGCGCGTATGCACAGGCTTATGGTCTGTTTAACATGGCTTTCGCTGGTGGATGCATGGTTGGACCGTTGTTGGCAGGCTTCATCGTCGAGGGCGAGGGTTGGTCAATCATGGCGCTGGTTCTAGGGATACTCTCAGCTGTCACAGCTGTACCTGCATGTCTGTGGTTAGGAGGGTGGATATTGAGGAAGGAGCAAGTCGAATGAGAATAGACTCAACACAGGCAGCAGTCTCTGTTCTACTACTTTACGTCAACTAGACTCGCTTCATCTACATGGAAGAGTTTGAAAAGTGCGTCGCTGGCTTGTTCGAAACAGATTTTGTTCATCTCTTTCTGCATCTGGGTTCTGCTGCTGACAACATTTTTAACCACAGTCGTTCAGTCAATGATCGCCTCGTCCGTAGCTTCTTGTGCTGCATCATCAACTGCAACAGGAAGCACTTTACCACCTTCCTTCCTGATGATCCCATCAACAATAACTGTATCGATGTCGGCTGAAGTTGAGTGCAAATTAATGGCAGCGACCGGGTCGTGCTGAGCTGCAGCCACCATGCTTGGACTTAGTGCGTCAAAAACGACAATATTCGCTTCGAAGCCCTCGGCAAGACGACCGATATTGCGACTCGTGTTTACAGCTTCAACACCCTTAATAATGGCCAGGTTGAACGCTGCCTCAACGCTCAGATTCTCCGGAATCGTGCGTGGCAACTTGCCTTGCTTCATGTGGTACTCCCCGAAAGTATTCCTTGCATTTTGCAGGCCAATGCTTGCCTCGGTGAGGATCGAACCTCAAGTGATGGTATGGCAGTAGACCCAGAGACTTGCATGATCCTGTAGGCCAATCGAGTCGCTCGTCGCGCCTCCGTCTATGAAGGGATGCATCAAAACAGTAGGGTCGTTCCATTGCCACTTGAAGCTCGGAGCTAGGCGTAGAGCTTAGATGAACACCTGAATTTAGATGCATTCAGCATCAGCAGACCTGATCTCGCCTCCATGGGAGATGACGGTGGACTCATCAGGAAGGTCTAGGCTCTTCAAGCTCTGAACGACCTTGCCTAAGCTCACGGAACCGTGGGTGGTTATAGTCTTGACGCCCTTCTCTTTGACTTGAGTGAAGAGCCCCCTGATCATCTCGGGTGGCAGAAGGAGGAGGTCGAATGCGAAGCCCAACGTGACGCGCCCTTCACCGAATGGTCCCTTGTCCGCGAGCTGATGGAACGTTTGCATAACCCAGTCTTTGAAGGGATTCGGTTGGATTCTCAGCGGATTGAACTTCTTTACACCCATGATGGGTGTGTAACAGAAGACAGACCGTATTCCGGACGACGCAGTAGCAACGACTCCAAGCTTGGCATGGTCGGGCGAGCAAGTGACATGCACATGCTTGACCACGGTGGTCGTACCTGCTGCGATACCTTCCAGCATAGCTGCAAGCTGGCCGTAGAAGACGTCCTCTAGAGAGAATTGGCATGACTGCAAGTTGCCTGCAGAACTTAGCAAGACGTGGCGCGAGTTTCCAGTCCAAACTCACCAGTCACCATGTATTCTAGCACTTGCTCATTCGCATGGCGCCCCTTGAGCTGTGTCTGCTAGCCATGGTGATGCGTGTCCACAAAACCAGGACTGGTAATCTTGTCCGTGCAGTCGATGACTTCCACTCCATCGCTTGTTTCGATATCCGATCCGATCTTTGCAATCTTCCCATTTTCGATCAAGATGCTCATGTGAGTAGGAACCACGTGGCTCTCGGTGTCATGGATAAGAACTACGTCATTCTTGAGTAGGATGTTCATAGCAGACGAGTCTGACGTGTTGGTTGCCTTAAGATTGTTTGAGGTTATCGTGCTGACCGCGCTCACGTTTCTGCTGTCTTTATAGCCCCGTCAACTTATGCTCCAGAGGCGATTACCTAAACTCCGCGGTCCCAGATTTCCTATCTCTTATGCAGCAAGATAGCTCGACTGTAAGGCGTGTACTCCAAATTTCGTCCTGAAGCGGTAGACGCAAGCTCCTACCGTTGACCCCGCTTCTAGAAATGGCAGCTGATGCCAGCGACCTGCCTTGTAAGGCCGAAGAAGTATAGCAATAGCGTAAACTGATGGGGGACGCTGTCGCCTTTCGTCTCAGGTCTCTATCCACATCAATTCTTCAGACACATCTACCGACTATTTCGGTTCGGCGTTCGGATTGCACTTAACCTGATCCAACGACATCCTGACCGCGCGAGACCGAGGGTGATTATCGGAAGACGATCTCACGAATACACAAATACAATCATCACAGACATGTTGTAGATGGCTAGGCCCTGGGCATGGTTACCTCAGAGCATAGCGAAGTCTCAGTTTGGTCTTGCAAAAGCGTGTGAGGCGTTCGTTACGTTGGCTGTGTTGGTTGAGTGAATGTATGATCGTTTCCAATTTCTCTTGGGCGGCTCCTGACAACTGTTCTGTTCATTGCTGTGACAGTTGCAAGCGTTGATGGGCAGTAGATAGAGAGGAGAGAGACTGGGTTGCAAAGACAACTGTTTGTGATGACGCAATCTTCCAAGACGCGTCTATGTAGAATCGAAAGAACGTCTTCCTCGGACAAAACGCGAGTCTTCAACACTCGACACACAACATCGTCAATTTTTTCGACGATGTTACTTTGGAACGTTACCATGAACGCATTTCAAGTTCCATGTTGCTGGAGGGTACAAATTGTAAACAGATCGCGCCAGTCATGGCTTTGATCTTTCGCTTATCGACAGTTCATGTCATTGTTCCAAGCATCACGCAGTTTCGCGCATCTTTTGCGACATCCGTAACTCAGATCATTCTTTTCGTATCTGAAATGATTTCTTCCATCCGAAGCGCCATACCATAGTCTTTCTATCGTGCTCAATCGATAGTCCGCATGCGGCGCCTGGAGATCTGTCCATCATCACAAAATCCAGAGTCGACGATACCGCTTCAGCCCTGAACCCTCTTATAGGGTATCCACGAACCGCGCTACCGGCCACTCCCGCTGCACTGATCGACCGGCATGATCGCGGTATGGGTATGCCTTGTTCGCATCCAGCTCGAGCTTGATTACCTGGGCCAGACACGCCAGTGTGTTTCGGAACGCCTCTATATTGATACACGGTTCCCGGCGTCAAAATATGCCAGTAAACTCTGAGGTTAGCCTTACTGCAGGCACAAGCGCTGTATGCAGTGCAGTCTGCTGCACCGGTCCCCAGGCTCGCGGCTAGACGAAGCCTAACACAGATTGCAAGATGTCCCTATTGTGGCCCTTTGCCTTGACCTTATTGAGCTCTACAATATCTTCTCCAGCACTCAGCTCTCGGCCTTGTGATGGACTGCATGGACTGCCGGCGAGCGAGTTTCGGACTGTCGCCAGGCAGGGTCAGGCGAATATGACCAGAGCATCACGAGGATGCCAAAAGCAAAGATCACAATCTGCACTCCGATCGTCATTCGTCCCGTTGACGAAGAGTGATGATCAGATAAACTACACCCTGCAGTATGAAGATGGTGCAATCCTGGTTATCACCCGGCGCACTGGTCCTCGGTCCACGAGCCACTTTCGAGCAGCAATGCAGCATTGTTCCTTCAATCATGAGGAAACACCATGTCGAAGCTCGCCATACAACGGAGAAATGGTTCTATTCTCCCAAGACTTCGGTCGAACGATCACCATGCATAGTGGGATGGGCCACGTTGTGTGCCCCGTCGTCTGTCAAACCTCGTGCGCATTCTTACTAGCGTACATGCGGGTGTGAGCGCCCTAGCCGTTTCATTGGCGCCAAGGACGCAAACTGATGTCGCCATTCCATGGCACGATTGCGATCTCTCAACCCTCGCTTTGCGCTTGCGGCAGCAAAGACCATCAAAGCTGCGTGCGGGTACGTTCTACTGTAAATGCACGTTAGTGCAATTTGTGCGAAATCTGGGGATTCGCGACACCAAAGACAATGTTGTCTGTTGTTGCTCTACGAATCCTCATTTCAGGTACGGTTGGAAGATACAACATACTACGTAACTAGCCAACCAATCTTCTCGGATCCCGCATGCAATCTATCGACGCCTACCAAGACCATCTCGGCTGTTCCTTCAGCCCAGACTTCACAAGCTCAGCGCCGTGCCCAGCCCAGGCTTCCAAATGTCTTGTTCTCTGCTTGTCCTTTGCCAAAAGATCTTGTACGCTCAAAGCACGTCATTTTCATTCGCGAGATGTGATTGAACGGAATTCTTTCTCTTGAGCTCGCCTCCCACGCCAAGTCAGTAAAGGCCGCTTCGAAGAGCGCCGACTTCTTGGACACATTAAACCATAGCGTATGAGGCGTTATCCTCCGGCGTGGATCTGGAACCTTGCAATCTCTTCCGATGTGTACATGAGAGATCTCCACGGGTAGTTTTCTGTGATCAGTATAAGGGTGCACCTATCCTCGTTCAGCTTCTAACAAACATTCCTGGAGAAGCCTAGCAGCACAACAGGTCGTCTCTGTCTTTCTCAACCACACATTGACCCACATGTGGTCTTTTGATTTCGCCTTATCACAACCAAGTATCTGACAAGGAAGCTCGTCGCTGCACGAGATAGCAACGCATCGTCAACATGGCATCAGCTGGGCGCGGCGTGGCCAAGGCCCTTGGTATCAACGTCGATTACCGCAAGGAGGCAGACCCTCTCGAGAACTCGGGCGCACTGTCAGTATCTTCAGTCGACACCTACGTTGAGCGGGAGCCTACTGTCGTCGAGTGGCTCTCCAAGTTCACTCCTTCATTCACGGCACTCAAGCGCTACTTTCGTAGCTTGTTCCCCTTCATTGACTGGATCTTCCACTACAACTTGACATGGCTCTTCGGCGATATTATCGCTGGTAAGATACATACGCCTTTCATCCGGTGATCAAAGAAGTAACATTTCCTAGGCGTAACGGTCGGCTTCGTTGTAATTCCTCAGGGTATGGCATATGCCTTGTTGGCACAATTGCCAGCTGAGTATGGTTTGTACACCAGCTTTGTCGGCTTCATTCTCTACTGGGCATTCGCAACATCCAAGGACATTACCATCGGTACTGTAGCTGTGATGTCTACGATCGTTGGAAACATCGTTGTCAAGGTGCGGAAAGAGCATCCCGAAATGACGGCTCCCGAGATCGCGAGGGCTTTATCCGTCGTTGCTGGCTCCGTTCTGCTCTTCATCGGTCTTACCCGCCTCGGTCGCATCGTCGAACTGATTCCCTTGGTTGCCATCACTTCGTTTATGACTGGTGCGGCTATCAGCATCGGAGCAGGTCAGGTACCAGCTCTTATGGGTATCACTGGTGTGAATAACCGTGGCCCAACCTACCTCGTCATCATCGATACTCTCAAAGGTCTCCCACAAACGAAGCTGGACGCGGCAATGGGCTTAAGCGCTCTAGCTCTTCTCTACCTCATTCGATTCTTCTGCAACTTCATGGCAAAGAAGCAACCTTCCAAGAAGAAGCTCTGGTTCTTCGTAAGTTACATCGATCGGCGAAGTCGCGTAATCGCTCACAATACCTAGATCAACACTCTGCGTATGGCTTTCGTCATCCTCCTGTACATTATGATCAGTTATGTCGCCAATCGCCACGTCAAGGACGCAAAGAAAGCCAAGTTCAAGCTCCTAGGCAAGGTTCCTCGTGGTTTCCAACATGCCGGCGCACCAAAGATGAATAACGAAATCCTGTCCGCTATCGCTCCTGATATCCCTGTCACGATCATCGTCTTGATCCTCGAACACATCGCTATCTCAAAATCATTCGGCCGCATCAACAACTACGTCATCAACCCATCTCAGGAGCTCGTAGCCGTTGGTTTCACGAACGTGATTGGACCCTTTCTGGGCGCTTACCCTGCCACCGGTTCCTTCTCACGTACCGCTATCAAGTCCAAGGCTGGTGTCCGTACGCCTCTCGCTGGTATCTTTACTGCCATTATTGTTCTCTTGGCTTTGTATGCCCTAACTGCTATGTTCTTTTATATCCCTATGGCGAGTTTGTCGGCCATCATTATCCACGCTGTTGGTGATCTCATCACGCCACCCAACGTCGTGTACCAGTTCTGGGAGACTTCGCCCCTTGAGGTGGTCATCTTCTTTGCCGGTGTGTTTGTGACTATCTTTACGAACATTGAGAATGGCATCTACGTCACAATTGCGGCTTCCTTTGCGTTGTTGCTGTGGCGCCAGCTCTTCACTCACGGCCAGGTGCTGGGCAAGGTCCGCGTCTACCGTGCCACTCCAGATTCGATCGCCCGCAAGGAGGACGGCGCCTTTGCTTCCAACGCCCTGAACGCTGCCCGCGAAGCCTATGTTCCCGTTAACCGTCAAGATGGCACAAACCCGAACGTCGACATCGAATCTCCATATCCCGGTATTCTTATCTTCCGCTTCAGCGAGGGCTACACATATCTCAATCAGCAGGGCTACATGGATGAGTTGGTCAAGCATGCGCAAACTATTGCCAGGCCTACAACTCTTGACCGCTATGCGAAGTTGGGTGATCGCCCATGGAACGACCCTGGCCCACGTCGTGGTCAGCAGGTGAACGTGGATGACAACCGCCCCATCCTGCGCGCTATCATTCTAGATTTCAGTGCAGTTAACAATGTTGATGTCACTTCGGTACAGGGTCTTATTGATGTTCGTGCTCAGCTAGACCGCTATGCTGCTCCTGAGAGCGTTGAGTGGCACTTCGCATCGATCAACAGCCGCTGGACCAAGCGTGCTTTGACTACTGCCGGCTTTGGCTACATCGATCGCGAGCGCTTTGCATCTCGCCAACACTGGAACCCAGTGTACAGCTATGCACCCTTGGACACACCCAGCCCCAAGGCCGGAGACGTCGAGTCTCAGGATGAGATTCAGACTGTCGGCGGACAGAAAGGTTTCAGTGGCAAGGTCTCCACACTCCACGGACAAAACAGGCCGTTCTTCCACATCGATGTACCGGCTGCCGTTGAGAGTGCGATTTCCGGTATTGAGCAGAAGTTGGCGCACGTGAGCACCGATAGCTCTGAGAAGAACCTTGGTCACACTGAGCTTTCCACAAAGCAAGCATAGAGACCCTCTGAGCGTAATGTATTTGTCTTTGATAGATTTTAGTTATCCTTCACTATACCACGATAGCCTTGTAATATTTTCTTTCCTGCTCTTGTTCATAGCCCTGCGTCCCCGTAGCGAACTGCTCGTGAACGTATCCGTGCTCTCCAGTGAATGCCTTCTGCTCTTGATAAGCCCAATACCGATATGTTCGGGACGCCAATCATAGCTTGATGTTCATGCCACAACCATGGCTTGCCCCAACATTTGGCATGACTTCTTGTCGCAGCTGATCTGCTGGTGCTGCAAGCAGACTAGCGTGACAGGGATATCGAAAGGTCCAGATTTCACCAACCGAATACAAGATCAAACCAACAGACTCAACCAACCTCCGCACACGCGCCGATCTTCTACACACGCCATCGTATGCTTGTTACTGCTGACACCTTTAGATCTGACGAATAGAATCTTTCTTGTCCCCGTGTCTTGGCTTGTTGTGTACCTTTACAAACCTCACGTCCCGCAGTCCGCGGCCGTACGCCATCACCGATTCAGCACTCTTATCAACATTGCACATCTTATCGGAAGATGCAGATACAATTGCAACCTTCTAAGTCGATACTGGCTGCCAACAACCGATTCGTTCTTACCTCGAAGGACCTGCAAGCCATACACTCGACACCTTCCCAAAGCGACAAATACCCATGCGACAATCACTCAAGAACCAAGATGCACGACCTCCCAGACGACATTTTGATACTCATCTTCTCCAGTTGCGATATTGACACTCTCTTTACCTTACGACTGACTTGCACATCTTTCTGTGCGGTCATCCAAGCATACATCGAGACTATCGCGCCTTCCTCCGCACGCGCCACATTTCCAGAATGCGACTTACTTCTTACACCGCCTAAGAACAGATACACCTTGCGCTGGTTACGCAACCTCATTCCAGCTCAACTAGCCAGTATCACACTCGACAAGGATAAACTTCGTCGTCACCCCTACGTCAACTCAGGTTTTCTTTACGGCATACCCAGCGAGAGCGACTGCACAGAAGCGACGTATTGGCGGCAGCGGCTCACCAACGGATGGCGGGTTCTGAGGTCATTTCATCTGATTTCAGCCAGGGTCTACTCCAGCTGCGACGACGAACTCAAGAGGCCGAACGCTTTCAGGAAAGTCAGCGGTGGCGTCCGAACAAGTCGACTCTGGCAATCCGTGACTTGTCAGTACGCCGGCTGTACAGAACATGGCATGAAGCATTTATTTGATTCAAAACATCGTCGCGACTCCCACGGCAGCCACAACGAGGCACAGAAAGACTTAAAAGACCCTATTTCAGAAGTCCGCCGCAAAGAAGCACAGATTCTAAGGAGGAGGCTAGCGCATGTGAAGACCTTGTCTGATCAAGACCTCCTAGACTACGTATACCTCTGGCGCTTACTCCTCCACGTTTTCCGACCTTACAACAAACCCGAGACAACAGTATGGCAGTTCACACAAGGCTGGTCCTCGTCCACTCCCATCCCGCGCCCAAACTGGCCCACTATAATCAGCGACATAGCACAAGGCTGCTCCTGGCTCAACTGGCTAATCCTACACATCGGCACTGCGCCATTTCTCTCCCAATGGTCACTTTCCCCACAACACCCAGACCATGCCACCAGCAATCAGATCCGCAACACCATCTGGTGCGCCTGGAACTCCCGCAGCACCCACCAAATCGAGATCGAGCGCGAATACATTTCGAAATTCGAATTCGCCCTACGAAAACGCTGTCTCTCATCCGAACGCCTCAAGCGCCTCGAAGCCGAAATTTCACGCGGAAGGAGTATTAATACGATTAGTCTGGACTGTATACCTTGGATCTATGACCAGCATCACCGCATTCCGCGGCCATCGAGTGATTTTCCGTGGTATGAGGCTGATCGGCCCGTGTGGTTAGATGGCGAGTGGGGTGTTACGAGTACGCCGGGGACGAGTTGGGGTCAACCGGGGGTGTTGAAGGGGGGTATGAATAGATACAAGAGCAACAGCCGGGAGAGTGAAATCGATTACCATGTGTGTGGTCCGCTAGCCAAGGTGCCGTATCTGGTATACTTAGGCACGGAAGAGGCGGGGAAGCTGTGGCCTGGAAGCGAAGGTGACGGGGCGGAACTGGCATTCTGAATGAACAACGCGGAATGAGTCTATAATCTATCAAATATCAACGGGACCAGCGGGACCAGTCTATGTCCAAAGAGCTCAGGGCCGCTCAGTCTCCTCCACCGCCCCCGTCGCCACCTCCACCTCCGCCTCCGCCATCTCCACCACTACACCCACTATCCCCACCGCCACTAGAGCTACCACCACCATCCCCTCCTCCTCCTCCTCCTCCACTGCTATAGCTCGATGTATACGTCGCTGTGCTGTAAGAGCCGCCATAGCCACCCCAACCACCGCCACCACCAGTCCTCACAGCCGGCTTTGGTGGATCGACTCTGACGTATTTCGGTGCTCCTCTATCTGTGTATACTGGGCCGGAGAGGAGCTCGCGAGGCATCGGTTGTTTGGAAGCAATGGATGAGGTTGAAGGCGCGGGGAGCTGGGGAACGATTTGGACGGGTGGGTTCCTCTTGGAAGGCGGTTTGGGCTTGCGGCCGAAGCAGAGGAAGCGCATTGTGGAATGCTTGACGAAGAGTCCGAAGTCGATGAATTGGAACAATGGAGGATTGAGATGCTGAGGGAAATGAGAGTTGATGCTTGACGCTGGCGTGGATGGAGACCACGTTGGTGCCCTCCCGTCGGTTTATATATGGACGGTATCTACTGTTACAGCCTGCTGCACTGATGCGCTTCCATGTAGTCTTCAGTGTAAGGCTGCTATCGAGGCGAAGCTCACCACCTGCGGTGACCGTATTGGGAAAGAGCGTGGCTGTGGTGCCGCGGCTATCCTTTATCAGGTTGTCATAGACGAGGACCCGCGATACAGCCGCTAAAATGGGTACTCTGTATTTATACAAAACCTGATGACACAAAATGATGATGCGGGTGTTCGTCGCTTGCGATGTCTTCTTTTTGCTAAGCTTTGTGGGTACATGTAAACACCGACATAAAGACAGCTACATTAGGCAGACACGCACACGTGCTGCCAATGCAAGGCTGCAATTTCGATTTTGAAGTCAGCCTTGTCTGCTGCGGCATGGCGCTGTCAAATCTGGCAGGGAGTACCACAGGCGCAGACCAGCACGCTCAGGTGATGCGTCTCGAGGTACCGAAGTGTAAGTCAGGACATCACAATTCCTTTGGAACTTACCCTGTTACGACAATGAACTCACATAAACCGTATCACCTGATAGTCACAAAGAATCTGCGATGTTCTCGGAACGATTAAGTTTCTGCACAGCACAAACATAATCCTTCATATGCCTCCAGATCTCGTAATGTTGCCTTGCTTCTGCGACAAATATTGGATCATCCTATCCTTGCGCAGGAATGGATGGTTTCCACTGTGCAAGCTCCTCTTGCAGCCGCTGACGGGACACCGGTAGCGTTTGACCATGTTGCCGTGTCGAGATGCCTTGTGTCGCTTCAAATCTGCTAAACGTCCAAACACTCCAGAACAATTGGGTTCATGGCATTTGTATTGACCGTGTTGATTGATGCCGTTGCTGAGTATGAAGCTAATGATTTGCTGGGGTGGTTCGAGGACATCGGCGGCGAATCATAAGAGCGGGATGGTGTGATGGAGTTGGGGTCGGGAGGCTTGCAAAGATATCCTTTCGATTCGATGGTTCGAGGTGGTAGTGGTCACGTGCGAGGTGATCGGAGGTGTATTAGATCTGACTGTAAACGGAAGGCAGTGTATGTAGGGTAAAGCCACTTGTTCGTCTTATTCACACAGCATCAAGGTGCAGATGTAGAACAACGTGCATGTCACACGGGGTATGTATATGCATTAGTGAAGTAGGCAGATAGGAAGGGTACGTAGAACATAAGGGAAGCAATCATCACAACGCGTTTGTATGCCGTGATTTTGAAGATCCGAGGGACCAGACGCCAGGACGGTTTGAGAGAAGCAGGCAACGTGAAAAAGAAGATCTCACTGGATCTTCAAGCTTACTTCACCTGTGTTGTTACCCGTTTGCCTCTTGAGCGACTTTACTCTCTCACATTCGATTGTCGCACTTCCTGTAACCTTTCCTCAAGTCCACACTCTTCCTCGACTTACAGACTCATAGTCCACCCTCACATACACCATGGTACCCAAGCCCGAGCCCGTACGCGGCGCAGCATCCCGTGCAACCACGAGGTCCAAGTCGGGTGATTGGCTCGTACAAGCACCTGCCAGTCGCCCTCTCAACATCGGTCGCTCCAGTGGGACGCACAGAACAGCGGGTGAACAAGGGGTTTTTGGTGACCGGCGCGAGCCAAAGGTTGGTATGCCGGGGCAGCGATAGGGCGGGGGGTTATCACGCATGATCACGGAGGATCGCGTCGTAAAGAAAGCGGCTCATGTCATTATGTTCTGGAAAGCGAAGATCGAAAATGAGGACATCGAAACGTATATCGACGGATACGTTCCAAAGACTTCGCCAAGGTACAAAGCGGTTGCTGAGAAATTGGCGGAGCTGGGAACGACGCTGAAGCGGGAGGTGTTCCGGCCTGCGAGCCTGGAGCAGTTCGTAAGTCTGCTGTAAATCCTAGTTTGTGCGCATGCTGACGATCATTGCAAGTGCGTGACGAGATGACCCAGTATCGTATGACCAATGAGTGGAACATGGCGTACGATATGATGTCTGAGGCACAGAAGACCGACTTTTGGGTGCAGCGCTATACCGAAGACCAAGCCGGCAACTACCTAAATCCTCTCGACAAGGCGATCGAAGTCGATTACATCATTGTCAACGAACCCTTGAAGTTATTCGCTCAGACATACTTCGCTGTATCATGCAAGGAAATCTACAAGAACCGCATCAGCGAGAAGGCAGTCGATGGCTAGTGGGCATTGAACTCGAGAACAAAGGTCCCTCGCGTGGACACGACCGCAGTCCACACGGCTATCTGCGCGATGCCGAAACAAGGCTTTGCCGACCGCCTATCTCTGCTTGACGTTCCGGTGACAGGGTATCTCTGGAGGTCCCCTCGGCGTGTTCCTGCTCGGATGCTGAACGACGAGGACCTGCTATCAGACCCGTACATGCAAGCCCTACGCAACCACAACTATGGAGCTTCAAGAAAATCCCTGTGAACGCTGACTCAAGACCGAGGTAGCAGAGGATGAAATCGAGAAAGCAATGGCGACTGAGGAACTGAATGAGAGGGTATACCGAGAAGGACAGGTCGAATGGTCTTGAAAAGACCGTATATGAAGGGAAAGCATGACGTTATCCTTTGCACGTATCGCCAAATCCCCGAGTTGAAGCGCTTCTTGACCGTTGTGAGGCAGTCGCAGCAAACTGTGTAACCGATAACGCATCACGGATTCTCGTTTGTAGAGATACTGGATTTGGTGTCGATCAATTACTGGAGCAACGGTCAGTGTGAAAATTTGAGGTGTTCTATTGTTGATGATAGTGATGTCTATTTATGTTGATGGATGGCGATGACGGGGGCGATGTGCTCTGCCCTGATCGACGTGCGCCTGCAGCGTGGTGTCTGCGATGCGGGCGGTGCCGCCACATTGGGAGCAGCTGGTTGTGCTGGTTTCTCCGAGTTTTCACGAGCGACACGGCTGCGGTGGCAGGGAAGTCGTGTGTGGAGATGACGCGGCGGTCAGATTGGTGCGCTGCTGAAGCCAACAACAAATCCGGATGACCGACTCGCGAGTTTCGGGACGGTTGCGGCCAGGGGGGCAGCGCTTGGTGTGCGAAAAGGTATCCAGCTTTTCAAGTCATCGTGCCACTAATCATCGGGTCGTCATCCACGGCGAGAGGCGTGAAGGGCAGGAGCGGCCAAGCTCGATGCGCTTGAGCGGTCATCCACAGCCTCCAGCATGACAACGCCGGCCTCACCTCATGTTCTAGCCGTCAGATATCAGAAGGCGACGGACAACAAGAAGACACGTGCAGCTGAGGGGAAAGACGTGGAAGGAGAGGGTGCAGGGAGTGTGCAGTTAGCATTGCTCCGTGTTCGTTCAGGTTGGTGTTCTTGCAGCCCAAACTCTAGCTGAAGGAGGGATGAAGCTCCCCGATAAAAGTAAGGAATGTGTCCACGGGTGGACGATGTGCGAGATGACACGGGCCTCTTCACCAGCAGAACGCCCACCATGCCGCAGTCTCACAGTGCAGAGAGATGCAATGCAAATAACAATAAATAAATGACGATATCCCACACCAGGGCGACATGCTATGGAGATGTGAGGCCACGCTTCCCCATGCGGTTAGCGCACATATTGTCTTCCTCACCTCCAACGTGCCCAGGCCTAGTCGTACTCGACGAAAGCTGTTTTAGCGACCGGGCCAAATGAATGCACAGCTTCAAGGGGGAGGCCGGCGGCCTGCTCCGGCCAGCACCACCGGCCTTCTTCCCTCTGCCTCCCCCCATTCCCGTCGCCTGCACTCCCATCATCGTCAATTTGCATCATCTGCGCGACGATAGGCACACATGCCCTGGAGGGACCGCCGCGCACTCACACGCCCACCCACGGCAGACCTGCAAGCGTACCAGCCAACCCTAGAACACGCTGACTACAAGACCGCTCGCGCCCACAAAGCCACGCCCACCACCAACCCTCCTCTTCCCATCACCACCGTCTGCACCCATCACCACGCCATCGCGGCACCACGTCGCCGGCCAGCTTGTTTGCGAAAATGTCCACCAAGCTGACCAAGAGCCTGACTGCTGTCCTCAAGCTCTCGCCCAGGACACTGGCGCAGTTCCCCCACGAGGCACCCGCACAGCCATCGCCGGCATCCAAGCCAGCATCAACACCAGAAGCCTCGCCTGCGCCCCAGATGGCCGACTCCGCCGCTGCCGACACGCCCGCCGACACGCCCGCCGCCATGAACGGAGCAAGCACACCGTCATCGCTCGCACCACTGGCATCAGGGCCAGGAAGCAAGCGCAAGGGGCCCGCACCGAAAGCAGGCACGAAGCGTAGCGCTGCTGCCATCGACGGCTCCAGCACACCAAAGCCTCGCGGCAAGCCTGGGCCAAAGAAGCGAAAGCTGTATGTCGCACCCATCTCTGCTGCTTCACGAGTCCACTTGCTAACTACCAACAGTGGTGACATGGTCAACGACCCTAACAACAAGACACCCCTCGCTGGTCCTACCCCGATCCAGAAGCTGGGCCCCAAGGCAAACCAAGGTGCTATCAATGCCGGTCTGCGCGCCCTTGACCGGACCGGCAAGTTCAAATGCCGCAAGTGGGAGAAGAAGGGCTTCAAGCTTCGCAGCTTCACTGGTGTCGCCTGGGACGTTCCCTCCTGGAAGGCACCCAGCCGCAATTCAGCTTTCTCCGAAGACGTCAAGAGCGACTCGACTGGCTCCAGCGACACCAAAGTCAAAGACGAGAGCAGTGCTGTCAGCGAGAAGAGCGGTCTCAACGGAGACGCCGCAACACCGCTGCCACCGCTCATGGAGGGTCTCAACAGCTCGCCAGCCCCTGTGTCTGCTGTCTAGTACCCAGCTCCTGTTCGTTTCCTTTCTCGTACTCCTATTTTGCATATGTCTTAGCATGTTCGGCGTTCAGTGAGCGCACTGTGGGTATACCAAAATGGACTTGTCTTCCAACGGCGTTTGGATATGGCATAGGGGAGACCGGCTTGTTCATGCGGCGCGTGACGTGCTCGACTACAAGTCTGGCGTCAAGGAGATACCATGCATTGATTGTGCATTCATTGGGTGGAATTGTGGAGTTGTATAGTAATACTTGAGATCACGATCAAATGCATCATTGCCAAAGAACCATTTGTCACCAGAGTAGAGCACTGCTTGTGACTTTGCGTGCATGGCTGCGCTATCGACCCATCTTCCCCGCGATAGAGCTATCAACTTTGCCGAGAGTACCCTCGACCCTCTCTCTCTCTCTCTATCTCTCTCTGCGACGCCTCCAACAAACAGCTTCCAGGCTCCCCACCGCGTTTGTTTCAGCCTAGAGTATGTATGCGTTTGCAGTCACGCATTGCCGGTGATTCGGCCATATCCACCCACGTCTGGCACTACTCCACGACGTTCCCTCCACCGCATCTCCACGACACCACTCTCTCCGCACTCCCCACATCTCGCGTTTCCACGCGCAACACGACTCGTTTGCCTACCTGCAAGCTCCGCCGAGTGTGTTATCGCTCGAATCATTGTTATCCGTCATAATATCCGGCTATAGCCGCTACAGTAGTTGCTCAAACCGATAGAGCAACTGATTGTCCATCCTGTTAGGACCCTGACGACACCACCACGACACGATGCGAAGAAGCAGCTATGCAGCTGCCCTGGCTGGCAACACAGGCAGCAGCCCTGCAAACACCGCGCCTACCCGTTCTGGGGCTTTCTCGCATCTTATCAATAGCGGCTCAACACCTCACATGATAAGCCAGCACCGCCACTCGCGCTCCATCGACGCCGACGGTCACCACGATAGCATGTCCACAAGTTGGGGAAGGGGCGGAGCGCTGCCGTCATACTCCAGCCAGACCGGACATTGGCAAGGGTTGGGAGGGGGAGCTCAGGACATACCACCGTTCTTCGTACCGTCGTACTTGCGCGGATCGAAACATGCCGAGAAGCTACAGGAAGCACACAAGGCAAAGCTGGCGGCGCATCGCGAGTACAGGTCAACACACTCGTCGACTGCAGGATCTTTGTCGACCAGCTCGAGCAGCGTCAACCTACACAAAATGGCTGGTTCACATCGCGGCATGACACACGAAGTCATCGAGCGACAAGCGCCTGTCTTCGTCGACGAGCCAGTGTCGCCCTGGCCGACAAAGTGGAATGAGAGCGACAAGTTTGCGCAGCTCGATATTGAGGATGGAGGCAGACAGGCCAGGTTCTCTGGGTCACAGAAGACACACGATGAGGCGGCATCGGTGCGCGCGGACTGTCCCATGCCGCGACAATGTGGCATATATTACTATGAGGTGACGGTTGTTTCCAAGGGGAAGGATGGGTATAGTGACCTCACGAGTTGGCTCTACATGCACTAACAATCGACACAGAAGGATGATCGGTGTCGGTTTCTCAGGTCCCAAAGTCGCTCTGAGTAGGATACCAGGGTGGGAGCCGGACTCATTTGCATACCATGGAGACGACGGACAGATCTTCAACAACACAACATCAGGAAAAAACTACGGACCCAAGTTTGGTACACTTGACGTGATCGGGTGTGGTATCAATTTCCGCACCGACACCGCGTTCTTTACCAAGAACGGTCACATGCTGGGTATGAATACTGTTAAATACCTCAGAGTGCACTTTGCTGATCATTTCAGGCCCGGCTTTCCGGGACCTAAAGCCTAACATGCCATATTATCCTACAATCGGTATGAAGAAGCCCGGCGAAACACTCAGGGTGAATTTCGGCCAGGAACCCTTCGCATTCGACATCGACAAGATGGTGCAAGATGAGAAGGCCACCATACAAGAGGAGATCAACCAGACAAAATTTACGGCCAGCGCTGCATCCGCTCCTGATGAGACACAGTTCATTCACCGGCTGATAAGTCAATACTTGGCGCACGATGGCTACGTTGAGACCGCGCAAGCATTTGCAGAAGAGATTGTTGACGAGGCACGAGCACTCGCTAACGACGATGATGCAACAATACCATATCAGGAAGCAGTCGAGGACATGGACGCACTGAACCGACAAAGTGAGCCCAGCCGGCACATGATTGTTTGTAGATGCTGACCAGCGTTAGAAATCCGTGCAGCCATCCTTGAGGGCGACATTGACAAGGCTCTCAAGCACACCCAGGCGTACTACCCATCAGTACTTCGCGACAACGAGAACATATACTTCAAGCTGCGCTGCCGAAAGTTCATCGAGATGATCAGAGACTGCAACGAGCTCAACACACAGTGCCAAACTACACATACGTCCAAGCGCTCCGCTGCATCAAATCCAAACAAGCGTAACTCGACAGCCACCGATGAATACGACTTCCAAATGGAGCTCGACGAGCAGTTTGGCGTCAACAATCCCACGCCTAGTTTAGACAATCTCAATGATGAAGATGACCTCGAAGACAAGCAAGTCAAACTACAACAGTTGACCGCCAATACAATAGCATATGGCCAGGAACTGGGCGCAGAATTCGCGAACGACCCAAGAAGAGAGGTCAGACAAGCTCTGAAAGATACCTTCGCTCTGATAGCGTACGAGAACGCAAAGGAAAGTAGTTTGGCGCCGTTACTAGAAATTGATGGACGCGTGCCGGTGGCGGAGGAGCTGAACAGCGCCATACTAGGTACGTCCAAACGCTTCTCCAGGTATCAAGATAACAAACAACTATTGCTAACGCACACGTAGTCAGCCTCGGCAAATCCAGCTCAGCAGCCATCGAGCGCCTCGTCCAACAAACCGAAGCCCTCGTCACCGAACTCGCCGACGACGGCGGGCCCGGCGCTTTCATCAACGTACGCAAGGACTTTCTGCAGTAGGATGCAAATACCACTCACTCGGCCATGCCACTACTGAGCCTGTAGGAACTGCGCTCTGAGGTCCGGAAGATACGCGACAAGAGTGGCGTGGGGGTTGCGTCGAAGGTCATGGCTGCCATGTGCGGGGATTGGAACCTAAGCCCAAGGGTCTGGCATGGACTGGGTCTTAAGGCCTCCCCGAAGCCGCTGGATGATGAGGATCTTATGCAACTGGGACCGGAAGAGTTTGTACGACGACAACTGGCACCAGGCCCTAGTACTAGCGCTGAGGAGAATATCGAGGAGATCAAAGCGCTGATGGCGCTGAGGAAGCTGTTTGGTAAGGATCGGGACTGTTGGAAGGCACGATGAGGGCGCATTTGCATACGGATCCCGGCGTTTCATAGGTGTCAGGTCGCGGCACTGGGCTGAATGGGCTGGTAGGGTGTGCTTTCTGGGTTTCGAACGGTGTAGATGGTATAAGCGAGATGTCGCCATGGTATAATATTGAGATACTCAACTCCCGCCAATGCTCCCTCTCACCACGGCTTCCACCAGCTCTTCTTTTCTCCTGTTGTTCCTCTTGATGCAGCCTGCGCCACCGCCGCGTCCTTGTCCAATTTGTCGAAGAAGACGACCATGATCGTGGTGTCGTCTACGGCGTAACGTCCCATGGGAGGCGGTACGCTCAGCACGCCCATGAACAGTCCCCGACGTGTGCCGCCCATGGCGTTCCGCGCCAGACAAACTGCTGCATTATCATCCTCGATCGCAAAGTATTCGGGTGTAGCTTTCCACTCGACTTGCTCGCCTGTTTCCGCGTTGTAGGTGAACCCTGGATCTTCGACCATCGGATTACCGAACTGCGGCGGGTTGGCGGCGAGTTGGGGGTCGTTAAGGACGGAGCCGGAGCCGCGGTCTCGCGCCTCAAGCCACTTTTCGACGCACTCGACGGCGTGAACGGAGGAGATACGGTCCCAGAGTCCGTCGGATGCCATGATCATGAAATCGCTCTTTTGCCTCGCATTCCCTTTCTCACTCCTCACGATCTCCGTCTCCGTAATCTCCGGCTCCGCGGTCATGTACGGTGGTGTTTTGGACTGTGGGCGTGGTGCCGAGCCCCAGAACTTAACCTGTACGGACTTAATAAACTCGTAGTCCCACTTCCACCTGTGATCCCCAAACGCCCGCGTCACTGCTATGCCCATCAGCCGTCCGGACTTGGGGTCGATGATGTCCGATTCGTCTGGATGCGCTTCTGTCAGCCGCGCTACCTCTTTGGGATTGAATCCGGTTTGGTCTTCAGACAAGACGATAGTGGAGTAGGACTGCGAGGACGGATCCCAGCGCCCCAGCACGGCGCGCGAGTCACCTGTGCACGCTACGCGCAGAACGGAGGAGGAGGGGTCGAACGCAGCGAGCAGCGCGCAGGAGCCTGAGAATGCTGGGGTGAGGGCGGCGATGGCTGCGGCGTTGGCAGCAGGGAACCAGTTTGCTGCTGTGCGGGCCGAGTCCATGATCTGTTTATCCACCCTTAGGAATGTGTTTTTGATAGTGGATTCGATTTCGAAGGGGGATGAGTGCGCGGGGAGCGTGAGCAGGGCGCTGGAGAGGGACGGAATGAGTGTCCATTGCAAGTAGAATGCTGTGTGCCTCCCGGCGTGACCGTCCATTATGCTCCAGTAGTTCCAGGGCTGGCTTCCAGGGCCGGGAGACGTGCCGAAGGCGAAGTAGTCTTCGCAGGGCTCGTTGCTTTTGAATCTACAGCCGTGCGTGACGGGGATATTTTCTTCGAGCGCGTCCTTCTCGGTCATTTTCCAGCCGCCGGCGAGTTTGTCGAAGTGCTCGCTAAAGAATTGGGCGACTTGCGGGTTCTTCAATGGCTGGCTGGGGTCGGGGATGTGGTGTTGGAGGAAGTGGTCGAGCTCGTCTTTGTTGGCGAAGAATTGAAGGGGAGTGACGCCTGGTTGGTCTTGCTCGAAGCTGTTCATGACATCGTCGGTCCAGTCTAGGTCTCGCACGTCGACGAAGTAGTATGCCAGGCCGGTGAGGATGACGAGGAAGGCGAAAGTCTTCTTGGGAAACGCAGACTGTAAGATCGTTGTGATTGGCCCATCTTGACGCTTCCCTTGTACATGAGTTGTATCCAGAACTTTCCGTTTCGAAGATGTTGGTCGAAAGTGGACGGCACGTGACTGTAAGCTCGCGACGCGTGTTGTCTGTGTCCGAAGACATGCACGGCGGGTTCCTCCTGTCAAAGCGTTCCTGCCCTGAACCACGGTTTGTGTCGCTGAAGAGCAGCGCAGTCTCGCGGCGTACCCTACTCTTGACGGTAGCATTGTTGACTTTTGATGGTTTGGGGACAGATCTTGAGATGCGTTGCGACTTTGGAAGGTGTTGTGCGCATGGGCCAATCACGGTCGCCCTCTCACGTGCCGTGCTTAGTCAGGCTACCGTCACTTATCAAAGCTTGTGCGTTCCCTTTGACATTTCTCGCTATCAGACATCATTATTTCCACGCACTAGAGAGGAACTTTCCGCGGCCAACATATCTTGTGCAGACTATGGCAGTACTCAAGAAGCCTTTTCCTGGTGCTCCTGCCAGAATTGACACAACAGTCTTTCACAGGAACGCTATTGCCTTGACACGCGATGTAGACCGGGACTTCTTTCCAGCAATAAAATGAATTTGGGAAGGTAATAGACACCTGGCAATCTCTGCCTGACGCGGAGTGTTGTCGCGTCAGCCACAAGACATATCCTCTCACCATCAGCACATCACTCATCGTTATCTAAGTCCGACTATCGTTACCATTCTTTCACTATGGCAGACCGTGAGGGCTCTCAAGAGGACACTGGCGAATGCCGAGAGGTAGATCAGAAGCACACCAAGGATATGTCCAGTAAACAAAGCCCTCCTCCAAGCGACAGTATGAAACTTGCAACCTACATAGCCAGCCTCGACACGGAGCAGCGCAACGCGATTTCAGAATTCATTCAAGCGACAAAAGAGCCTGTTAGTGTGGCTATTCAAACGCTACAAGGATGCCAGTGGGATCTGCTCGAAGCTGTTGGGCGTTTCGGCGAGGACGATGAACAGGAGGTTGAGGGTAACCTTCACCTGTCGGCCCCCGCCATCGAACCCATTCGTAATTCACGTACGCGGGAATCTTTTTCACGCAGAGGCCCGAAGCGGGTCCCTACCCGTGATACTTATATTTTGGATTCGCGGTCGTGGCGCCGCGCGGCGCTGTACAACAGTACATCCAAGAACGGCAAAAAGAACCCACAGAGTCCGAAATCTGTTATATTCGACCCGGTCACGCTCGATTACACGCATTCGAGGCCCAACACACCGTCCGCTCCCATGTTCATCTCGTATTATTCGGACAAGCTGTGGTACAGTGGCTTCATGAAGCCTTAGGAGAGGTTCAAGGACGAAGTCATGGATCAGTGGATAAACGAGCGGTACTCTGACGCATTCGGCGAGCTACGATGGAATATGGCGCCCACCCACTTCTTTAACGCCAGCATCCCTGTTCTGCGCGACAACCCCGAAGCGTTCGAATGCGATTTCGAGGACCATGCTGTGCTCCCCGTTCAGACGGCGATGGGATTTCTGCTAGCAACCCAGGACTTCAAGAAGCGGACCAGGACAAGAGAGTGTAACCTAGGCGCTGCCGAAGACGAAGACATCGCAAACGAAGACTGCGTGTGGGCACCAAATTACGTGATCAGGTTCAAAAATTTCGGTGAGAAGCACGAGGCTCGTCTCATTGGCCACGTCGAGTTCCTCGCAGGACAATCCGGCGCTTTGTCTGAAGCGTACAGACTGCGAGGAACTGCGAAATGGGGTAGTCTTCGCTGCGTTCTCGGTGAAAATAATGCTGAAGTTTGCCAGTAAATTGTATACTGACTATCTCTAGGCGACATCTTGCAGTGGATGCTCATGAAAAACCTTCGCTATTCCTTCGTAGTCAGCAGCGACGAGATCATGTTTTTGAAGATCGACGTCAAGGAACAAAAAGTCAAAGACAAAACCGTACTATATGAGCCGTGGCTACATTACTCCGATCCCATGAAGATTACGGACGCTTTTGATGCGGAGAAGAGGACGATTACGGTGAGAATGGGCCTGCTGCATCTGTTCTGGTTGGTGGCGCAAAATGATAAGAAGTGGCAACTGCCGGATGAGATGGGGCATTGTTTGAATTATGCGGTGTGGTCAAAGGAGGGGGAGGATTTGAAGGTGAGGAGGCCATGTGTGCCGGAGTCGAGTGGGGTGGAGAAGCTGAGGATTAATCTGCGAAGATAGCTGGATATGTATGTGAATACATCCAGGCCGGCTGGTCTTAACTCTAGGATTTGAGCTTCAGTTGTTATTCCCTCGTTCAATCTCGCCCGTTTGGAACTCCTTGAACACCTCCTGGATCTATTCTCGAAGCCATAAGTTTTAACATTGCGAGCTGATGCTCTACTTATTGTGCATCCTCAGTGTCCTCGTCAGGCGCCCAATCTTTGAACTTTCGAGTCACCAACTGCACATCAAACATCCTATCAATTTCAGCATTCGAATGATGACACATCCCAGGAATCATCAGCCAACTGAGAGCAAAATCCACGCAACAATACCTCGACAGCACGAAACCAAGCTTTGCTCTCACAGTCCTACGAGCGTACTTCTGGCATGTCTGTCTATCTTAGCCCTCCAAAAGTCTGCGAAGCTCATATAACCCGATAGATCTTGAAATGATTTGAGCAACTCTTCCGTCGACGAAAAAGCTTTCCCTGATGAGAATGACTATTGGAACGCATTGCCAGCGCTGGACCTCGAACGACAGGCAGTGAAGTGCACAGCACTCTGATCGACTGGCTGGAGCAAGAGTGGTGACAATTACCTGGTCTCGATATTCGAAGCGAAGAGTACGATATCCTACGTTGGCAGACGCGCCCAGAACATGCGCTCAAAGACGCTGGTAAGCTAAAGGTCTCCACAACCAACGGCGAAACAGTGTTACCAATGTCTGGCGCTGCTGGTATGGTGATCATGTTCCACGTCGACCAAGATCAAGTCGAGTCCTATTTCGAGCCACATCAAGGGATGCACTACCAGCTACCTGCTGTGTATGTTGTTGTCGACCAAGCGACAAAACTGAGACAGTTCGCAGCCGAATACTTGACTACCTCCATCTCCGTAGATGGGAAGTCGCCCCTGCCACAACTCGCAACATCATAGCCATTCTCCCCGGGCAGACTGAAGAGCGAGTAATCTTCGAAACTCACAACAACGGCTATACATACGTCCAGGAGAATGGCCCGGTCGCTTTGCTAGCCCTGACGCAGGACTTTGCCAAGCAGCCACTCAGCTCACGAAAACATACGATTGAGTTCGCTTTCAACACTAGACACCTCCATATTTCTAAGGAAGTCACGCTTCGACATTTTCAGCAACTAGATCGCACCTTCGATGACAAAAAACCTCGCATTGGTCATCCTGGTTGAACATCTCGGCACACGCGAGATTGAAAAGAGGTCTCACGCAGACGGGAAGCCAGGCGGCACACCTGAGTACACTGGGTGAGGCGAGATGATGATATGATGAGTAGGGCCGAGTCATCCTGTACTCTCTGCGGTTCAGCGAGCCATCAAGCGTCACAAATTTGATCGTGTCATCGTGGCACCGGGTGTCTCAAAGCCTGATAGATCTCGAGTGCCTACTTACTCCTCGTTCGGCGGCATCGGCACGCACTACCACAATGCGCTACTTCCGACGACATCCTTGATATCCGTTCCTTGGTCGCTATGGGCGCCTCGTTTTGGCAGTTGGGCAGTCGATATGATGCGGCTGAGAGCGCAGACGCTCGCGATGGACGATGTATACCTAGCATTGGAAAATGTATTAAGGAAGAACATTGTTGATGGGTACGCAGAGTATAGGCGTCGTAGGGAGAAGGGCGCGAATGTTGCAGCGAATCTGATCCCGAACGAGGTAGCATGAAGGAATGTACTGTTGACCAATGACCATGTTAGGTATGCTTCTCTATCCACTCCATGATCTCTCTCAACACCTCATCGGCACACGGTGGGTCATGCAACAACTCGTGCCTCCCATCCTCATACTTCCGAAACGTCTTATCCTCCGAACTAATCCCGTTCACAAACTTCTCGCTGCCCTTCAGCTCCGTATACGTATCAGCCGTCCCATGAATAACCAGCGTCGGCACTTCCCACTCCTTCAGTCCGCTATTGACTTTCTGCATTATATCCAGAGCAGTCACAGCTATCAGAAACGGAATCTGCCTTTGTGGCACAAGCGGATCGCTGGTAAATCTCTTGATCTCTTCCTTGTCTCTGGTCAGACCGTCAAGCCCGGCCCCTGGCATTGGCACAGAAACCGTAGGCATACTTCTTGCCAACACCCCGACGGCAGCTCTCGCAATACTTGGGAGTAGGTCTGGTAATGCAGGACCGGTCATTATGACTCCTTTGATGTTCTCCGGATCCATTGTTGCGCTTCCTGCAGTGACGAGACCGCCCAAAGAATGTCCGAACAGAATGATAGGAAGCTTGTCTTTGCCGGCGAGTTTCCGCAGCTCGACGTGATCTTGTACGGCTTTTCCGATATGTGTCACTCCTCGGGTACCCGGTGATCGTCCGTGACCCCACATGTCTAATGCATAGACTGCGTAGCCTGCAGTGCTCAGTTCTCGGATGAAGCTGTGATGCGAGTCGATATAGCGTTCAGCGTACTCGCAAAAGCCGTGTTGTAGTACTACAATAGCACGAGCAGGTGCTTTTTGCGTATGCCAGACGTGTGATATCGAGCCGGATGATAATGTGATAGTCCCGTGCTTGAGATTTGCGGTTGTTGACGCTGACATCTTTGTTGTATTCGTGTGGCTAGAATATGCTCTTGTCGCAGGCTCGAAATGGTCCTTGGCAAATTGTAGCTGTAAGTATTCAGAAGTTGAGGCCGTTCGAAGATGCAGTGAGTTCAAATGGGTAGTCCGAAAGCTAGTCCCCGGAAAGTCAAGAGTTCCGGACCGAACCGGGCTTTCGCGAACTCGGAACTGAGATGGAGAGCTGCGATGTGCTGGATTTGTTGTATCGATGAATCTTCGCATTGTCTCTCAGAGACAATGATACTCCAGGTTGTGTATAGTATTTGCAATTCTCTCTAGGTTCCAGTTTGGATGAGATATGATGTTCGCACATGCTGACTTGAGAGCGCACGTGTGCCATTGTATGGCGCAGAACAATTCACTCGTTAACAACAATCCCGGAAGAGAGTTTGTGCACTCCCTGTGAAATAATCTCAATGTATGCCCCCTACAATTCATTGCGATATTCAATGTCGTCCTGCCGCTTGTGTGACTCGAGTCAAGAATCGTAGAAAATGTTGAGGTAGAAGTGTATTGATTGGGAGATGGAGGGATCTCCAATGTTTGGAAAGTATATGTACTAGTAAAGTTAGGTGGCAAGTACAAGCCATGTCATAGTACCTCCTTCTGGTACGAAGATAACCCCTTCCAACAGAAAATGCTCACACTCCTACACCTTACAAACCAGATCGAGGTGAAAAATCCGTACATCTGTCAACTTCGAGTGACGAGTATCACCCCGAAGGTCCAATTCGAAACAACAACGTTAAAATGCAAAACTGAGCTCACTGGAAGTAGTTTGGTCGGCATCGATCAGTGAGAGTGAAAGGCCCGGAGAGGTGGACATGATGTCTCAAACCTCTGGACGGACTAATTCGGTGTCGTCGTACAACACACCCGATTGTCGTGCGTGGTAAACATTGTGGCTAAACTGCATGATGCACACCCTTGTTGTGCATCACTTAGCCACTTGGCGGCACGAAGAGAGCCTCGGTACGTCTTCAAAGATCAAGTACCTCATTGGTGTTGTTGTTCGACATTACTTCGATATTACCACGCAGATAGATGGTGTTGTGGTCCTTTGAGCTACGGAAGCTATCGGGTGGCTTGTTGGCAGCGGGAAAGAAGCCTCGGTCAAAATGGTTGTTGTGATTAGCGGTATCTGTCACGGTTGCAAGTGAGGTTAGAGAACCAGTAGAGGCGCAGTGTGTGGCGTTGCGGTGCTTAAGGCCTGAATCCAAAGCCTCGGTTCCTGGATTGTGGCATATAGGATGATTGGCAGACAATGTTAGATCTTGGGAATCGCTGATCCGGGGAAAAGCTCCCACAGCGGGGCCAAGCATCTGGGTACGACAATCAAGCAGGTCATTGTCATCCCACCAAGTTGGGATGCCCATGTGGCAAAACGGTCGTATACAAGGATTCAGGCAGATATGCCTAGATCTAGATCTATCCTTACGATTGACTGTCTCAGAATGCAGTATCGTTTCGAGAGCGTAGGAAGAAACAGTGGACGAGCTCTACTCCCGACTGACTAAAGCAGAGAGCTTCTGATGTAGCAGCGTTCGGTGTACGCTCCCTCTGTGTCCCATAACGTTGAGCAATTCTGAGCTTGTCCTTGGTGTGGCATTAGTAAATCTCCAAATGAGCCAAGTACTACAAAAGGAATTGCATTCCGTGCAAAGCTCGCAACTTGCAAGAGATGGATGCCAAGCTCGCACGGATATCCAAGGCGTCATATATGGTATCAAAGGAGAACACAAAGCAGTTTCCCGGCTCGCGGGGCCTGCTGTTCTTCCGACGACGATACCGCTGCATCAGCCCAAAGTCTTGGAAGGTCGGTGAAAGGCCGCGGACGCCTGCAAGCACGAAAGTTGTCGTCTGAAAGCGCATGTTGAGATGCCCATGACGAGTCAAAAACGAGCCGCTAGTACGCGAAAGTCGGATGACCCTTTGCCCTATGGAGCATAGCATTTCGTATGACCTCAAACTCCAATCCTTTGTTGTGATGTTTGCGAAGGAACATTAGCTCGCGCATGTTGCCATTTCCAGGGTCTTGACAAGTGTACTGGGACTTGAAGACTTCATCGTGCATCGCAGATGCTTCTTCAGCAACAAGCACTAGGTGCAGCATGACGAGGGCGACAAAAAGTGCCAGGCTGGATGTCAAGCCACGGCAGATGTTAAGTGCGTCTTTCAGCGTGGTGCGGCTTGGTGTTGTTGCATCAGGTTATCGATACGTCGCCCCCATACTACCGCCGGAGGAGTATCCCAGTTGGGTCAATCTAGACGGAAATTATGGAGTGTTGCAGCGCCTGTGGATTTACCCCGCGTGAGGGCGCTTGAAACGTGCTGACATACAGATCGTTGACAGTAGAGAAAGGACACAACGTTTAATGTTGATCGACGTTAAACAAAGAATCGCGCGTTGGTTCTTGACATACTTTTAGTTGCACGCCTCCCACACATGCAATCTCGTCTTGACATCAGTCAAGAGTCGCAGAATTACGAGCGGAGATTCTTGCTCTTTGACTCCGCGTCTCGATTGGTCCGTGGGTGGGTCCCCTAGCGAGGAGGCGTCCTCTTACATGCGGGGTCTCCACGTGCCAAGCCAAACCCCAGACTCGTCCGCCGCTGAGCGCCCAGAGCGCCTCCCTCTCATTCTAGGGCTCTCCACAATCCTGGAGCCGTCGCTGGGATGATTGAGATCCCATCTCTCCAAAGGGTGCGATCGCCGGGGCCTCGGTATCTTTCCAGATTTTTAACGTCGAGAAATGGCACACAGGTTGCTTGGCAGTGTGTAATGGCGGGTCGTACAGGGGCCAGCTGAACATATAATGGTATCGTGCGATCATGTATCCACTGCTGCGACCCAAGCTCCTTGTTCGTCCTTCTCTGGCATACTTGCTGACACCGCAAAGATGGCGAACAATCTGCAGACTGCTGCCTACCACAACGACTACAATGTCGGCAACGAAAAGGAGATCGTGACTCACAAGGAGGATATCAACAGCTCAACTCATGATGACTATGAGTGCGAGTTCACCCCGACGGAGCAGAAAAAGATCATCCACCGTATCGATCGTCGTCTCGTTGTAACGGTGGGAGTGCTTTACTGCATTTCGCTGATGGATCGTACAAATTTGTCGGCTGCTGCCGTTGCTGGGTGCGTCAGCAAATTTCATGCCTGATAGGACAATAGTACTAATATAAGTATAGTATGAATGTCGAGTTGCACCTCGATGTCCTGATGGGTACTGTCTCGCGTTATTCAGTCGTAACCCTCGTCTTCTTCACCACATACGTCGTCTTCCAGCCACCTTCGACTGTCATCATTCGTTACCTCGGGCCTCGTGTGCACCTGTCGACCATTGTGACCCTTTGGGGGGCAGTTATGATCGGAATGGGTTTTGCAAAGGACTGGCAATCCCTGGCCGCGCTGAGAGTCGTGCTTGGTATCTTAGAGGCTGGTTTCTTCCCATCCTGCGTTTACCTGATGTCCACCTGGTACACCCGTTACGACATCGGAAAACGATACAGTGTCTTCTACATCCTTGGAAGTTTGGCATCGGCCTGTGCTGGTATTCTTGCGTATGGCCTGATGCAATTGAAAGGAAGGGAGGGCTTAACAGGCTGGCGCTGGTATGTCTTCTCATAGGTTGCTCTTTCCCTCCCATGAGACTGATAAGTTCCAGGATCTTCATCATTGAAGGTGCTCTGACTTGCTTCCTCGGTATTGGCGCATACTGGATATTGGTCGATTTCCCGGACAAAGCGCACACATCTTGGAAGTTCTTGACTGAGCGTGAAGCCAAATTCATCATCAATCGTGTCGACAAGGACCGTGGTGATGCTAAACCAGAGCCGTGGAACATGAAGAAGTTCTTTAAGGGAGGTGCAGACTTCAAGGTCTGGTGCTACGCTTTGGTAAGTCGCACAAAACGCGGACACGGTGCTGTACTGACCTGCTCTAGATCTTCTTCAACACCACAACAGTCTCATATGCGCTAGCATACTTCCTTCCTATCATTCTGCAACGCAACATGGGCTTCAGCGTCGGTGCTGCGCAGTGTCTTGTCGCGCCACCCTACGCATTTGCTGCCATCATCATGTACGGATGCGGATGGGTCGGTGACAAGAAGAAGATCCGTGGCCCAATCATCATCTTTAACATGATCCTCTGCCTGGTCGGTCTGCCCATCATGGGCTTCGCCAAGAGCCCAGCGGTCAGGTACTTCGGCGTCTTCTTGACCACTGCTGGTGCCAACAGCAACGTCCCAGCAACGATGTCGTACCAGGCAAACAACATTCGTGGACAGTGGAAGCGCGCCTTCTGCTCGGCAACGCTTGTTGGTATGGGTGGTGTTGGTGGTATTGCCGGAGGCTTGGTCTTCAGGGCTCAAGACGCGCCTCACTACCGCCCCGGTATCTACGCCTGCATCGCTACCAGCTTGTTCTCTCTGCTGCTTGTTGGTATCGTAACCCTGATCTCCATCAGGCAAAACAAGCGTGCGGACCGCGGCGAAGTCGAGCTCGAGTACAGCGAGGGTGACCAGAAGGGCTTCAGGTACACCCTCTAGACACTTTGGTCCCTGTGCCAACCTGGATCTTGGAGCAAAATATCACGCTGTGCGCGACATCTGTGAACGATTCTCATGAATGTATACCCTAGCAGCGCCTTGAATAACAGACGTTCTCACCGCAACGTATTCGTTTTGTGTCGTTCGTGATTTGTCGTCGTTCCTGATAGTATACTGGAGATGTCAAATAGTTCGAATCGACGAGGCAATAGCAAACAGCAGGGCCTCGAGGTTGTTATGTACCTCTCTCCCATTGCTCGGTTACTAAACACTGATTAGTTTCGGCTACAAGCAAAGGAAGGGCCTCGGCGCGCAAGCCAGCAGCTCCTCATCTCTACACTTTCAACACCATTCGCATCCACTTGAAACGAGCATGTGCACATCTGAATCTATGCGCGACCAAAGACTGATGCCGAGAACGAATACTATGGGCGATTGCTGAAGTTGGAAGTCTGTTGTTAGCGATGACGAAATTTTGTGCGGTGAGGCCCACTCGCTTTTCGCGCCATCACGTGAGAACTCACACCATTCCGCACGGCTTACAAGATTCAAGAGGACAAGAAACAGTCAAGTGTGAGATTTCCATTTATATCGACACATGTTCGCCCGTCTGCATCGTTTAGCTAAATCAATCAGGTTTCGCTCCAATTGTCCTAGCGAGTAAGAACGAATCGCACCCTCGAAAAGTAAGAGAGCATTCGCAAGAGCTCACGCGTGACTTTGAACGCCGCTCGGCGAGTGTGGTCGTGGAATTGTGCATCAAAATTGACACATACCAAGCGCCCACGCGCAGCGTACGGGCATGCTATACCCAGACCTGAACATCACGTCAATAGGGTGAAAGAAGTTAGGGTACAGTACTAAGACTTTAGTCTGTTCGCGTAAGGCCTGTGCGCAACGCAACAACGGAACTGCGCCAGGTAGAGAACAACTTCACCCCTACACTGCACCACACAAATGAGAGCTTTTGGAACCGAAATTTCAGCCAATCGAAGGCCTGGTGCTGAATTATCAGAGCGCGAGCGCGATTATGTGATAGCTTCAGTGGAGGCAGGTTGCAGGACCTCTGAAGTTGCAGCAACACTTGGCTGTTCACAACGCTGCATCCAGAAAACACTTGCCCGATGGAACACCCACAACAACAATGAGTCACGCCCTCGCAGTGGCAGGCCACCAGTATTGACAC